ATACAAATCACTAGAGCTGTGTAGAACAGAAATTTTGGTTGGAATTTAAAAAGAAAACAAAAAATCGCCAAATCGTAGAAATTACCTTTATAAATAAATTATTATTAAAAAGGTTTATTATTTTTAGATAATTTACTACAGCTGTGAAGATAATTTTGATGAAGAATGTAATACATATTTTTTTTAATTTTCTAAAATTTAATTATTTAGTAGGTAAAAACAATAATATTAAAGAGAATGCTTTTACACAACATTTTAATTTAATTATGGAATTATTTGAAAATTTAGAGGAAGAAAATTATTATGAAAATTTTGATGAAAAGTTCGCGACCATTTATTTAGAAGCAACATTTTTATTTTATAAACAACAAATTAATAGTTTTCCTCAATTAAAAGCTTTTGAAAATATTAGAAAAGATATAGATAAATTACATAAAATTTTAGACGATGAATATAAAATAATAAATAAAACATTAATTTATCCGGAATGGCTTAATGAAATTATTAATTTAGATTTTGAGGTATAAAAATTTAAATTTAAAATAAAAAAATAGTTAAAATATATATATGTAGAAGGGTTCTTCAATTTTTTTTGTATAAAAATTCTTAAATGATTTTTAGTACTTATTTAGAGAAAGTATTTTTATTTAAAAAAAGTTATGTCAAAATAAAAATAAAATTCAATTAAAATCCAAATTTTTAAGGATATTTCAAGAGAAGAATTACAAAAAATATATTTTTTATATATAAAATGGTTAATTGTTAATTCAAAAAAGTTTCGACAATTTCTTTGCAAAAAAGCAAACGAAAAAGAAATATTTTCTAGAATAAAAACAATTTTAAATTCACTTGTTGGGTTTGACTATTTTGAGATTTTAGAAGAAGTATTTCCAGATATATTGAAAATAAGTAAATTTATTTATTTAAAATAAAGGAGTATTTAATTAAAGATTTAATTTTAAAATAGAAAACATAGAATATATTTACCGTAAATATTATTCTTAAATTTAAATTGTTTAATTAAAAACTTTTTAAAAAATTTTCCACTTTGCCCTCCAAGTTAGACTTGACTACTAACCACAATAGAAAGTGAATATTTTAAAAATAATTTTATAATTAAATAAAATATCATTAAGATTTTATACATGCAGCTACAGAAATAAATATTTACAATAAATTTCTCAACTATAAGGTTGGAGAAATAAATGCGAATTCTGATGAATTAAGAATGTCTATAGCTATATTAATTAATATTTTAATAGCAAACAAAATAAAATCATCTACTAATTTAAAACATAAACTAAATAACGAGGAACATCCAAATCAGTCAAATATTGAATTATTGGAGGCTTTTGAAAAAAAGGCAGAATGGTTGAAAATAAAAATATTTTCATCTGAAAGAATAAATTCTTTAAAGAATGTTTGTCTAATTATTCGATTTTTTCTTCTAACAATTCCAATAATTAACAAAAATATTCTTAATATAAATAGCAGTTTAGAAGACTTATTTAAAATGGAAATTGAAGATAAATTATTAAAAAATACAAAAAATATGGAAGATATTTTAAAATGGGATGGATCAGAATGTGAAAATGAGAAAGAACAAAAATTGGCGTTAATGCAACAAAGATCTTATTTAATTAAACAACATAAATATTTTATTCAAATAGAATGGGAAATTTTAAAAATTTGTAAAATTCCAGGAATAAAAACTAGACTACAACAATTAGTGCCTCAACTAAAAATGTTTAGCTTTGTGTTAAAAAGCGAAGGTTTTTTTAAATTTTTATATTGAAGTCGAATCAGGATATAATATTTTCCCTTGCGTATACAACTCAGTTTATTGTACGCTTTTTAAATATTTATGGTTGAAGATTAGTTGAGGGAGCCTAATAGATATCTCTATTTACATAAGTGTTCAACTCAGTTTTGTGTAAGGTTTTCAGCTCCAAATGCGTATAATTTACTATAACTAGATTTAAAAATATTCAAAAGTTTATTGTTTATTAAAATTTTTGTGTGATTTTCTTTATTTAAAAATAAATTAAAATCTGTCATAAAATTAAGAATGTGGGTAAAGCAAATTTATTATTTATCACCGACTTTTATAAATTTTTATCATTAGGGTTGAAAAAACTTTATGTAAATATAAAAACTTAGAAAAGTTTAAGAAGAATTATTTTAATTTAACATAAAATATTTTTTAAAGTTTTTTCATCTGATCGGCGCGTTAGATCACATTTCATGAAAATAATTATGGATGAATATCAACATGGGAAACTTGAAAATAAAATTGCTTTAAATTTTCTAGTTTGGGTATTTTGGGTAGAAAAGCAATTTAAAGAAATGAAAGAAGAAAATAAAGAAGAAATTAAATATTTAAATAAAATGTGGTTATTTAGAAGGGGATATTTTTATAGTAAATATGATGAATTATTTGAATTAAATGATAAAAATAAATTGGAAAAAGAAGGAAATTTAATGAGTAAAATACAGATTGGAATTTGGAAGAATTTAAAAGAAAAAAAATTAAAAAAGAAAAATTGGGAAAAAGAATGGAAAGATATAGAAAATGGAATTATTAGAGTTAAAAAGGAGGAGGAAGAAGAATTTGAAGAATTTTTAAACGAAGAAAAGAAAAAAGTTTTGGAAAAAGAAATTAATTGGGAAGAAGAAGAAAATTTGGAGGAAAAAGAAGGAAGAAAGGAATTTTATAAATTTGTAATTGAAGGTAATTTATAAATAAATAATTTTAAAAAATTGAATATTTTAACATGTAGCTTTATCTAAAGAAATTGGAAGAAAAAGATTGGAAGATTTAATTGGAATTTTGAATACAAAAGAAATAATTAAAAATATTAAAAATAAATTAATAAATAAATATTTGGAATTAGAAAATTACGAAATAGAATTTTTAATTGAAATTGAAAAAATAAAAGAGGAATTTGAAGAAATTGAAGAAAAAATTGAAATAAAAGAAGAAGAAAGGGGGGAGGATGAGATAAATAAAATAAAAGAAGATGAAATAATTAATGAAGAAAAGGATAATGAAAGTAATAAAAAATTGGTAAAAAAAATTTATAGAAAATTATAAATAAATAATATAAATAAATATATACATATAAATAAATAATAATAATTATTTTTAAGATTGCTAATATTCTTAAAAATGAATTAAATAATGAAAATAACAAAGAATTAATTGAAGAAGCTTTGGAATTATTAAATGACAATTTTATAAATAAATGGGCTTTGGCAAACAAAAAACAGGCATGAAATTCTTGTTTAATTTTTAGTTTAATAAAAAATGAAGAAAAAAATGTCCGGTATTTCCCTGCTGTTAATAGAATAGCAGCAATATTTCTACCTATAAATAATAAAAGCTGTAAATTTCAAGTTCGGAAACACTAATGTTAGTGTTAAAAAAAGTTCACGATTGAATAAAGACCACTTATGTATTAGATACGATTTAAACCTAAAGCCCCGGAAGCAGTATTTCCAAATCTACAATATTCTAAACATTTATTCTAATTAATCAACTAGTAAATTTATCAGGAGGTCTATCTATTTTCAAAAAATTTATTCGAATTAAATAATTACGATAATGAAGAAATTGTTGAAATAATTATTTTAACAAAAGAATTGACTAAAAATGAATTTTTTGGAAATATTTCAAATTGTACATTTAAAAGAAAAGAAATTTGTAAAAATGATATTTCTCTGTTTTGTATTCTCTGTGAGGTAAAAAATAAATTAATCTTTGTTATTCTTAATTTTTAAAAAAATTTTTGAGAAAACAAAAAATTCCAAATTAAATTAAAAAAACTTTTTGTTAATTTAATTACATAAAATTTTAAATAAAATTCCGTAAATAAAACGTCACTTCAATTCATACATTTATTAAGTTCGGTTAAAGAAAGTAACCGAAATGAGCAGGATTCTATTTTAGAAATTTATTTAATAATCTAATAATTATTTAGAGCGAAGAAATTCAATTTATTCGAAAAATAGAATATTTTGGCCCTTTAATAAAAATTTATTTTAAAAACTTTTATTTCAATTTGCATTTAATTTCTGTAACAAATAAAATATTTGGAAGAGAATTTGAAAAAATATTTAGTAAAATAGTTAATTCAAATAAAAAACAAAAATTTGAAATTATTGATATGGTTATAAATGATTTTGTTAAAAAATCAAAATTGTCTATTAATTTAGATGGGGAGATATATTCATTATCAGGTATTTTTTAATTAAATTTATTTATAAAATTAATTGTGGACATTTATTTAAAAAATGTTTATTTTGAAAAAAAATTTTTAATCAAAATTTTCTGTTGATTTTTTAGTAAAATAGTTAATTCATAATAATTTTTACTTTCTGTGTGACAATATCAATATATTAAATTATTTTTAATTAAAAAATAAATAAATATAATTTAAGAATATCGTTCAAATCTAAGAATGCTGCAAATATTGAAACAAATTGAAGATAAATTTTGGATAATATATAAAGTTGCACGTCGATGGGCTATAAGTAAAAATAAATAAATATTTAATTTTGATTTAAAAAATATTTTTAGATAATCTAATTTTTGGAGAAATATTTGGATTATTAAATGAAAATATAATTTTAATTTTGGTTTATAAAATAATCGAGGAAAATAAGAAGGAAAATTCGATTTTAATTTTAATTGAGAAAATGTTTAGTGAATTAATTGAAATAAAGTAAGTAGAAATAAAATTAATTTAAAAATAATTATTTTAAGTAATGAGAATAATAAAATTATAAAAATAGAAGAAGAAATTAATGAAAATGTTGAGGATTGGAATTTAGATTTAGATATAGAAAGAAGAAAATTCGAGTTGGAAAATAATGGGTTTACTGGTTTAAAGTCTTCAGAAAAAACAAAAATTGTTTGGAAAATAATTAATTTAGGGTATCCACCACAAAATGTTGCTTTTAAAATTAATTATTATACACAAATTATAATTAAAGAAAAAATGGAAATTGGTTAGAGAAATAAATTTAAATATATAAATTTAATTAATTTTTAGCAATTAAACAATTAAATAAAATTGAAAAGTTGGAAAATGAAAATGAAATTAAAAGAGAATTGAATAAATGGATAAAGGGAAAAGATTTTGTAGAAATGGTTGGTTAAATAATCTTTTTTATAAAATTTAGAATAATTTCCCAAATATTTTATTAGTTTGAGGAAATAATTTTAATGCCTCTTTTTGTAGAGATGTGATAAGTCTGTAATTATTAGCCAATTAAAAACTGAAAGTATTTAAATCTGTTGTACATAATCTGGGTAGAATTTAAAAAGTATAGGAGTTTAGGCATTGAGGAGTCTTTTACTTTAATTCTTAATTAATTGCTAAATTTAAAAAATATTTTTTCTAAATTTATACTTTTTAGTATCAACATTATTTACTTGTTATTTGTGCCTATTCTCCAGACAGTTTGGGAGGTCCTTCACTTTGTGATTTAATTGAATGTCATTTAACATTTCTTTTGATAAAAAAATTTGAAACATTAAAATTTATTGAATATTTTCATATAAACCCAAAAGCTTTATTTAAAAGAGGAAATTGTCCAAAAGCAACAGGAATTAAAGAAGAGGTTTTTTAATTAAAAGAAATTTTATTTATTTAATAATTTTAATTAAAAGGATTGGAAATGTACTGGTTGGATTATTGGATTTAAAATTTTAAAAGAAGAAGAAACTAAGGAAAATATAGAAGAATTAAAAAATAAAATTAAATCATTAAAAGAAAATGATTTTAAAAAATATATTGACAAAAATGGAGAAGAGGGAAAAATCAAAATTGGAGCTTCTTATTTAAATGAGAAGAAATTTAAAGAATTTATCGCTGCATAAAAAGACGAAACTTTGTTTGAAAATGATTTTTTGGAGGAAAAAAGTTTGGAAAGATTTTTATAATTTAACGAAAAACATTTGGAATTTCTTGGGGATATTTAATTTAAATTTATTTTTAGATTATTTTTTATTTTTATAAATATATATAAATTTATTTTAAAATACAAAGTGTTCCGAGTTTAAGTTTCGAAATAGTACTAACTATATTTTTCACTTTATTTTTATGAAATACATATTTAAATATATATAATGTTTATCACTACAGGTTTATGTTTGACAAAAAATATAATCAATGTGATCAGGTTTTCGGTTAAGAATCGAACCGAAAATTGGAGATTTTTCGGTTCATTCGTCAAAACTCATTTTCCTAGAATCCTCAGAATTTGTTGATTGTGGAGGAAATATGTTGATTGACCTTTTGATGTAGTAATGAATAAATATAGTAGAGATTATTTTTGTTCTTATTAATTTTAATAGTAATTAATCTAAAAATATTCGGTTATTTTAATTAAATATATTAATAAAAATTAAATTAAAAATCTTTGATTTCTTTTTGAACATTTTTTTAAATTAAAAAGGAACGGCTGTCTATTTAATATATAAATTAGTGTGGGCGTTCATTTGTTGATTATTTCTTTATACTAAGCATCTGTTCGAATTTACTGAACTTTTTATTACTAGAATGAATTTAAAAAATTTTCATTTCAAGTAAAATCATTTTATTTTTAAAATTTATTTTTTATATTTAAATATTTTAGCTTTTTTAACATATATTTAGAAAATAGTTTTTAATCAAATATACAATTTAATTTTTAAATATATATTTAAATAATATATATGCATAATTTTAAATTATTTTCACGGGATATAAAACTGCAAATGTTCGTAGGGTGGATACTTTTACGAGCCCTTTAGGAGTATCTAGCAATTGACATGAGCTTAGTAATATTTAATATTATCATAATCTCATCTCTTGATTTAAGTGTTTTTTGTGTTTACAGTCTTTAGTCTTTGTGTGTAGTCTTGAAAACATATATGGTCTCTAATTTTAGTCATTAGGTGTAGTCTTGTTCTTGATTTTGTACACTAAGATCATCCATTCGATAGGATGCTAATTTAACTAAAATCAACTTTATATACATATATTTTAGAATATAGTTAATATATATTACAACAAATATGTTTGGAACAGCTCAAGATCCAGCTATTGTTGACTGTGCTATCTGTGAAAAGAGAGTTGAACATGCAGATAAATTTGTTGTGGAGAAAGAGATCAGTAAGTGAATTTAATAAATATCATTTTCTAAATAATATATTAAGTTACTTTAATTGATAGGTAATACTAGAAATAATAAATTGAATTTAAAGCTTGTATATATTGTATTCTTTTAATCAAAATTTAATTTTCAACCCTCTAAAAATAAATTTAATTTTAGTTCATAAAGACTGTTTTAAATGTGCCTTATGTGGAACAAGACTCCAAGTTGGATTTTGTGCAATGGAACTTTCCCTATATAATCGTTATGGACCTCGCTGGTATTGCTCATTAATTTGTGCGCATCAACCCCAAGCTGTTAAAGAAGCAAAACTTAAAGAATTAGGAATACCTGTAAATTAATTGAAAATTAAAAAAAAAACAATTTATTTTGTTTTTAAAGGTTCGTCAACCGAAAACAAAGAAAGAAAATTAAAAACAATGGCAAAATGATAATTATACAAATATGTGTATGTATTTGAGGTGCCAGATAAGAAAATTATTTTAAATCAAGCATTGTAAAAGGGTTAAAACATTTAAATGAATAAAAATTATTTTTAAAATATTTTATTTTCGGGAAGACTTACAGAGTAAAGAAAACAAAAAAGGAAATTTTTTGTAAGAGAAAATTCGCTTAAATTCCTGTGCATATACCTAATCAAAATTAATTATCAGTTTATCTACTGGATTTGTGGCAGTTATAAATTTCTATTAATTAGATCTTCAGATAGTATTAAATACTAATTCAGGGGGTTGCTGTTCTCGATTCAAACTAGCATTTAGTATCCTATTTTATCGAACATATTTTTTTAAGTTATTTAGGTTTTACTTTTGCCTAGCAATTTTCCAAGCCAAATTTTCGCAAACTTGCTCGATCTTTGACTCGGGCTGGCTACCTATTAACATTTATTTTAATTATTCATACAAATATTTTTAAGAAATTAAATAGTAATTTATTTTCCAGTATTTATTTAATATTTTCTTCACTATTTTTTCCATTTCTTTCATCTCTTATTTTAGTAGATCTAATACCCAATTCATTAACATATTCATCTACATTATCGCAATTATCTGTCGAATTACATTTTCGTAAAAGAGAAATTGCTTGGTCTCTCAATTTTGGTAAACGAAAATATTCAGCTTCTTGTGTCAATAAGGCTAGCCTGAAAAGTTTTATGTAAAATTATTCGAGTAATTTACATATATCTTTTAAATATTTATTTCTCTCAATTTATAATTTTATATCCATCTTTAAATACCTGTCTGGATCCTTAGGCAAGCAGACCTCCCAGAGTTGTTTAGATGTTTGCAGTCGCAAGTAGTTTAGAATTATACCAAAACTAATTGAATCTCTATCAATGAAGTAACGCCCTTTAATTGAAAATTTTATAATTTATATCTTTTAAAATCCTTTCTAAAATATTTAAAGAAATTAAAGATCTGTTTTGGAGTTTAAAATTTTTAATAAATTGCTTATATTCGAAAATATAAGATAGTATTATAATTATGAGGGGGGATTATTATAATTTACTATCTCAATCATTAACAAAATAATTTATTTTTTAAATTAACCTTTTCTATCTTTATTTAAATGAGCCTGTCCTTTACGTTCAATATACCACTAAAAAGAATCTTTTCTTTTTAAGTAGAAAAACTTTAATTTACCGAGTAAAGAATACAATTTTTGTCAAAACCAATTGTTTCATATGTTGTAGAAAAATATTGTCCCCCAACATTAAATTCTATTAAATCTGCCATTTCTTTAAATATTTTTTAATTAAAAACGATTAAAATATTAATAGATATTTAATAGATAATCTTTTAATTTTGAGCTAATTTATTTTAAAAAAGAAAACATCTATTTTTGGCAATGAAAACTTTTTACTAAAAAATTATTTGCCAAACAATAATGTAAATAATAGAAAAAGCAAAATGCTTTCCACTTATAAATTTCAAATCAATATTGTTTTTTTGAAAATAAGCCCTTGGCTTTCGAGTGCCGTCTAAGACAATACTATTACTATTTTAGTATTTTATAATTTTGATGAATGTTTCTATGGAAGTAAAGAAAAATAATTGTTATTGAAAAAATAAAAAGATTTAATTTTTAATTATAAATACATATTTAATTAAGGAAATTTCTAATTATTTTTTTAAAAATTTAATTATTAAAAAATTATTTCGAAAGAAAATAAAAATAATTGGATGAATTTGTTAAAATAAAAAATTTGTTAAAATATTTTTTAATCGAAAAAATACAAAATCGATTCCAACTTCAACTAATAAAAATTTTTCCCTCGAACCTCATTCCGCTGTGCAAATTTGTTTTATAATTTCGGGTACTTCAACAATTTACTCACCAACCTAAAAACAGCAATTCTCTTCAATTATATTTTTAGCGCAAAGTAAGTCCATAAAAATAAACGAGGGAAATAATATTCAAAAACATAAAAAATAATATTTAATTGAATTTTCTTACAAAATTATTTTTTTTTATTATTTCCGTTTATAAAAATTATTTTATGTAATATTTTTAATTTCTTTTAAACTTTAAATATAAAAAGATAAATATAATAATAAATCTCTGATAATCATTATAAATGTAGTTGATTAATAATTAAGGAAAAATGTTGGTAACTATGTAAAAATGAAGAAAAACAATTTGTAAAAAGCGCAGTGAAAGAAAATGTTTAAAATATATAAATAATAAATGATGGGAAAATATTTAATTAAAAATTTGTGATAAAAGAATTAAATAAAAGATATAAACACGTCAAGAATTCTCGATGATAATTTTTTCAATTTTTTATTTAACAAGGTCTTGCTGTATTTTCACCAACATCATTAGTAAGGGAATTTCTAGTATTTTGTTTTGAAATTGTCCCCTCAATTCTTTCAACTTTAACAGCTTTATAGATTGCTTTTTGTTTACGATATCTTTAATTTATTTTAAATTTTATTTAACAAAATATTTATTTATTTTTTACCTCAAAAATAATTCACACCATGCCAAAGCACAAGTAAAAGTAAAAAGAAAATTCGAAAATGTTAAAAGTTTGGCCAAGACACCAATGACTGTAAAAACTTCATCAAAAGTATTTCCTTTTACTCGAAAAGAAGCAATAAAATAATCTATATGATGCATTATTTCATCAAGAGAAAAATATGTTGAGAAAAAATCAAAAAAGTTAAGCCCGATTGAAGCTATAATTAAATCCTGGAAAAGCCCTTTATGTTGGTGAAGAACGGTTTTTGGTAAAGAAATTAGTGTACACAGAGAAAATGCTTCTAGCCATTTTGATACCTTTTTAAAAAATAATTAAATATTAATTTTAATATTTCAAAGAGAGAAGGAAGGGGTCACTCACTCTCAAATAATGGGGGGGGGCTCTCTTTGATAAATAAATTATAAATAGTATAACATACAATATTTAGTAATATTGGGGCATCTAGAAGAACAACAGCTTCTAATAAAGAAGTACCACTTCCATTACTTCTGAAGAAATAAAGACGTTCAAGAAATTGGGCTAATGAAGCTGGGACCATAAATGGCAAGGTTGTAAACATCATTAATTTATCAACAAAAGAATCAGCTCTGTATATGACATCTAATGTTTCACAAGGAATTTTCCTTGTCCAATTGTAAAGCTTAATTTTAATTTTAATAATAATTTCAAAATTAGTGTGGCTTATAAATGAACTAATAATCTGTTAATTTTATATTAACTACACAGTAAGATATATAAAAATAACCAAAATTCGAAGAACAATTTGTGTTAAAGCAAAAACAAATTTAGTAACAGAGACAGATTCATTAATTAAATTATCTGAAGGTGATTGTAATATAGGTATTCCATCTTTAACTCCATTCATTCTCAAATACAAATAAAAAGAAAATAACCAAATTAAAAATCCCATCCCAAACAAAATTTTAGATAAATTTTTCATTATATTTTCACTCCAGCTGGGAATTGGTGGAGCATTTAGAGGTTTTGCTGGGTGGCGAATACTTCCCTTAATTTATATTTTTTGAAATCATTTAATTTTAATAAATTACCTCAGGTAATGCCATGTTAAAAACAAAACCAGGCATTTTTAAAGCAGATGTTAACTAGAAATAAAAAATAAAAAGTACGTCCACCGCTTTCCGCAAAAGGAAGTTGCAATTTATCTCTCATTTGCAGAATTCTGCACATTTGCCACTTTCCTTTAGCTTTCCTCAGGTTATCAAATAATTATATAGACAAAGAGATAGTATTTGGGATATCATTTTATAAGGATAGGGCTTGGGAGAAAATTTATTCTAATATTTAATTACCATTTTCTTTTTAGCCAAAAATTCAGCTCTTTTCTCTCCATAACCACAAACTAGCCTTAATATATTTTTTTAATTATTTAAATTACAAGACAAAAATAACCAATGAACAACAAGTAGAACAGGAATAAATTCTGTAGCCAAACTAATAATTCCTGGATAAAGAAGATTTTTACTTAATCCAACCCAAACAAGTTCTTTTTCTGTTGATGCATTACAATAATTTCTAAAAGAAAATTTTTTAATTTAAAAAATAATTTGTATTCTTCACATATTTCCCTGAAAATGACTATGCGTCTCTTCTGGGCAAAATATTTCTAAAGCCATTTGAACAGTCTCATCTTGACATAATTCCTTAAGAAAATAATTATTAGCTTAATTAAATATCAAAAACATACCTCAATTGTTCCATAAACTTTTGAACCTATTAAATCAAGACGGAATAACACTAAAGTAGTGTTGAACATTGTACGTGTCAGTGTATCAAAACAAGTATTTAATGAACCAAAATTAGCTCTTTAAAAATAAATCATTAGGCTGGTAATTTACCACGAGTCAATTTTAACTCGAAAAGGGTTAATAAAATGTGTGTATTATAAGGAAGTATTTGGCTAATAAAGAACTTTTTGTTTAATTATATTTAATAGTTCCTCTAAAAAAATTTCCAGTTACCGTCTAATAAGGTAAAATACAGAAAGTATAGCAAAAACAACAAGTCCTGCACGTTGTGTTGATCTAATAAGTAAAGTAATTATATCTCCATCACTAACATGTGGACAATCTTGAAATGCCAGTTTAAATAACTTTAAACAAAAAATCCTTTTAATTAATTTATTTTTTAATCAAACAAAATGAAATGCATATCCCATTGCTACAAGTGTACCCATTACAATCATACAAATAAAACTTGGCCAAGGAATATCATATGGATCGTCCAATCTTGGCATAAAATGAAGTTTATAAAGGAAGATTGACAAAAATAATATGGAGAAAATGACACAAATTGTTAACATCTGTTGGGGAATTTAAATTGAATTTAGTGCAAATAATATTATTAATTTATCGGGAAAACTGGATGGATTAATTTATTAATTGAGAATTCGAAAATAAAATTATCTTCAATCCGCTAGATTTGTAAATTTGAAATTATTTAAATGTGTGAATAAGAAAATCAAATAGATTTAAATAATTTTCATTAAATAAAAGCTTACTAAATGATAAGGAATTGTAATTCCCTTATATCTCCAAAATAAAACTAAAAAATAAATTATCATTCCAATTGCTGGAGCAAAAAGTCCATCAAACATCCACCAATATTTTCGCATTTAAATTTTAATTATTTAATAACCAAAATATTATTTTATTTAAAATACTTTTTTACAAATTCTAAAATATTTTCCTTTATTTTCTTTTTAAGTAAAGGTTGTTTTACTCGGTTTTAAACAGTAATAAAGTTGGTTTGTAAAAATGTTCTAATCCTCTTGACTCCACTAACATTAAAAATTTCCACACGTTCATTTTACGCATGTTTGAAATAAAAATGCCGCTATGGAAACGGATATAATTTAGTTATAAATAGAAAAGAAATTTTAATTTCAAATAACGTTATTACGTTGTTAAATTATAAGAAAACAGCTACGGCCACAAAATTATTTTAATTTGATCAAAAATGTTAAACAAAAAAGGAACGAATATTAATTAAAGTATAAATCTAATTAAAGCATATTAATTAATGTATAAATTAAAAGTATGTAGAAACCTTATAGTAAATTATACATAATTCTAAATAAAGAGTTTTAATAAATCAAATATTAATAGATGCTTTAAATTATTTAAGTTTTATGGTTTCCTAATTTTAATTTTGATGTCATTTTTAAAGAATGATTTTATAGAATAAGTTTTCTTATAAATGAACAAAAAATCTTAATTATTTTTGGGACAATTTGTAAATCAAGTTTACTTTACTATATTATGTTCATAAAAACAATATTAAACAAATCATACATATTTACAATTAGAGATCTACGTATTATTAGTTATATATATATGTACAATATTCTCCATTCTTTTATATCGCTGATCTCGGGGAGATGAACACAGAGCGTGGCATCGATTCGGCACTTCTAGCGGAAGAATTTGATCTGTTACGTCTCCGACTCATGCTCCTACTTCGACTTCTGTTCCTACGTCGACTCCTGCTTCTTTGCCGACTCCTTCCTCTTTGTCGACTCCTGTTACGACTACGACTCCTTTCTGATTGTTGCCTATCTCTGCGTCGATGCCTGCTCGTACTCCTATTCATGCTCCGACTTCTATGTTGTCGTTGACGACTTCTACTCCCTAAAATTTTTATTTTAGCTTGAAATTTAAGGTTTCTATCTACTTGAGCCTCCACCAGTATTGTTAGAAGATACGGACAAAGAGGAGTTAGTCCGCCGCGAATTATTTGAGATAGCTGGAGATTGCGAATTTCGCCTATGACTGCTACTTTCACGTCTTCTTGTGTTGTAGTTATCGGATTTCCCTTCAGTCTCACGTGCTTGTCGTGCTAAAGCATCAGCCTAAAATTGCAAACAATTAAATCAGGAATCAATGACAGACCATTTCATTCCCTTCAATACCCGTATGCCCAGGAACCCATCGGAACAAAACACCACGAGGGAATTGTCCAGCAACATCTCTCAGTCGTTGATAATCATCAGAAAAAGCCCAATCGCTACTGTCGGACTGCAATCCACGAACAATCTGTATATAATCAGAGTTTAGATCCACATTTTCGCCACTAAAAATTTTAAATTACAAACAAAAATAGTGAGAATATCACTTGTATGATGACCATCTTAACAAATTGTTTAGACCAATTCTTGCTGCCATCAACTCGGCCAATCCGCTGTTAATCACGTTCCGTAAATAAACGCCTCTGTTTAAGGGATGATCCCGGCCGTAGTACATTCCAATCCCAGAACCTCTATAATGATCAGTAGAGCCATCAGTGAATACCTTAAAGATATTTAGAAGCCATTATCAAATTATTTCACTAACTTGAATGGTTGCTCTATCAGCAAATCGGTTCGGTCTCTCGAAGAATACCACACTTTCATTGATTGCAATGTCTGAAGCTGCTTTTCTGATTTGTGCAGGGTTTGCAGAATTGGCATGTCTAGAAGATGGAGGTACTGATACTGAGCGTCGCATGTGTTTTTCAAACGAGTTGTTGTTGGAGTGCTTCAAGCCACCTCGGAGCAATCCCAAAGTTGAAGTGAGGTCTCGAGAAGAAGGCCTCGTCGTGACGAAAGGGTGTTGACCAACGGATGAGTAAGTTTATGTTAGCACTGAGTGAGCGGATTCTAGGTTAATAAAATTTAATTTTTATACTACCATACTTATTATCCTGGAATCTCTCTTTTATCTCTAAAAGGAATTCATTGGGTACTGTAATCGACTATTTTTGATTACGGTTTTTTGCTTCAAATTTTTGCAAAAATTTGCAAAAATATCTGGCCTAGTATCATCGGAGTTGAAACGAAATAGTACACTTAAAATTTGAAATTGGCGAGAGAAAAAGACTAATTAGCTAATTATTTTCAGGTCATCGGTTTGTTGCAGCAATTTATTTTTATATTTTTCTTAATTCTGGAACAATCAACTAACATCTTTATTCAAATTAAAAATAATGACATACCGAAAAGTCTCCCAACAAGATTTACAACACCAATCTAGAGGTACATACTAGGCTTTTAATAATTAAAAAATAATTTTTCTTAAGAAATCCGTTCTCAATTATTTGAACAAATAAAATGTTTGGAACAACGATCGAATGATAAAGTTGCTATATTTCAAGAAATTAATGATTTCCTCAAAAAACGTGCAGAATTAGATTTGCAATATTCAAAAGAGCTTGACAAACTAGTTAAATCTGTTATGATGAGACACAAAGCTGAAAGACAAAGGTAGGAGAATTTTCTTGATTTTGTTTTAAAAATAATTTCTTTAGACGCCCTAATTGGTCTATTTATTCAATCTGTAATTTATGGCAACAAATTGTGGATGATGCTAAAGATGAAGCTAAACAACGTTCAATAATTGCTGATGTATTTTTCTTAACATTTCTTTAAAAATTCTAATTTTTCTTTAAAAGGTTTGTACAAATTACATAATTCCAGGAATTAATAATAAATGTAATTCACTCCAAAAAATGTCTAAAAAGGTTTTTAAAATATTTTTATAAAAATAATATTTAAAGTGTCGTGATATTGCTCTTCTCGCGGCTGGGGAAGTTATGCGCGTTCTAAATGAGTTTTTCTAATTAAATTTGATTTTAAATAATTTTCTAATTTTTAGGCTCTCGTTGGCTATGAAAACTTATCATGTAAATTTATTTGTTAAATTAACTATTTTTTTAATAAATTTAGAATTGCTATAATGAATTTTCTGTTTTGAGCGCTAAACTTCATAATGCTGAAGAACAAAAAAGAAAAATAATGGAGGCAAATAGTTCACTACGAAAGCAGAATTCTATACAAAAAACTTTTGAAAAAGTAAGAAATTTTAATTTTAGTTTTATTTTTAATTTTTTAAGAGAAATGAAAAATATGAAATAGCTAGACAAAAATGTATGCGTGCTCGAAATGAAGTTTTTAAATTTTTTTTTGTTTTAATTTTATTTTTTTGAATAGTATCTTCTTTGTATTGATGCGGCAAATTCATCTCTTTACAAATATTTTGCTGATGATGTATCTAATATTATTGATGTTTGTTATTTAAATGATATTAGTAGGCATTTGGAATAGCATAAGTTGTTAGATTAATGTTGTTCTCTTTCTGTTTGCCTAAAAGAATCTTTTGTTTCTCTTTAAAGTCCAACTAATTTCCTCTAATCTTTTTAAAATTTCTATTGCCTTCCCTTATATCTATTTTCAATAATTTTTATTTTTTTTCTAGTGTGAAGATTTGGGATTAGACTGTTGGCTCCGCATGATTCTTCAAAATTTAATTTCTGCGAGAAAATCAGCGTGTCAATCGGAAATGAATGGTTTTTCGTTATATTTTTTGAAAATTTATTAAATAAAATTTAATAGCACTTGCAAATCTGAGTGGATTTCGTGACTCTTTGCAATCGAGAGATGATAAACAACGATTTTTTGAAAGCAGCAATCAAACATTTATGTTGCCAAAAAGATTTGATTTCAAGTTTGATTAATTTTAAAATCTGTTAATTTAATGATTTTAGATGCGAGCAGAGCGAAACAATTTTTGAAATTTCAACAAACGATTTAAGAGAAGAATTTAGACAACGTCATAATCAAATAAGAAAACGTTTAGAAATTTTGAGAATGGAATCTGAAGGAAGTTGGCAAAAATTGGTTGAAATGGAAAAGAAAATGCAAGGTTTTCTCCTTAAAAGTGTTCTTCGTTAAAATATCTGAAATTATTTAGAATTACTTGCTGTGTCTACAATTGTTGAGATTAATGAATTTGGAATTTCTGATAAAAGGCCATCTACTGAATTGGTGGAACAGGAACTTAGCAATATTTTTGAATCTTATTTACAAGTAATTTTTGATAAGTACATAATTATTAGATCGTTCTTTAAATTTTTCTTTAAATTTCTATTTCATTTTTTTATAATCTAAAATAAGTAAAATTATTAAAATAATTATTTTAAATTTAGTCATTCACATTCTTTCTTCTCAATGCTAATTTAATCTCTCGATTAGAAGCTAGAGCTAATGGAATCAATAATGGATTAAAATGTAGAAATATAAATGTGGCTTCATCAAAACAAAATATTTCTGACGGTGATAGATTGAATGGTTTACTTTTGTAAATAAATTTAATTCTATTTATTTTTAGGTAATTCTTCTATTGAGAAAAAATCCGACACCGACGGATCTGAAATCGAGACAATAATTCATCAAAGACCAAAAAGAAGAATTGGGTCTCAAACTTCAACAGAATGCCAATTTTCTTCCCCTTGGACATTACGTCCAAAGTTATTTGGAGGTAGTTTGGAACAATATACAGGTTTTTACTAGTTTATTGCTAAATTTTGGTAATTTCTAGATGGCACTGGGGAACAAATTCCTCTTGTTGTTGTAAGCTGCATTCGAGCGCTTTCTCTATTTGCACTACAACATCAAGGAGTATTTAGAATTAGTGGATCTCAGATTGGTTTGTTTTTAATTTTTTATTTTTTTTTTAAATTTAACTTTAGAAATAAACCGGATGCGTGAGGCTTTTGAAAATGGTAACATCGTAAATGACCTGAGATTTATTAATTTTTAAAAATTTAGGGGAGGATCCTTTGAAAGACGTTAAAAGTGCAACAGATACTAACAGCATTGCTGGATTGTTAAAATTGTATTTTCGAGAGCTTAAAGAGCCTTTATTTCCTTTCTACTTATTTGATTTGTTAACAGGTATTTTTATTTCAATTTATTTTTAATGTTAATTCAGATTGTGCAAAATATCATAAAATCTCAGATTTTATTGCCCAAATTAGACCCTTAATAAGCAAATTGCCTCGTTCTTCATATATTCTTCTTCGATTTTTATTTGCATTCCTTAAACATTTAAGTGAATTTAGTGACGAAAATATGATGGTATTTTTAAATGTTTTTTTATTAAAAGTATTTTTATAGGATACTTATAATTTGGCTATATGTTTTGGACCTACGCTTTTACCAATTCCTGAAGGAAAAGACCAAGTGAGAATTTTAATATTTATTTTTTTTTAATTTTTTAGGTAATTTATCAAAACTCTGTCAATGAGGTCATTAAAAATTTAATAGTCCATTGCAATGAAATATTCGACGAAAAATTGCCTGGACCTAAATATGAAAAGTACAACCTTAATAGCGGTTTAGATACTCCAGCAGATACAGAATTGGAATTATTTGTTGACGATGAATCAGGGTTAATTTTTATTTTTAAAAATTTTTCCTTATTGAGCACAAAAAAAAATAAAATTGGTAACAATTATTACTTATGGAAAAATACAAAAATAAAATATTTTTTTAGTATCGATGGATTAGATGGCGATGGAAAACAATGGAGTTGTGGAAGTGTTGAAGCTTCGCTATTTCCTTACAATTATAAAAACCCCCAAAATATAGTGCCTTTTTTGGGACGTCCTATTCAACTTCCCAATTTCTGTGAACAACCACAATTTGCTGAAACAATAAATGAAAGAGAATTGAATTTTTTAAATAGTGAAGACTTTAATCAAACCGGGTGTATTACAAGTCCAAATGCAAAAAATAGAGGTTGTTTAATTATTTCATTAATTGTTAAAAAAATTTTTTCTAACATTTTAGCAACTTCAAGAGAACAAAAGTTGACAGCTACGGGGAGACGAGAAATACAACCCGAGAAATTCAATGACGACTTTTACACCAAATATTCTTTAGAAGGTAGTTTTTTAGTTAACAATGGGGGGAAGCATATTAATTGTTTTAACTAATATCCAGTTGACCGAAGCATGGATCATGAAAAAACTTCATCAAGTAACATAATTATGGGCACAGAAAATGTTAGGAATTATCCTCATAATAAACTTTATTCTTCAATTGATAAGTGAGAATTTAAAATATTCCATTTAAACAATCATTTTTAGAAGCACAAAAACGACTGCCTCTGTTCCAAATACAAATACAGAGGAGTTAGAAATACAGAGGAGTTAGAGAGTTAGAAATACAGAGGAGTTAGAGAGTTCCAAATACAGAGGAGTTAGAGGTGAATGATCCAACTAGATTTCTGAGTTTCTATAATCCAAAAAATTTTCCCAATGAAAATGTTAACTCTCACAATCCTCGACAATTTGGAACAAATAAAGGTATAATTTTTGAAAGATTTTATTATATTAAATTTGCAAAATGAAGGACAAATGCCTTCCGCAATAGCAATTGAGGGAGGACGTCAATGCAATAAAATCGATGATTTGCTGAATAAACTTGCTTTGCAATCAAACGAAAAAGAAGGTGTTGGAATAGGAAAAAATATTACTAGATAAATTTTATACTAATTAAACACTAATTTCCTATAAATATAATAATTTAGTCCGATTCTCATATCTTTGTGCCCAATAATTTTAATTTAATAACTTTTCATTTATTAATTTTTGAAAATGAATCATTTAAATTTATCACTATTTTACTTCTGATTTTGTGATGAAAGGAAGAGATCCTTTTTTAATTTTTACATATTTGTGAAATTTTTTATTTTCAGATTTTTAGTTCTTTCTGTTATTATACATGAAAATGCCGGGTGCAGATCGTTTATCCAAGTCCTATGCTATTGTAAAAGTTGGTTATATTTTTTTTATATATTTGTAGCATGTATAACGGATTTTTTTCTATTCATAAAACCCGCGTTTCTATTCATGCCGTTAATTTTCGAGTTTAATTTGAATTTAAGTTTACCAGTTTGTGTCTGTCAAAATATTTTTGAATTTTAAGTTGCGAGCTAGAGGAAATGGAAGTGTAATTACTAAAACAATCACCAAATTGAAGAAACCTCTGGTATTTTTATATAAATTTTATTAACTTTCTCGTCTATTAATTTAATAGAATTTACAAATTCGTTCGTTAAAAGTAAATGGATTGCCACTGACGAGAGATGGTCCACATAGCAGTTCCGTTGATGAAATAATTGAACAGTTAGAAATGGCAAAGCAGTCAATTGGCAACGAAATGGAAAAGCAATTCAAGATGGTTATTTTAGAATGAATATTTGTTTTTATGTTAATGATATTTTAAGAATCCAATAACAGAGACTGTACTAAATGAAGATCAGGATTTGCCGGATAATTTTAATGTACACAATACTGAATTGAATGATAAATTTGAAGATATGCTTGTAAGTTTTTATATTTTGAATAACATTTTTGGACTTATTTTAGAGGCGTATTGATCAACTTCAACAACAAATTGAAGCAGTTCGTATGGAATGTAAAGAAGAAAGAGCAAATAGATTGAAAGTTTGCCTTTCAAGGATTTTCTAAATTTATTTTTATTTTAAAGTTATCAGAAGAAATGGATCAAAAATACAATTATGTACTCGAACGAATTGCTTCTTTGGAGAAAAAATTACAAGAGAGCTTTGGAAATAACCAGATAAACATGGATATTACACAAAATGCTTTGCCTTCCGAACAGGTAGATAATTAAATTTTGAAAATGACTAAATTTTTTGACATTCATTTAATTTTAAATATTTCTGAATGATATATTTAATTCGCTAAATCCTTCCTTTTGTTTGTTTGTTCTATTAACAATAGAAAATTATATTATTTTTATTCATATTTAAATAATTTATAGACCTATGAACTGATCAACCAAAATGATGATAATATTCCTTTGGTTGATTCTGAGGATATTTCAATCGACAACGATATTTCTGTTAGTTAAATAAGTACTTTATTGACTCAAAAAATCATTTATAGATAATGCCTCAACTCGAAAAAGCTACAGATTCTCAATTAGATGTTGAAATTATTGGCGAAGTCTTACATGATTATAAGATTGGATTACCTGCGTTTAAAAAAGAGAGTGCATCGAATCAGCTTACTGAATGGCCTGTTTTAACGTTGGAAAGTGATTATTCTGAAAATAATGATAAAACCAGTTCACGAAAGACTGTAAGTTCTCATACATTCTCGGGTATTGAACCTTAATAAAAGCATTTTTATAATTGTCACAGAAAACAAATATACGGTTTTATTACGGATCCTTTTTTAATTTTAGAAATTGCTTTTGAATTAAGAAAATTAGAAATACAAATATGAATACTATAAACATGAAACCTCACTTTAAAACATTCTAGCTCTTACTTTGATAGGTCTCAAACGAGTCTGAGGCTTTTCTATAATTTAACATCAATCATAACTTTATATTTTAAGATTATTCCAATTTGTATCAAAAATGAAAACAATAATGTTGTTGATCCTCGGCCGTCTACTAGTAAATACGGGAATTGAATTTGAATGATATCAATTAAAATATTCACGGGGCACTATATATACATTTGAATCCCTTTATAGCACCGCTGGTATATATTCCGAATAAGGTAATAGGTGAAGCAATAAATGGGGCTCACCTACAGCCCTACTTTTACATTAGAAACACCAAATTGTGTTATTTTTTAATATGTCTAAATGAAGCTTCTTCGACGTGATCCCACTTTTTGGCTCCATTCTATTGGCGGGACTATAACGAGATTCAAATGTGTATATTTTTATTTTGACCTTTTCAATTATTTTGTTACTTTTTCATTTTATTTTGAATTTTACTCTAAACTTTACCTTTTCTTTTACTCTTTTTAGTGAAAATTTGAAAACACCCCAATTTTAAATTATTTGAATAGTATGGATAATATTTTTGATTGTAAAGATAATTGTTTAATTTTTTACTTTGAAAATTTGATGTTTTTATCTAATATATGATAAACTTTGACTATTTATAAGTTCTTTCATTAGTTTCTTAGAATGACTTCCAAAATAGATATAAAATCTAAAATTATGTACACAAAAAAATTTAAAGACTATATTAGACAAACGCTTCATCATCATTAACCGGATTTTAATTTTCTAGTCGATTATATTTGTATAGTAATTTCAGGCACAGTTGTTTGTTGTGCCGTTCTGTATTGCACCTGCAAAAATGTTGAGGAGTTATTTAAATATCGTGGTTACATATATTTAAATAAGTTTTTGAGTTAACCTATTTCATACACATTATTTGGAAAATTGTTTTGCTGATTGGCTATTTGATTTGTTCGTATATGGTATGGAAAGTGTTTTGCTTTGCAGAAGGGGCATGTTAATATCTGAATTTTTTTAATTTTAAAATAAATTTTGTAGTAAACGTACTAAAAAGAAAATAAACCCAGCAGTTATAATTGCAGAATCTACACCTTGAACAACTTCCTCTCTTACCCAATTATCCAAAATAAAATTGGCAATAATTAAAACGATTGGGCCTGACCAAAACCTTTAAATTAATTATACAATATATTTTAATATTTATTGAAAACCCAACCAAAAAGTGCTAAAAATATTCATAAAAATGTAAAATCGTTTTTTGAGTGGGTATTTCTTTACTGTTACCTGAAATCGTGACCGGACAATCCGTCAGTGGACAATCCGGCAGTGGAAAATCCGTCAGTGGACAATGCGTCAGTGGTCGGACAATCCGTCAGTGGACAATCCGTCAGTAAACAAATTTGTAATTCTTACCTCTACCAAACCTACCGTAGCCAAAAATTTTCATTTTTTCGTGTTGGGGATTATAAGAGATATCGAAAATTTTGAGATTAATGAGTAAATCGGCAAATTGGCCGGATTTGGTAGATCTGGACATGGGAGATAACGGGGAGTTCAATATATCGTAAAATTAAGGGAGATACAATAGCTTCGGAGTATTATGGTGGTTATCGAGGTATTTGGGAGATTAAGAGGGATTTTGTGGATTAAGTGGGATATTAAGGGATATAGATTGATCAAGAGGATTTGGAAATGGCTCCATGATTTCATCTAAAAACAATCTCTATTATTCATCGAGTTGCCATAGTCCTACGATATTTATCAAAATCCAACAATAATCCCACCCGTTAATCACGTAGATCTAATCCATCCAAATCTCCGATATCATTCAAATCCATAGACATTCGCTTATTTCATCCAAATTGCCCATTGTCTCCCAAATCCAGATCTACCAAATCCGGCCAATTTGCCGATTTACTCATTAATCTCAAAATTTTCGATATCTCTTATAATCCCCAACACGAAAAAATGAAAATTTTTGGCTACGGTAGGTTTGGTAGAGGTAAGAATTACAAATTTGTTTACTGACGGATTGTCCACTGACGGATTGTCCGACCACTGACGCATTGTCCACTGACGGATTTTCCACTGCCGGATTGTCCACTGACGGATTGTCCGGGAGCCCCTGAAATGTTAAAATAATTATTTTATAATTTGTTAATAATATGTAAAACAACCCAGCTACATCGTGAAAACCAAATCCATCCACAAATATTTAAATAAATAATACAATATGCCGGTACACTTTCTGAAATGTATGTTATTTGAGCTGGGTCGAAAATCTAAATTTTAATAAAATATTTTTAGAATATTTTATTTTCTTGGAAGTATTTATCTAATTTTTGTCCTACTATTATTGTCCCCTCTCACACCTTTCAATAGAGATTTTAAAAACATCCCCTTTTTTTGTAAATACTTACAATTATTTCCCATCCTAACATTAAAAGTCTAAGAACAAAATAAGCAGAAATAAAGAAAACAATTTTTATGCTTGAACATGTTGATATCTTTGCTCTCGTTATTGTATATCCTTTAGCTATTAGAAAAAGAAGAAGCACAAATAACACAATAGAAAATTGTCTGAAAATAAATTAGATTGTTTTTAAACTTAATTTTAAATATTTTTGTCATAATAACATTTCGATTAGGTATCTAATATATAAAATATCAAATTTCGGATATAATGGTAATGAATGTGAGGTTTTTAATAGGTATATCTCTTTTTTCTTAATTTAGACCGAGGTTATTTGTGTAATCAGGTCATTCCCAATTGACAAACTCTAATTATAACCTTAAAATCATCGAACAAAATTTAAGCAAAGGCATTCCTTCCCCATCATCTGCATAACGATCAAAATGCATCCAAAGTAAAGTAGAAGCAATTAATTCACAAAAAAGTGAGTGAAGAAATAAACGAAATGTTATATGCAGCATTTTACGTTTCTTCAAAACATCTATAAAAATATTTTTTATTGAAATTTTATCTTTAATATATATAAAAACTCACAAGAAAAGATAATTGAAGAGAGTAAAACAACAATAATTAAAAATAAAAATAATAAAGAAATAGGTAATGCATCTGCAAAAATAGGTAATAATTTTAATTATTTACTAATTAAAATTAATTTACAAAATTCGTCAAAAGAAAAATGATATTTCCAACGATTTGTTTTATTATGAGAATTTGTCATTAAAAGAGAATATTCCAAATAAAGACCATTTTGTGAATCACAATTTCCTATTGCAAAATACCACCATCTTGGCCGCATTGAACTTTTAAAAAATATTTATTAAATTTAATTTATTAAGACTTTTTTGAGATTATTTTTATCAACTCTAGAATAATACCAATTACCGAACACTTATTAATTAATAGAATTAATCAAAAAATAATTCTTACAAAAAAGATCGTTTTCCAAAACAATGATACCAACTTTCATTATTCTTTTCAATTGTTTCGCAACTCGAATGTTCATCTATAAATTTAGCGCTTGGGGCAAGTCTGATTATTTGATAATTTTTTGGATCTAAAAGACGTTCTCTATCATTGCAAGTCTTGAAAATTTATTTAAATAATTAAAAATAATTTTTTTTTAAATTACTAAAGAAGCATTATTATAAGCAGCTTTCCATTGATTATCTGTATCGTAATACATATAAATTGATTGAAGTTCGAAATTCTGAAAAATAATTAAATAAATATTGAGTATAATTGTAGAAATATTTAATTAAAAATATCATATATTTTATTTAAAAATATTTTAAAAAAACTTTTGGATAGTAAATATTGTATTTAAATGTTCCTTCTTGAGATACAAAGCAGAATCTATCCAAATATTCCCAATCCTTTAAAAAATTTTTAATGAATTTTTAATTTTAATAATTAATTACAGACATTATTAGAAATTAATATTCCTGAAGATATTTTTCCTTCAACTAATTTAATTGAAAAACAAAAAATGACAATAATAATAAAAATATTATAACCCATTTATATTTTTCTAAAAATTAATACAAAATACTAAAATTTACATATTTAAAGCTTTTATTTAAGAAAATTTAAGAAAATAAAATTGTCTTATTGCGTGATAATTTAATTATTATTTCTTATTTATTTAAATAGGTTTTTATAATAGCTATGTACATATTATTATTATTAAAAAAATATTTCTAAATATTTTTTTAAAAATCAAAAAAAAATATAAAACTAAGAAATATTTAAATTCTCTCATATCTTTTCATTAATTTCTGTCACAAACTTTTTTTAATAAATAATTTCCAGTCGCCTAGGGAAACAATCTTAAAAAATAAAAATAATGTATAAACATGAAAGGCTTTTATGTAGAAAAAAATTAAAAAAAACTTTAAAAGATTAATTTTAATTAAATAAAAAAATAAAATTATTTTAAAAATTTTCTTTTAATTTTTAATTAAACGAGTTTCCTTCTATATATCAAACTAAAAAGCTGATTCTGAAAAATATTAAAGAAAGATTATATTTTTGAACTTTTAAGAAAATTTAGGTTGGTGACTTCATCAATGGGACTTCGTCATAAAAAAGAAAACTTAATTTTATTTATATTTTCCTCTATGTATAATAACACTCAAAATTATTTTTGCTATAAAGCATGTCCCAGAAGATTCTTCTAATTAAATAACATTAAATAATTGACGAAATAAATTAAATTTTTGCTTCATTTCATTTTGTATACGAAACGATTTTAAAATCTTTGTTTTGTTTTTTTGAGAGAAACTTTTTTTGTTTCGCACATTTTCGATTCTCTTTCATTTTTTTCCATTTCCAGCAATATTTAGCAAATCTTCAATCGAAAATTTATCCGTTCCGATCTAGGGATTTTGTTGATTTATTTTAGAATATCCGATTAAAAACAAATTTGGATAAAAAGGAATGAAGTTTTATTTAAATATTTGCAAATAAACATGCAAAGTTTGATCATTTTTAAGCAATTTCTCTCTAATATTATTATTTAAAAATATATAATCCTTTTAGTATGTAGATGACCTAAAAATATAAATTTTAATTTAAATATTTGTATTTTTATATACAAAAATAAATTATTTAAAATATTTAAAATTTAAAAAAAAGTACAAATTTAAAAATAAATATAAATTTAAATTGTTTGCAATAAAATATTTTTTAAATTAATCATATTTCTTGATTATTCACTTTTCTTTTAATTTTAAACTTTTAGAAAAAATAAATAAAAATATATAAACATATTTATATGTACAATTATTTCTTTTTTTTCTAAATTTATCTTTTTTTGTTTTTTCTAAGTTAATCATTTTTATCAAAATATTTGTTGTAAATTTTTAAAAAATTTTCTTTAAAAAGTAAACAAAATTCTTTAAACATTAACATTTTTAAATAATTTAAAAATATTATCAGGGCAGTTAATTCAAAAATAATCCTTTTTAATTATTTAAACGTTATTTTTAAAATCCAAATTTTCTATTTTTATTATTTTTCTTCAAAAATTCTTCTTAAAAACAATTTAAAAAACATTAATATATCTTCATGACGCCTTCCCTAATTTTTTTTCTTTTTATTTAAAAAAGTTAATCTCTCAACAAAACTTGGGTTACGGAGACAAAAAAAGAATTTATTTTCTTTTCCCCACCAATTCCTTTCCAACAAATAGCCCTCAATTTTAATGTTCTCAATCCGACGACCTGAAATGAGGAATGAGAGATTTTCCTTTTTTTATTTCTCATCATTCCTCGAAGCTATTTGTAGCTTTGGATAAAAAAAGGAATTAAAGTGTGCGTGTAGTTGTTGTAGAAATTGTTTTTTTCGATCGCGGATGAGTGAAAAAAAAGGAGGAAAAGAGGGGGAAGTTGTTTCTTATTAGAAGATATTCAGTATATACTTGAAATGAAGAAATCGTTCAGTATTTAGATCTCAAATTGCATAGCTTAAATGTTGCTGATTGGTTTCTTTTTTTTATAATAAAATAAGGAAAACTTTTCTGTTTTTTTGTCTCGAAAATGGTTGTAATATAAATTTTAATAAAAACGAAATGGATATTATTTGATTGTTTAGGTTAATAAAATTTACACCTTTCAATCAATCTTAGCTAATCAAATTATATAATAAATCTTGCCTTAATAAAAATTTAGAAATTAATTTGCTTTAATTTTTTAACAATTTTTATTAATTTTTTTCTTTTATTCTCTTTTAATTTTTTATACACGAGGCGAAAAAATCGTTTACAGTTTTTAAATGTCACCATCCCCCATAAAGCCTCATTTTAAGAAAAACTATCCAGCTGATTTGTCTTGAAATGAGGGCAATTTTTAATTTAATATTTTAAATTAAATTAAATAAATCTTCTCTTTTTTTAATTTAATTTAATTATTTATTCAAAGGTAATGAAATTTAAAGATTTATTTATTATTTCAATATTTATTTTCTTCATTAATAATATTTTATTTATAAATACAGGTAGTAAATTAATTGTTCGAAATTTTTTATTTCTTCCAAAAATATTTTTTACATAAAAATACAGTTAATTTAGGGATTTTAAAGCTTTTATTTAGAGTTTAACAATAACTGCTTTAATATTTTAAAAACCTCCATTCGGGCTCAAAAATTTTTAAAAATTTATTTTTTAAAGTTAATGCCTTAAATTGTTATATCTGTGCTGAAGATGGTTTAGATGAAGAAGGTGAATGTAAAGATTCTTTTCCTTTTAGCTGTAATGGTTATGCTAAAAGATTTTCTAAAGATCAAAAAATGTTATGTCGAACAACTAGACATAAAGCACTTAATGGTTATTTAAATATATAATTTTAATTTAAAGAAAAATTCTCCTTTAAAGGTACATTTACTGTAGTAAAGGAATGTATAATAGAAAATGCTCATTATGCCACATTTGAGAGAAAACCACAAAAAACTGAGATTGACTGTGATATTCAATTATTAGAAGGGTTTGAAGTTGCTTATTGTATATGTAATACTTCTCTTTGTAATTATCCTTCTATTGGAGAACAATTTGCTGAGTTTGAACAAGTAAATTTGCAAGAAAAATATTTTGATAGAAAAAACTAAAAGTTTTTATTAGAGAAATTGTTTTTAAAAAATAATTTAAAGTTTTCAATCAAATTTTGGAGGGTTTTAGTTTCTTTATAAAATCTCGAAGGATTTTATGGAAAAGGGGAAGGAAAAAACTGAAAAAGATTATAAGTAAAATCTCTAAGTCTCAATAAATTAGACAAACAACTCTAGCAATTTTATCTCCCAACAATTTACAAATTTAGTTGCTGCTCTAACAGACCAAGTTTTCTTGATTACCCTATAGCTAAATCAATCAAGTTTCCCTTTCTCAATTATATTTTTATTGTAATTAGAAAAGAAAAATTTTAATCATAAAAAGTTTTTCTAGTTAAGTTTTGGCAGTTTTAAATACTTTAAAAATTATTTCAGAAAAATCCAGAATTGTTTGATGATGTCTCTGTTGAAACAACAGAATTAATGCCTGATATAAATAAAAATAAAGAGGAAATAGAAGAAAATGAAGAAGAAAAACAATTAGAAAATCAAACAACTTTTAATCCAAAAATTGAAGAAATTGGAGAAAGATCAAAAGAATTATTTCCTGTTAATAATCAAAAAATTAGAGAAGAAGAGTTAGGAAAAGAATTATTGTCTTCAACAACTATTGGTAATTATTTAATTAATAAATTTAATTTATTTTTGTTTATATTTATTTGTTTTTATTTTAAATATTAAATTTTAATAAATTCCTTCTTATAATTAAATTTTGAAAAAAAAGAATAATTTTTTAAATGAGATCTAAATAAATATAATTTTTTTTAATTTACTAAAATGTAAATTATTATTTATTTTCTTATGTAATTCTGAGTCATTTTCAATAAATTAGCCAATCTTATTTTTTTTGTATATTTAAATAATGAATAAAATTTTTTAACAGAATTTTAAATAAATATTTTTTAATATTTAAGAAACTATAAAGAGAGAAGAAGATTTTATAAATAATGAATGGAATAATGAAGAAAATGAAAAAGAAGAAATAATAAAACAAAATAATTTATTAACAACCCCAAAAATTTCAACAAAATTATTTACAAAAAATTTAATTATAGAAAGGCCCAAACAACAAAGCCTTGAAGTTGATAATACACCTTTAAATGGGGATATTTTGGCATCTGGAGCTCAATTGGGGTTATTGCCAGGTAATTTTGTAAAGTTATAAAATATTTTTTTCTAAAATATTATAAGATTAACTCTCGTTACTAACGAGTTCTCAAATAAATTAATATAAATTTAAATAAAAATAATTTAATTTAATAAAAGAATTACAATGTATGCAATGTAAAGAAGAAACAAATAATACAAAAATAAATGCAGAATGTCATTCCCAAATAGTTGTTAGTTGTCCAGATTTAAGTAAACAAATAAATGGAATTGGCAGACCTTTTTGTATAACTAGACATTTTTGGATTGAACCGGGTAATTTTTCAAAAAAAATTTTTTTAATTAAAAAAATAATTTAAAGGAGGTAATTTAACAATAGAAAAGAATTGTTTGACAGAAAGAAAAATACTTGAAGAATACGGAAGTTATAAAACTGTTGATTTATTGAATGGGGCAAATAGGGATGAGGCAGCTTGTTTAGATTTTAGGCCGTCTTTGTCCGGTCAACAACAAAGACTTTGTGTTTGTTCTTCTCCTCAATGCAATAAAGTATCTCTTTCTGAGCAGGTTGAATGATTTGATATTTTAAAGGGAAAATAATTAAAGAAATATTTTTGGGAGAGTGTCTTATTCAAAGATTATAAAGATCTTCCAGCATTTTTAATTAAGGAAAAAGTTAAGCTGAGAGGGAGATTTTTGAGGGGTTTTTGTATATTTATAATACAATGTGAAATTAATTGCTAAATTAAACACAATAGATGTCTTTTGGAATTCGTAAAATAGCTGAACTTGATGAAATAGAAAATAAACAAAAAACAAATAAAATACAAACAATTAAAACAACAGAAAAAATAAAAGAAACAACAGAAATACCTTTAGAGGAAGAAATAATCGAAGCTTTAAATTGTGCTGTTTGTGTAGATAATGAATTGAAGTAATTTTTTGAAAATAAAAAGATTTTTAAAAATTAAAAAATAGTGATGCAAATGCTGATTGTCGAACTGTTAGAACAATTAATTGTGCTAAACAATTAACTAACAATGAAAAACAATATTGTATAACAAGACAAACACAAAACAGTAAAGGTTTTAAATTAATTGAAAAAAAATTTTCTTTTCAAAATTTTTCTAAAGATTCTTTTATTGTTGAGAAGGGTTGTATGTCAAAAACTCAATTCTCATTACTTTTTCCTGATGAAATTTCCGAACAAAATATTGGAAATGAATTACTTTTAGGTTGTGCATCTACACATAATGGTGATTATTTAAATTAAAAAAAAATTAAATTTAAAAATAAAGGTTTTGTTAATTATTGTATTTGTGATAGCCAAATGTGTAATAGATATGGAATTGCTCAACAAGCAGAAACTAGTAGAAGGTGAAATTTAATATATATTTTAGTTATAAATTATTTTTTTTAAATTATTCCTCTCTATTTTCTTTTTAAATTAGTTATAGATAGAAGACTAATTTTTAATAGTTTTTTGGGTTTAAAATCTCATTCTCTATTTTTGATACAAATTTCCATTTGAAATAGTCAGGAGGAGATAAATAATTTTGCAAAATTAACTAAACTGCTAAAAATAAAATTAGGATGAGAATTTTGGGGTTTGATTCTCAACAAAAAATTATTTGAAATAAAATATTATTTTTGTTTAAATTACTAGAATAACCTCCTCAACAAATCTATATAAAACATCCACTAAACAATTATTCCCCTCAACATCCACACCTCCCCCTCCTACAACAACAACAACAACATTATTACCTACTACAACTGAACAAATAATTTCAACAAAATCCTTCTTTGATGATTACACAACAAAAGAAAATAATAATAAAATAATAAAAGAGGAAAAAGAAGAAATTAATATAAAAATAATTCCAAAAGAAAATATTAATGAAATATCAAAAATAAACACAACATCAACAGAATTTCCTTTAAAAATTTTAAAAACAACTACAACAAATAATTTAGATGAACGATTGGAAAAATGGAAAATAAATACCCAAAAAAATAATAAATTACAGTCTAGAAATATTTTTGAAGAAGAAAATAATGGAACAATTAAAAGAATTTTAATGCCTTCAATATTAATTATTTCTTTTTTTATTATTGCTTTTATGTGCCTTTAATATATTTTTTTAATTTTAATTAAAGAATTATTTATATATATTTTTAGCTAATTCTATAAAATAAAATAAGGATATTCAATAAATATTTTTGTCAGAAATTTTTAATAGAGGGAAAACTTGTTTAATAAATTTTGCCTGTTTAATTAGAAGAAGACTAATTATTTTAATTAATTTCTATCAATTATAAATCATTTAAATATGTATAAAATAAATTTTGTTTAGTTTTATTTAGGTATCAACATTTCTCCACTTATTTATTCCATCAGCTACATAAATATAAGAGGATTATTTATCTGATCAAAATTTAAATTATCTCGATTTTAAGGGTTGTATTTCTCCACAATCATTTTCTCCTACGTTAATTTAACAACAAACCTAAAAATATCAGCTGGTGTATATTTTTAACAATGACTGTGAGAATAAAAAAAGAACACTGAAAATACATAAATTTTATTTAATCCATTAATCCCTCTAATAAAATATATAATATTTATAAACTTAGATTAGAAAAAATATATGGGAATTATGAGTCATAAATTTTTAATTAATTATTATTATATATTTTTTTATATGTACTATTTCCAACTTTTAATTTTTGTAACTGAGTTTATCTTTTAAAATGTTCAAAGATTAAATTTTGTCATTTGTGTTTTATTTCACATTTTAGCTATTATTTTTTGTAAAATAAATAAAAATAAAAATATATATTTATGTAAACAAAAACTTAAAGGTTTGTAAAATAATAATAATAAGGGGATTTGTTTAGGTAAAAGAATACAAAGAATGAATGAATCATCCTTATTATATTCAGAGAAGACAAACAATTGTTTTCCTCTCTCTCATTTTCTCTCCTCAACTACCGCGCATTTTCAATTAAAAAAAGGAATTATTTGTAATCCTCTTTTCGTCACTCTCGAAATTTTTTTAAATAAAAAAGTTTTTTTTCGGTCATTCGAGAATATTCGTTAGAAAATTGGGAAATTATTTTTTTATTTAGTTTATATTAAAAATATGTAATTTGGTTGTTAATTTATTTTTTATTTACTCCGAATAAAAATTAAACAAAATATACTTGCCCTTCATCACAAATTATTGAATTGAAATTTTTATTTAAATTTCATTCGTCCTCCCCATTCTCTCCATTTCAATCATCCTCCCCATATTTAATTTAATTTTTCTAAAAATTTTATTTAATTTTCAGAATTTTTAAAATTAAATTCAGAAATGCTTGGTTTACTAAAATCACCAAAATTTCTCTATATTATTCTTCTAATGGAACTTTTACTTATTAAATCAAATATGTCATTTATTTATCCAAATCAGAATGCTTTAATAAACAACGAGAATAAAATTGATTCTCAAATTGAGAAGTAAATTATTTAAAATAATTAATTAAAAATTAAAATATTTTAAATTTGTTTGGAATTACATAAATTAAACTTTTTTTGCAAATAAAAAAATAATTAAAATTTTAAGGACAAGAGTACGACGTGGATATTTGAAAGCAGCTGCAGTTGGAGCTGCAATGGGAGCTGCTGCATTTGCTGTTAAGAAAACATTTTTTAAAAATAAGAATAAAAATAAATATAACAATAATGGAAAATGATTTGAAAATTAATTTATAATTAATTTATAATTAAAATTAATTCATATTTTATTTTCTATAATTTTTATTTAATTAACAAAAACTTTTATAAAATTAATTTTTAAATCCATCTAAAATTTTATTCACTTTATTAATATTCATTTTAATAATTTACCCTCGATGAAAATTATTTTAAATCCTAGTCAATATATATTTACAAAAAACTTTAGTAGAAAATAATAATATTTAAATATTTTTTATTTTTCGGGACAAACTGCTTTAACCTGCAAAAAATATTTTTTTTGGAATTTTAGAAGTCTATGAGGCCAGATCTCCTTTTTTATCACCACAGGCGAAAGTTTCTGGAAGGTCAAAATAAATTTTTCAAAGACAAATTATTTCCATTAGGAGTGTGAATCGCGGAAGAGGACAAAAATGTGGAAGAGAAAAAGATTGTAAAATGATAGTTTTGGACATACCAAACACAAATTCAAAAAATGGGACAAAAATTAGCTCATTTTATCCATTTATAAATATACATACATACAATAATATACAATATACATACAATATGAATTAATATCAATACAATATGAACAAACAGACTATCACATATACAATGTACAACTATCACAATTTCCGAGGGCATCTTTCTTTTCGCTTATTTCTTCACGCCAGCACCTGCCAAACGAATTGCCACGGCTGCTGCCACTGCTGCTCCGCGCCCACTCCCGTCCTCCGAGAGGACTAGTTTGAACTAAAAAATATTAAATAAAGCTCTAAAAAGTTTTAAAGGTGATTTTCTCACCTCATATTTTCCACCAGTCAGTGCCTCAATCTTTGTTGACAACAAGTCCTTGAATGTCGGGTGAGCCTTGTATAAGCTGCCATCCACGCCAATCGCGACTCGCTTCCGATTAATTCTTTGGAGAATGGTGGCCATCGCCACTGCGCAGAGATTGGACGACCTTGAGCTGATCATGGAGCAAACGTAGGCCACAACAGCACAGTCAGTTGACGACGGGGAAGCAATACCTGTGAAATATGAAAAAGATGAATTTACCCACCCCAAAAATGTATGCCCACGAACCATTATCTGACAAGAGCAGGCCAATCTTATGCAGCGGCTTTTCAGACTCGAGCACATACCTAAAGTTAAAGAATTTGCTCAACCAAAACTTTTAAAAATGGTAAAATCACCTCTCTACTTCTGACAGGATCCGGGTTGAGAACGATCCTTGTTTTCCAATAGCACTGCTGGTGACCGCTGACCCAGAAAAGAGAAGTCCTGCTTCTGCCAACTCGACCAACACAAGACGCACAAGCTCGCCCTTAAAGAAAATTTAAACCCTTATTGGTGAGATAGAAATCTGACCAAGTACATCCCGGAGATCATCTTCTCGAATGTTTGTTTGCGCGGATTTATGGAGTTGGCATCTAGCTTCCTGTCGTGCGCCGTCCTGTACTTGTCGATCTTCCCGTCATCGCCGAAGGCACCGAGCTCACAGTTTATGCACATTTCTTCAGGAAGTCCATCTAAAAACGAGAGAAAAATATTTTTCACCCACACAATCACGCCGACCATTTACGCTGACCAAACCATTGAGTTTGCTGATGTTCTCCAAGCGTTCCATATAACAAGCGTTGCTCCCAGTCCCAACAATGAGCCCAATGGAGCAGTCAGGATCGAAGAATGAGCATGCCAACATTGTTCCAACGGTGTCGTTTACGAGCGCCACGACATTGACCGCGATGTTCTTCCGCCGACACGCATCCGTGAGCAATTGAACGACGTCTTTGCCGACAACGCCCGAGGCCTGAAAAGAAAAACAATTTTTGATTTTATAACTGAAAGTATATTGAGAAAGGCTCACACTGAATCCTTTGGTCCATGCGACGAGTGATGCCGATGCCAATCCTTTTTGCTGGCAAGGAAACGAGAAGGTAAATCCAAGCGGGAGCGTCTTGTTGCAGGAAAGCCTTTGCTCTACCATGAAGTTGTGAAGGCAGTTAGCGACATGGTCAAAGAGATGTTCTCCAGTTCCTTGCTGCAGCTCCTGTGGCACTGCATAGGTCACATGCCTCATTTCTCCCTTCTTCCCGTCGCCGTGCAGGGTGATCAACAGTACTCTGAAGTTGCTTCCGCCCAAGTCTAGTGCCAAGAACTCCCCACTCTCCTTGCCCACAGAAGTTGCGCGAATGAACGATGGGAGCATTTTAACCACTGCAGTCTCTTCTGAAAATCGAAAAATCGCTTTGTTTCTCTTCTGAGAATCGAAAAATCAAAGCAATCAACATACCATTTTGAAGCCCTTCTGCAAAGCTCTGCTCCAAGCGCTGCATGATCTCCCTGAGCTGTTCGTCGTCCAGTTTGATGTAGCTGCAGTGCTCTAGGACCTGAATGGTAGAAGAAAAAAATGAATGCTCTGAGATGCTATTAGCATTTAAACCGACCTTGTTGAAATGTGCGATGTCGAACTCCTCTTTAGCTGCAAGTGCCGTGATGCTGCTCAACATGTTGACGTCCGAGGCCTGGCGCGATATCATTGCTGAAGGAGTGAGGCGAAGTATTGAGCGTCGACGTAGATGACTATAGATGATGAGTGTAGTTGAACTTGGGTATGGGAATTTTATATTAAGCTGCTTTTATAGTTTATTTCTGACTCTGGCCGTTATGTTAATTGCCTTAGTATATAAGCTGTTAGATTAGTGTTAATATAAAAGCCATTGCTACTCGCATCAATTGGGGCATACTAGCTTCTACTAGTCCCTGATCCCCTTCGTCCGTCGCAGCTCTCCGTCTTTATATTTTTATTTAAGTCTTGTCATGATACAATATTGGTCTCGTGTATAAGTAGCATCTATTTTATATTTATTCCATGCAATTTTTCTCACGCAAGTTCGAGTAGATTGCGGTCTTCGCTGACAAAAATTAACACAAATCAGAGTTTCTAGATTTTCAGAAGAAGCCATTATTTCACTTTCTTAGCACCACAGGCGAGTATTTTGAAAATCTAACTTGCTTGAGACACGAAAATTTCACTCATTTGAGAATTTTGGAAGGCCAAGAAGCCAAACTTTCTCCATTTAAAAAATAGAAAAATTCTTAGAACAAAATTAAAGTTTTGTTCATAATATTTGTTCATTTTTAATGTTTTCGGGCGATAAAATTTACAGAATTTTAATTTAAAAAATTATGAAATAAATATGTTCTATGTATCAAAGCCTTCTTAAATTAATAACTGTAATTATAGCCTCTTCAAATAATTCTTGTAATCCTTGTTTTCTATCAGCCGAACATTCAATATAATTTTTTGCTTTTTCTTTTTTTGCTAATTTAAAACCAAAAGAATTAGTTATAGGTAATTGCCCTTCTAATTGTAATAATTCATATGTTTTTTTGTCTGTTCTTAATTCAATCTTTAAAAATATTTTTTTTGTAATTTTTTTAAATTTAATTAATTATAACCTGTGTTCCAACTAACAAAAATGGAGTATTTGGACTTTTTCTTTTAATTTCTGGTAACCAAATAGTTTTTACATTTTCTAATGTCTGTGGTTTAACAACAGAAAAACAAACAAGAATAACATCAAATCGGATTTGTTTATAAGCTAAATGTCTAAGTTTGTCGTAACATGGTTGTCCAGCTAAGTCCCAAATTCTTTTAAATATTTATTAATTAAAAACAATTAAAGTTATTTTACTTTAATGTAGAAGGTGTTTCTCGGATTGTTGTCTAAATTTAAAAATTTTGTAATAATTTCGGATTTTTTGACGTCGGATTCGGGAAAAGTCGTGACCCGGTCCGTACAGTTTCCAAAGGAAAAATCAATTTTTCAGAATAATATTAAAAAATATTTATAATAATACTGTTTACAATTAGAATATTTGCTTAGAAATTGAGAGATTTGAGGGTCTGAAATCTCCCCAATTAATTTGTTTTATTCAAGATATTTCTTTTTAATTAATTTAATAAAAACAAACATTAATTGTATGTTCAAAAAATAAACAATTACTATTTTTGTGTTGTTCAGGAAAATAAGTATCCAAATAAGTACATATTAATTTATATTTTTCCGAAGATTCATCACCTAATAATAATATATTAAATGTATTTTTTGAATTTATTTGTGAATAAATTTTTTGTTGACTAGCAGATGATTTAAGTGGATTTGAAATGGTTGGTGGTGATGTTGTTTGTGTTAACATTTAAATAAATTTAATAAATAACAAAATTAAGATTAGAATATTTTTTTCTTACAAAAATCATAAACAATTGACTAAAATAATAATTTGTAGTAAATTAATTTTTTGTGTGACTAATTAATTATTATTTTACTTTTAATTTTTATCAGTAATATTATTTGTTAAATAAAAAAATTTCTTTATTATGATAAAAATTAAATAAAACAACCAATTTTTTTGATTAATTCACGGAAAGGGAGATGTAATAAAATTTGAAATTAAATTTTTTGTAAGCTTCTTAAGTGTATTTCAAAATAATTTAAGTTTAAATAAAATAACAGTTTAATTTTATTCTAGTCAAATAGTACATATGTACATAGTACATACATTAAATACATTAAAGGTATAAAGTTGTCTAAAAAAATTTAAAAGTAATTCTTAAATCCAAAATAGAGTAATAAAAAATTTATTTTTTTACATTAAAATTTATGTTTGAATAGTTAAATGATGAGTCAAAGCTTATTTTTTATATGTATGTATATGTCCATAATACATAAAAAATTTTATAAACAGTATATTTTAAATATTACTTAAGAATGTTTAAAGTGTAAATATTTATCCTCTATTAAAATTAAAAAAATTTTTTTATTTAATTATAATCTTTATATTTAAATATTCTTTAGCTTCTATCACCATATTCAATAATTCTTGCAGGTATTCCATTATAAACACCGACTGGCTCATTTTTATCTAATCTAAATCCATTTATTAATTTAAAAATAAAAATTAAATAAAATATAATTAAAAATAATATTTTTGTTAAAAACATTATTTTTGAAGAAATGTGGATTTTGTGAAAAAAATTAAGAAGGATTTTTGGAGAAAAAGCTTTTGGTTAATAATTTTATATAAATTATATTTTTAAATGCTTTTTTATGTCTGACACAGGAGGGAATGCTTAAATTTAAATAAAATTTATTTCCCCATCTTTCCGTAAAATTTTAAAGAGATTGGGTGAGGGGGGATAAATATTCTGTTCCTTTTTTAATTTATTTAAATTTAATAAACAGTTATAGAATATTTTAATTCATCCGACAAAAATTAATGGTCAACAATAAAATGAGAGAAATTTAAATGTTGAAAATTTAAATTAATTTAAAAAAAATATTTTTATATTAAAAATATTATTTTTTAAATGAATATACCAACCAAATATTCTAAATTATAATGAAGATGTAAATAGGAAAATTTAATTTATATAAAAGAATTTTCAAACCAAAAATTTTCTTTCATAAAATAAATAAATTAAAAAAATATTTTTAAAAATTATTTTCAATAAATTGTTATTTATTTTAATCATTGGTAGATCGATGAATTTTCGGGTGAAAGAGAAATAAAATGAGTGTAAAAAAAGAAAAAAGAATGGCCAAATATTTAGGCAAACAATACAAAAAATGTTTTAAAATATTTAGTCGTTTGATATTTTTTAAAAAAATTTATTGTTTTTATTAATAAGATACATATTTAAATAAATATATTTCTTTACAAAAAAAGAACAATTTAATTTAAAATAAAATATAGTTAAAGGAGTATATTATTTATTTTTATTTACTGTATTTACTCAGATAATTACCCTCACTCTATTAATTACTTGAAGCAATAATTAATTACTTCAGTATTTATTTAAGTAGATACAATATTTACTCATTTACACTAAAAGCTTTTTATTATTTTAATTTTTTTCTATTTTATCTGCTTTTAAATTTAATTGTTTTTCAATTTTTTTGTTCCTTCCATTTTGTTTATCTTTAATTAAACCCCCAGCTGACAATATTTATTGTTTATTTATTAGTATCATTTTTAAAATAAACATGTCTATCTATTAATTAATTAATATTTAAAAATATGTATTTTCTTTTTTTTACTAATCAGCAGAGCAATACTTATAATTATTTTAAATAAATGAATGATAAAAATTACTCTTCCTCCAATATTACCTCCCCTCCAATCTATTCACAATTTACTACCACTACAAATTATTTATTACCAAAAACTCTAAGCACATATTTTGATTTAACTCCTCACAAACAAAAATCATTTAATAATTTAAAAAAAGAAAATAATCAAAATTTAAATTTATTTCCTTTTTATTTTTTAAATAATTCAATTTCTTCTTCAATTAATCCAAATTGGAGTTATCAAACGACAAAACCTAAAACAACTACTTTTTCAATTAATTATTGGTTAATTATTTAATTTTTAAATTTTATTTAAGATAAAAATTTTAACGATAGACTTTTTTCTAAAAATAATTTAAAAAAATTTTTTTGATAAAAAAAGAAGTATGCCTATATTGGCTACTAATTTTAAAAATAAATTGTAAAATAATATTTAATTAAAAATTAAATATTTAAATTTAAAAATTAATTAAACATTTTATTTTTAAATTGGTTTTGGTTCATTTTTTGGTTATTCTATTAATTTAAAGTTTAATATAAATTAATTTGATTAATAAACTCGTTTTACTTTTTTAAATAATCAATTTTTAAATAAATTAATTGCAATTAAAAGAGAAAAATTAGGAACTTCTTTTTTTAAATTAATATTTTATTAAAATATACTAACTTTTAGTCGTCGAGAATCAATGCAAAGACTAGAATTTGATGATAAAATTTCTTCAATAGAGGATTCTAATTTAAAACAGCCAACAAAAAATGTAATTTATTTTTAATTTTATTTAAAATTAATTAACCTTTTTTTTCTTCTTCAAAAAAAGGTTAATATACAAATACCAAACAATTCAAAAATAACAACAAATAATTGTTTCAAAAATGGGAAAGAAAAGTTATTAAATAACTCAACATTATTATTACCAAATTGTTTAGAAAACAGCAATGTGGTTAAAGAAAAACCAACTTTAAAGACAAGAATTATTGTTTGTTTAATTTCTGGTTTTGTAATTTGTTTTTGTTTAATTAAATTATTTTATTGGAAATAAATTATTTTAATAAAATTTTGAAGAAAATTTGGAATTTTAAATTTAAATAAACTTTAAAATTTAAAAATATTCTAAATTAAAAAATTTATTTTAAAGAATCCTAGATAAAATAATTTCCCTAAATATTTTTAATTGCTTACATTGTGTATGCATATATGTTTTATTAATTGCTTAAATAAGTAAAAAATTGAGAATTTTATGTTAATAAATTCATTTTGAGATCATTCTATGCATATGGCATTTAATTGATAAGAAAATTCTATTTAAAAATTAATTAAATATAATTATTTCCCTCTTGTATTTAAAATATATTTAAAATATAAAATGAATTCTAATAAAAATAAAAATTCTTTTTTGAATGGATTAAATGAAAATTATTTAAGAAGTATTTTCTGTCAAAGGTTAGTATAAAATAAATGATTAAATTTTGTAAAAACGGCAAATATTTTACGTCAAATCTAAAAAACTAAAAAAATTCTAAGTGTATCTAGGGATACGAATATTTGTTAGATACAATTGTGCTAAATAGGGCTGGCCAGAAAGGATTAACTGAAATAAAACCTCGAAAGCCAACGTTTAGCATGACTAAAACAGGAAGCTTGTCAAAATCCCAACCGAAAAGCTCGAGCAACAATTAAAATACGACTGTGTTTGGTGTTTATGTTTTTTTTCTTTATCGAGCACGAATAAATAAATGTGAAACAATAAAATACAACAAGGGATCATTTATGGAGATAACTTATGTATACTAAAAATAAAATAAAATATGATAGTTTTTTCAAAAAATAATGTTAAGTTTAAAAAGTTAAAAAAATATGTGAACAAATGGAACCCACAAGAAAAATAAATTTGTAAATTATTCTTTTAAAGAATTAATTCTTTATTTAGATCATTATCATTATTTATTATTTTAATTATATTTAATATAATATTTTTATTAACATCAATTTGTTTTGCTCTTCTTTATTTTATAAATATTAAAAATACCGAGAATAATTTAATTAAATGGCCTAAACAAACTGACAGTTTTTATGGAAAATTTGCAACTGGTAATTAATTAATTAATTAATTAATTAATTAATTATTTTTAAATAAAAAAATATTTTCTTTTTAAGCGGCAGTTGCTGCTGATAATGCTATTTGTTCTAATATTGGAAGGTAATTAATCTAAATATTTAAAAATAATAATTATTTTAAAGAGATATTCTCCTACGGGGTGGTAATGCTGTTGAAGCAGCAATTGCAACAGCTTTTTGTATTGGTACAAATATTTATTTAAAACCTAAAAATCCTATCCCTACTAATTAATATGTATGGTTGTTGAAGATAAAAATCATTAAATATTTATTTTAATTATACATACATATATAAATTATTTTATTTTTAAAATAAAGGAATACAAGATCCACATTCTGCTGGTTTGGGAGGAGGACATTTAATGACTATTTATAATGCGTAATTAAAAAAAAATTTTTTTTAATTTTTTATTTAAATTAGTACAACAAAGAAATGCCATGTTGTCGATGCTAGAGAAGTAGCTCCTTTAAATTCAACTGAAGATATGTTTTTTGATAGAAAGAATGCTTCTAGATATGGTGAGAATTAATATATACAGGGTGCGGCAAAAGTTCCCGTACTTTTATTAAGCATAAAATTTATTTCAAATTTTTTTTAATTTTATAAAATCTATGAAGTCTAGTAATTTGGTATTATTGGAGCAGAGACTTCCATGGATACGATTTGTATCAAAAAATGCAACTAAGAGGGATTGCAACTGGCCTGGGATTCTTTTATTGTGGATGAGTGCGCGACCATAGTGGACAAATTCAGTTAGCGTTTGAACGCGTATATCTTGGCGGATGGAATAAATTTTGGACATTTGTTATAATTTTTCTTTCTTTGGATAGTAATGAATAATTTTTCATAGATTTTATAAAATTAAAAAAAATATTTGAAATAAATTTTATGCCTAATAAAAGTACGGGAACTTTTGCCGCACCCTGTAGTAAATAGTACAACCTCTATTTTATATAGGGTATGAAGCTGTTGCCGTACCGGGCGAATTACATGGATTTTGGACTGAATATAAAAATTTTGGTGGAAATTTAGAATGGAAAACGCTTGTTGAACCATCAATTCAACTATTGGAAGAAGGTAGCTACATAAGTCCGGCTTCTACTATTTTTAACTAATAATTTCAAAAAAAAAGGTTCTCCAACTTCTCATGTTCTTGCTCGACAGTTACAAAATCATAAACAACGAATTCTTTCAAATAAATTATTAGCTTCTATATTTACAAATCCAAAAACTAGCCATTTATTTGCTGCTGGAGAACAGATTAATACAAGAAATAAATTGGCAGATACTTTGAGGATATTAGCTAATTCCTCCAATCCTTTAGAAATTTTTTATAAAGGAGAAATTGCAAGGAGTATTTCAAAAGAATTTGAAAAAAATAGTTTGTAAGGGGAGGGGGATAGTTAACTAAGTGAAGAATTTTAAAAAATTACACTCGTTGATCGTACTTTATTCTCTAAAATAGATTGACCCCTACATATATCTGAATGGCTCTTCCTTTGAATTAAGTTTTTGAAAAATAGAATGACAATTATTCTATTAGAAAGAAAATTGGTTTATCGAGCGGGAACAAAAAATAACGGGAAAGAAACATTTTTGTTCCAATTTTACTAATTTATTTAAAGATGGAAGATTAATATTTGAAGATTTTAACAATTACAAATCAATTATTCGATCAGATAAAGATATTATTTATACTAAACTTCCTAATGGAAGAACAATTTGTGGACCACCTCCACCATCTGGATCAGCAGTAACTCAAGGAATTATAAATATTTTATCTAAGTTTGTAAAGAAAACTAAGATATTTTCACTGAGGAAATACTTAATTTATATATAAAATAAGAATAATTTTGAGATTTAAATAAGAATAATCCAAAAAATTAATTAAAAAAATTTTTTTCAAAGAATGGAATTCAATTTAACTACAATATCTGGCTCTGTCGATTATTTTCATTCTTTTATAGAAGCTTCTAAATTTGCATATTCAATTCGAGATTCGTTAGGTGATATTGACTTTGTACCCAATTCTCTTAATTTATCACATTTATTAACTAGCCAAGAATGGGCTGAGAATGTTCGGTCAGAAAAATAATTTCTTTCTTTTTTCAATTTTTCTTTAAGAAATAAAATAACTTTGAGAACCCATCCAGACAGTTATTATCAAGAAGGAAATGCCCATCAAGCATTACCAGAAGATCACGGTACTTCACAAATAAGTGTTATTGACCGTTGGGGAAATGCTGTTTCTATAACTACAACATTAAATATAGCGTTAGATAAATTACAAATTTAAAAAGGAAATTATTTTTATTTAAAGATTTGGATCTTTTGTTTTAAGTAAATCAACGGGGATAATATTTAATGACCAAATGGATGATTTTTCGACTAAAGGAATGCCAAATTGTAAAATAGAAAAATTTTTAACAAAAATATTTTAATTAAAGATTGGGGTTATCCACCCTCTCCCCAAAATTATATTGAGCCGGGAAAGAGGCCAATGAGTTCGATGAGTCCAATTATTGTTTTTAATGAAAATGGAAAGGTATTTTAGAAATATTATAAGTTCAATAAAATATTTTTAAAGGAAGCATTGGCTATAGGAGCTTCTGGAGGTTCAACAATAATTTCTGGAGTAGCTTTAACTACTTTTAATATTCTTAAAATTGGAATGAATATTAAAGAAGCTATCGACTTTCCTCGATTGCATAATCAATTTAGACCAAATTTTACCATGTTTGAAGAAAGAATACCCGAGAAATTAAAAGAAGGATTGAAAGAACGTGGACATTATTTTGATAATTTAGATTGGCTTAATGTTGTGGTTACTATTATTTTTTAAAACTTTAAACTATTTTTAAAAATTATTGAATAGGTGGGCGTGCATCAAGCTGAAGATGGAATTATTTATGCTAATAGCGATTGGAGAAAGGGCTGGGAAAGTCAACCAGCTGGTTATTGAATTTATCGTCTTTTTTGTACATAATTTCAATTTTACGAAAATATATACATATGTAGTATATGTATTTATGGAAAGAACACAAACTTTTACAACATTGTTAAAGTGCTTGAATAAACGTTTAAAAAGTGCCATTCTCTTTTCGAACTCATTAAATTTTAACATTCAATTGGAGGTCATTAATAGAGGGGCATTTACAATGTTGAAGAAAATAAACTTCCAAATTTAAAAAGAATCATCGCTGGGCGCGATATGCACATAAAATCGAAAATATACGCATTATTAACTGTTTAGAGGGGCTAACCTCGTAGTCTTTCACGTCGAAAAGTAACTCACATAAAAGTCCTCTAAAATTTATCGTGGGTGAGAATTAGAAATGTTAGGAAAATATGAAAGAGAATGTGTTGAATGACTAGGAAGAAGGTGGCAACAATAAAAGAAATAAAAACAGATTGTGAGTGAGAGGTCATTTATAAAATTACAAAATTAAAGAGTGCTTAAATTAATGGAGAAAGGAAGTAAATTAAACAAAATTCAAATAAAAAGGAATGTTAAAATCATTTCATTTCAAACTCTTCAAGTAAATGATTTGTCAATTCATTATCCCAATCTGATTGTTTTGAACTCGGTGATGGTCTTCCAATAGAGAGGGGACGGGCCATTTGGCGAAGAGAATTCTCCATTACACCCGGAAAGAATATTGGACGTGAAATCGTATGTGAAGAAGATACATTCTGGGAACATATGCCATCAATAGGGAATAATTCGTTTGAACGTTTTGATAAAGACTTTACAGCCATTGAAGGATTTCCACCAGATGTTGCTGTGAGACGACGCCAGATTCGGTTTAATCCAAGATTGCTAAATAGATAATATAAATAAGGATTTAAGAAAAAATATTACGGGGATCTGCTGCGTGAATATTGACGAGCAAAAGGACGTTTTTGAAGATCATAGTCACGTTCAAATCTTGAAGAACTTTGATGATCAAAAGAACGCTGCTGTTGAATAGGTCTAAATATTCTGCAAAGTTTCCGATTCCCTCCAACAGATCGATGATTATCTTTTGCCATTTCTGGCAACCCATAAGTGATATGACGAGGGTTGAGCGGCAAGTGAGGCTCTGACCAAAGAGGTAAAGGTTGCTGCCCAAGTGATTGAGCACTGTTTTGATGTTGCCGAGAAGTACGACCTCCAAAGTGTGGTCTAAGCGAGTTCAATTCATTGTTAGTGCCACCAGTAAAAGAAATTGAACGTTTCCTAAAAAAGGATGTCAAAAAATCAAAATTCAAAAAATACCTGGTTGCCTCAAGGCAATCAAAATCATCATTCTCACCGAAAATATAATCCTCATCGTCTTTATTTAAAGGAATAATAGTACAATTATCTGCGATTAAATTATTGAGTTGGGAATTTTTAGAGATTGCTTGACTTGTGTCATTGCGAGACATTGTGAATAAATCAGCTTCTAAAATTATTCAAATATTATAGTTAAAAGAGAAAATGAACCAGGTAAAGACGATCGTTTACGTTCATTTGAGGCTTGATTAAAGTTATCTCCATAACTATCATTAGAAGAATTGCATTCAATGGTTGGGCATTTATGGTAGTCAAATGAGGAAGAAATTGCAATTGAACCAAGCTTTCGTCTCTTTTGTGGAGAAAATTTATTGTTACAAATTACACTCGAATTTTTCATTTTAATGTTTGAATTCGCCTCCTTAATTGATTGTAACATTCCGTTACAAGCCTCTGACTTTGAAGAAAAAACATTATTTGTTCCATTAGAAATTATTGTTGCTGTGGAAGAGGGTTGCTCGTTGATATTTTTGCGAGAATTTGAAATAAGTTGACTTTTAAACTATAAATTAATAATTAAAAATTAAAGTCAGAAATAACTCTCACTTGATTATTCATTCCAGAGAGAAGACTAATACGACTGGCACCTAAATAATCAGCATTAACATGAACTATTCCATCCTCAATTAATTCACAATTATTTTGTTGTTGATGAGTTGATGATAAACTATCAGTTTCGCCTATTGCCTTTTCAACAAGACGACGTAAAAGAGCAGTAGTAGAGGGTGAACCACTACCTCGTTGTAAAGTACTTGTAGATTCTGCATTTGTCAATGCTGAAAAAAATAAATTTAATTATTTAATAAATAAATTACTCAATGAATCACGTGGATTTTGTTTATGACGAAAAACATTTGAGCGAGGGAATATAGCTGGATCAAAATGTTCAGATTCATAATCTTCACTATCCGAAATAAATTCATCCTCTAGGTCATCAGAGAAAAAGTTGTAGTTTAAACGATGGACAAGCCAAAATGTACGCATTGGTCCTTTGCCCTAAAATAGAGTATTATCGAGAAGACGATTTCTTGTTCTAAACCTTAATTTGAACAATTCCACGTTCTTCCATAACAAAATCACCATCCATATCCAATGCTTCTTTTGTTTGATGACTGCAATGAATTTTCAAAGCTAGAAGGGAATAATATAAACTTAGAAAAAGAATCGTCATACCTTTAGATGTACTTTCCATTCTAGATGCTGTATTAACCGTATCACCAAATAAACAATAACGCGGCATTGTCTTTCCAACCACCCCAGCCACAACAGGACCTAAGCAAAGTATATACGAATAAATAGAAAGATATGAAGTTGCCTGTATGAACACCAATTCGGAGCTTTAATTGTTCTGTAGGTCTGTGAGGGATTCTAAAGTTTTCAACTGCCTTCAATAGATGTAAAGCCATTGTAGCAATTTGTTCGGCATGATAGACACCATTTCTTGACGTAGGAACACCAGAGACAACCATATACCTTTATAAAATTAGATTTGGTATTGTTTTATTCGAATAAAAACTCACGCGTCTCCAATAGTTTCGACTTTATAAACATCATATTGTTTAATAATTCTATCAAAAAGAGTGTAAAGCTTGTTCAACATGTTTACTACCTGGAAAGATAAAAAATCAGATAGGAAGGGACGTAACAGAGAATGTCACTTGGATATTGCATACAATTAAAAACAAATCAAACCTGAAGAGGAGTACTTTCACTTGATATAACAGTAAAACCGACAATATCAGAAAAATAAACAGTCACTGACAGAAATTGTTCAGGCACTACATCACGACCTTGCAACAACTAAAAATATTACAACACATAAATTGAAGATATTTTTTATATCATGATTTATATTAACCTGTTGAGCTACAGAAACTGGTAACATTCTTTGAAGTAATAAATCAGTTCTCCTTTTCTCATCTCGGAGTTCTTTTGTCCGTTCATCAACCAAGTCCTCTAATTGATTTTGATATTTTTCCATCATGACCTAAAAATAAATCATTCAAAAATCTTCGAAAAATCGTAAACCAAAATATGGTCCATTAAATTGCGTGAGTGTAAAGTCCCAGCAAAAAGTTGTTTAAGCTTGTGACGAATTGCATGGCGGAAATCCGGCCTAAATTCAGGCTCTTCAGACCAACACAATTCCATTGTATCCACAATATAATCCTGACATTGTAATCCTTTCAAGCTTGGTCTGAATCCAATCCCAGCAACCTGACAGAATTTAAAATTGAATGATAATGTTAAATATAATAGATATTTACCACTTTTCTAACAACTTCTTCAGCACTCGAAATATCTTCTGTCTCATCATACGTAAAACAATTAAAATCTCTAATTAAATTAAACGGCCCCTGACGAGCAATTAATTCGTGTAAAATAATTCCAAATGAATAGACATCTCCTTTTTGTGTTCCTTTAACAACGCGACAAAATTCGGACTGGTTTAAAAGCTCTGGCGCTGTCCAAAGATAGCTCTCCCACTAAAAATAAATTAATAATAAATTTTTTAATAAATCAATTACCATAATCTGTGGATTTTCCCATTCTTGCCCATCACGTAATTCATGTAATCCATAATCAGCTACTTGTAAGGCCCAACGGGAAGTAATTAAACAATTCGTTGATTTTAGATTACCATGTACTTTGACATCCGATTCATGCAAATAGATCATTCCTAAAATCCGGAAACTATTTTAATTTATATTCGAAAAGAAAACCTTTAATGAGATCTTCAGTAAATGAAGCAATAAAAAGAGAATCTAATTTAATATCCCGATTTCGCAAAACTTCCATCAGGCTTGTTTTTGGACAAAATTCTCTAACAACACAAATAACATTGTGAAGGAGAATAACTCCCAAAAAGTTGTTAACATTGTCATGCCTAAGCTTTGTCATTCTCATTAATTCTAATTTTGTTGCTCTTGTCAATTCTTTTGGTTTTCTAGTATAACGAATTTCCTTTATTGCCACAAGCGCTCCTTTGTATAAAGCAATCTGAAATTATTTTAGAATAAAAAGTATATTTATCTAACCCCTCGAAGACTTGGCCAACGACGGTCTTGCGCGGCTTGCCCAAAAAATTCACCATTTTGAGCAATTCCAGCTTCAATGATGTAAAGGGAATTTGATGAGGAATTGTTGCAATGCACAATCTTTTCAATCTCTCTCCTATCAATCCGCCATACCATTGACAATTCTCTCTCGAATTTTTGATTTCTAATAATGAAAAAATTAATTTGTAAAGATTGAAATTAAATTCTGTATCAAAATAAAGTAATAATTTATTTTTTACCTGTAAGTAACAATTGCACCAATTCCAAAAATTAAAAGTAAAGAAACAAGAACGATATAAAGCACAGTCCCCCACCAAGAAGAACTTTCATCCTCTTTGCATTTTTCTCCGTCGAAACCGCATTCAGGTTCATCTAATGGAGGTTTCCCAGTAGGCCAGCGAATTTTACGACGAAATCTAAGTTGAGGTAAGTTTATTGGATTTGGATGGGCCATGAAGTCAGCAGTGATTGTTAAAGCTTCCTTGAGTGGATAATAATCAGGATTGCTTCCGTCAAGAACCTAAAAATATAAATTTTAGCTTATTTCTTTAATTAATAATACCGGCTCGACTTCTTGAAGTGCCAAAAGGGTGTAATTTCCTTCTGCATCGCCATTTTCGTCAATACGCATATCAAAACCTTGCATACCTAAAAGTAAAAAAGAACAAAGATTCCTTAAAAGAAATAAAACTTTTATATTTTCTGCCTAATATTCTAGAAATAATTTCCCTTCCATTTTCAATCGATTCATCAACTTTAGAGATAGAAGAGGTTCTGTTCAAAGTATCCATTATTGTTTCATGAAGGGCCTGAGAATATAACATAACCGCATCGTAAAGATAACAAGCAAAACGATTGGCCTAAAAATACAAAACATTAGATTAAGTAACCTTTAAAAACCTTTATAGGGGAGCTAGTCTCATGATGATGAACACCAAAATTAGGTAGGTAAGAATTTGCTTTTTTCCAAAAATCGGTAAAAATTTTAGAATTGAGTTGTACAGGAGTCGGAATTATCTAAAAAAATTTTATGTAAATTCAGTAGTGTGCAATAAAGAATTTCAGAGGCTGAAACTGAATATCGCCAAACCTTCAAACGCCAATTTTTACGCACAAATAATTTTGCCTTTAACGTTTCCAAAGCCAAAAAAATTTTAGAAGGCTTCCCCTAGTTCGGGGAATAAGGTTAAAGCCCCGTAATCCACCCATATGAATAATCTAAATTTTCTAAACCCAAATTTAACATTTAATTTAAAAATTACTGCAAGAGCTGATCTAGAATAGCCGATTAACTTTCTATCCATAGAATCAGGATTGTCCCAGGACTCATTCAACTTGCGTAGAGTATCTTAAATTAATTTTAAAAAATCAGAAATTAAAAAATAAACAAAATGAAATAATAACCTCGAAAAAAGTGATTATTCATTGCGTGATAAACATTCAACCTATAATAATAAATTAAACATAAAAATTTTAAATCAATAACCAACCAGTTATAGTCAGTATCTAAATAAAGAAGTGCATATTCCCCATTTGACATCAACCCCATTTCACCCATTTCAAGTAAAATTCTTCGAAAAAGACGAACATTTCCAAAAGTAACATAAATTCTAGTTGCAGTTTTTGTAGCATCAACAATTTGACGAATTTTATCAACATTGGTCTTTTCAACCTAAAAATATTTCAGATAAAAATATTTTTATTTAAAAAAGCTAACCTCGCTGAAAGGATGATTAACTAAAGAAACATTCAAAATTGTGTATTTTCTTTCCCCTTTACAACTATTTACGGGATCTGAACGTTTCTTTTGTTGTTCAACTTGCTGACTTTCTTCTTCTAAAAGACGTCTAATAGCCGTAAGTAATTCAACATTGGCATGGGCATTTTCAAATATAACAACAAATTTGTACCAACAAAAATGTTTTAACAAAGCAATAAATGAACGAGCAATAACTGATTCTGCCGGTACTGTTCTAGCAAATGTTGGATATCTTTAAGGAAATATAAAGAAATTAAAATGCCAAATACAAATTTGTGTACAGCCCAAGACGGCGCGTACTTGCTAGAGAATGTTTGGCCCTTGTCAATTACCAATCTCCCTAGCTCAATCAGAGAAATTGTTTGATACTAAATCTGGTAAGATTAGGAAATCTTAAAGCAAGTCATGGCTTAGCGCCGTTATGGCTACGCGTCGTCTTGGGCGTGTCCCTCCAAATTTAAATAATGTTAAAATTTGTATATATTTTAATAAATGATTTTAAAAGCTCTTAAACCAATTTTAAGATTAAAACATTAACAAACCTTTTTTTATCACTGACAGTCTGATCTTTGCATTTATGTGAAATTAAAGGTAAATTTTGAGATGAAGCCATAGTAGCTTCTGTTCGACAATTTACTTCTGGTCCGATAAAAACTTTTGCTCCACGTTTCCAGTGATCCATAAAATATTCAGTACCTGTTAAAAATTAGAAAAAAATTAAATTTTAAATTTAAACAGACTTCTCATTTCATCGCCGCAAGTGTTGTTGAAAATATATTTTAATTTATAACCAGGTAACATATCAGGATTATTATTTACATAATCAATAGCAACTTGTAATGCACCAGATATCATTGACCCTTAAAAACACAAAAATTATCTAAATTTAAATTTAAAAAAACCTTCAAATTCAGTACTAAAGCAGCTATGTCCATTCATTAAACTACTAAAATCAGCCAATTCATTACTTCTACTGTTAGCTACATCTTGGAGTTTATCAAAAATAAGTTGAGAAAATTGAGAAACAGCCGCCAAATAACTAATTAAAATTGGCTTTCTAGGATCGTGAACTTCTTGAGTATTTTGACGGAAAGCTGTTTGTTGATCATCTTCTGACTGAAAAATAAAAAAAATAAAAATTAATTATTTAAATTTTACATGTAAAATCTTTTCTTTAAGAAAAGATAAAGCTCTGCTTTTATTTGTAGAATTTATAGGTTCTTCAATTATATTTTGAGTTGTGGAGGCAAAAATAAAAATTTTGGAGAAAAATGTAAATAAAATAAAAACTAGCATAGAATATTTGTTTAGCCAATAAATTGAGATATGTATTTGTGTAGTTATTTACCCGTTGATAATTAAAATAAAATAATTAAAGAATTTACAGTCGTCGACATAAAGATAGGGACAAGAGTAATTTAAATGAAAATTAACTATTTCTAGGTCAAAAAATACGTTCTATATAGCAATCGAAAGCTCTATTCGTATCTCAGTTGACATGTTTCTGCATTTTTCATGAAATTGAAAATTGACCGAGATAATCCGGATCTACCGGATATACCAAATCCCACATCCTCGGAAAAATTTTTCTGGAAAAATTTAACAAACCCATTTGATAAAGCATATTTTTCTGGGTATTTACCACAAAAGCGCTTAAAGATATCTTTTTCCGGACCAGAGATATGAATTTTTGAAAATGGCATTTTTCCCTTAAAAATTGAATTTTTTGCAAAAATAGGCTAAAAATGCCATTTTCAAAAAATCATATCTCTGGTCCGGAGAAAGATATTTCTAAGCGGTTTTGTGGTAAGTACTCACAAAAATATGCTTTATCAAATGGGTTCGTTAAATTTTTTCCGAAAAATTTTTCCGAGGATATAGGATTTGGTATATCCGGTAGATCCGGATTATCTCGGTCAATTTTCAATTTCATGAAAAATGCAGAAATATGTCAACTGAGATACGAATAGAGCTTTCGATTGATATATAGAACGTATTTTTTGACTGAAAAATAGTTAATTTGCATTTAAATTACTCTTGTCCCTATCTTTATGTCCATTACTGTATGTATTTAATTTACATAAAAAACTAAAAGAAAAATTAATATTAAATTCTACGTACATACTAAAACAATCAACAAAAGAATATAAATTTAAAAGAGAATGAATACTTAGGCGCGGCTCATTTAGGCCGCAACACCTAACTGCAAGACTAATTTTGTTCCGCTCAAGTCTTGGTGATGTCTCGACTATTGCGGACGCGACAATTGCGAAGGCGACAAAACCGCAAAATTCCGTCTTTTTTGAGTCTTCCGCTTCCGGTTTTCAATTTCATTCCTTATCCGCCTCTTCTATCTTTTAAAAATTAATTTGCAACATTCCTTGTACACAATGAAAACCTCAAAATTAATAATTCGACAAAAAATCCTACAAGTTTTGATGATGTTACTAACCTTAATAATTTTTCACAAAATTGGAAATTAAATAATAATTCTCTCTGAATTACGTAAAAAAACGAATTCAGTATTATAATAAAAAAAATTTTTATTAAATTTTTACAATGCAATTTTTAGCCTTTTAATTTTTATCGAATAATCAATAAATTTAATCGACAAATTTAATTTTTAAAAAGATATTAAAAAGATATTCGTTAACAAATAAAAATTTTCTTTTACCGCTTCACTAAGTGCTTTTCACTAATACATATATACAAATTATTAAAGAAACAATTAAAATAATTTCCGGGAATTTTAAATCACAATTTTAAAAAACTTTAATAAAAGTTTTAAATTTTCTCTATTTGTTTTGACGATAATATCGGTTGCGTCTAAATATTATTTAAAATATGTAAAAATAATTTAAAGTAACAAACTTAATAAAATGCCGAACAATTTCCATAGGCAATGGAAATATAATTGTTCTGTTCTTTTCCGCACTATTAAAAAATAAGTTTTTTAATTAAAAATATTTTCATTATTTAGTAGCGACTAAGTTAATCATTAACTGTATTAGGAGGTCCTCCAATTATTTTTTTAAATCTATGATCTACTTAAAGATAACAAATTTCCTTCTTGTCGCTACTAACAAGATTCTTTACCTAATTGTTGAAAGTGTTTGCAGAAAACGAAGTTGTAATGCTACAGGTGATTGTGAAACTATTAAAGCCTTTAGAAATTAATTAATAATTAAATTAATTTTGTTAGGAAATTAAATTTTTCTTTTACCGCTTCACTAAGCGCTTTTGAAGCTTTTTGTTCTCCTTCAGCAGCAATTATCTTTAAACAAAAATTATTTTTTTATAAAATTAATTTAAATTATTTACTTTAGCCCCAGCTTCTCTAGTTGCTTCTGCTTCTGCAGCCATAGCTCTTTGTAATTGTACAGGTAATCTAACATCTTTCATTTCAACTCTTTCAACTTTAACTCCCCATGGAGATGTTATCTATAAATTTAAAAATAAATTATTTTTTTATTAATTTACCTCATCTAAAGTACTTTGCATTTGAAGAGAAATTTGTTCACGATCACTAAAAATAAGTAAAATTATTTTTAAAAAAATTTCTATTTATTTACCTAAGCATTTCTGCAAGGGTTTTTGTACCAAGTATATTCCTTAAAGTTGTTTGTGCTAATAATTTTGTTGAGCGACTAGAATCTTCTACATTTGTAACAGAAATTGTTGCATTTGATATTCGGAAATAAACAACTACATCCTAATAACAATTTTTAATTTAAAAATCTCCAAAATAATTTAAATTTACCACAGCCACAGTTACTGCATCTCTTGATAAAATCTAAATATATTTAATTAATTAATTAATTAAATAATATTTTTATTTACTTCTTGGGGAGGTACATCAAATGAGAGAACACGAAGATCAACTTTTCTATATGTATCGATGCAGGGAATTACCTAAAATCAGAAATGGACATTGAAAGACAATTAATTAATTAAAGAAATGTTTGGATATCTTTCAAAAATCCTTTCCAAATATTTATTTACAAAAAAATGGAAAGAAAATTTACAATAAAAATTCCAGGTCCACGAGCACCACCAGGCAATAAACGCCCTAATCGGAAAATCACAGCCCTCTCATATTCTTTTACAACTTTAACACAAAAACAGATTGCTATCGGAAATGTTAGAGCCAAAAGAATATATGAGCAAACCTTTAATTAAATTAAAAATAATTTTAAATAAATAAATAAAGACAAACCATCAATATATATCCACTTATTCCTAAATTTCCAGTCATTGGCTCTAAAAATATAAATATATATTTTTTATTAATTTGTTACAACTAAATACTTAAAGTTTAGGGACATAATAAAGGTTTTAATTACTTCAAAATTTTAAAAACATTCACGAGAAAGAAACTCTTTTTTAGATTTTTTAAGTCAAAGTTTTGTTCTGTCTATATAAAAAAATTGTCTTTAAAATATTTCCAAATTAAATTAAGAAATACGTAATAGGATCAAAAGGCGAAAATTCTAAATGTTCTTCTGCCATTTTATTGGAAAAACGGCGTTGGGAATGGCGCATCAAATGTCTGTCCCTAATGTCCATAATTTTAATTTTATTTTGTTGAATAAATACCAAAAATAAAGGAAATTAAATAAAAAATAATGAATTTATAAATTAATTTAATGAATTTATTGTTTTTAATTTATTAAAGAGCAAGAAAGGATTAAATAGAAATATTTTTAATTGAACCAAAAAAATTAACGGAAAATTAATTTAACAATATTTATTTTTAAATTATAATAAATACCGTTGGCGAAAAAATCATTTCGATCATTGCCTTTGAATCGCATAGATTGATGGCTATAAACCTGTAAATATTAATTATATATTCTTCAAAATTTATTAGTTCAATTTTAATGTTAATGTAATTACTTAGTATTTATTTTATTAAAGGTTTAAAAGATATTAAATGAATGAAATATTTAAAATTATTTTTAATAATTGCTTCTCTTTTTAAATTAACTTTTAAATAATTATTTTTTTAATTTAATTTATTTTTAAAAATATTTCGAAAGTTTACATGAGACGGTTTGTACGTAGTCCCTAAACGTGTATCCTCAACCTCAACCCAATGGGAAGCTGATGGGGTAGCTTCTGTTTGCGATGATGGATTTTTATTTTTCTTTCTTGAAGGATTACTAAGTAAAGAATGTAAAATTGTCATTTCTGTAAAATTTATAAACAGTTAATTTTATTTAATTATTTAAATGCTTTTTTCGATCTGATCGACTCAATTTTATCGAGCAGGCTGTTTCCGGAGTTTTCTAATCAACTTATTTCCTTATCAAGAAAGTTATAATTAAACATAGGTAGGTGTTAAATAATCCTAATATATAAATATGTCTGATTAACAAATGGGTAAAAAATATTCAAGATCATAGATATTTAAATTTTTTTCAATAAAAAATTTTAATTTTTCTAAATATTTTTACTTAATAAATAATTCTAGGCTTAAAAATCTCAATTTAAAGTAATAAAGTCTTCCTTTAAAATATTTAATTGTTTGATAAAAAAAATTCTTTCTCCCATATGCACTTTATTTTATTGCAAATTATTTACATAATTAAAAAATAATAATAATTTTCCATAAAATAATTTAATTGAAAAATATTATTATTATTTTATTTTTAGATAATATTAAATACTATTATTATTTCCTTAAGAAAAAATATTGCAATTCGCGCAATAGAAGGACAACTAAATAATTAAATATAACGACGTTAAGGTTTCTGACTTTGTTTGTGATGGAATAACGAGTGAAAGGAGAAAAATAAAAAGGGACGAGAAGCGGCAAAAGCTAATATATATAAGCATTGCCTCTAGTATTTTTCTCTTAAACAAAATAAATAAAAGAGAAAAATATGTATAATAAATAAATACTTGGTTGAGAAATGGGGGAATGGTGGCAATTTTGCCACAAAAATATTTTCCACCAAACCCTTCAATTTTTTGGAGAGAGGAAACTGGCATGAAAATGCAGGAAGCAAATGATGATGAAAATAGGTGCAATTTATTGGTAATTTTGAAGTAAATAAGTATTTTTTAAAAATGTTTTTGGACTTTTTATGAGTATGTATAAAAATAAAAATTTTATTAAAAATACGTAAACTTCCACAACTATAGTAGTAACGTTGAAATTGAGTTTCTTTAATTTAAAAAATAAAATAATTTTGGATTTATAATAAATTAATATATCTATACGTAATTATTTTTAAAAATAATTTAGCATTATTGGAAAAGGACTTGAGCAAGGAGTTAGTAAAATATCTATAAAGTCGGTTTTAGTTCAATGGCTAAAATAGGGAAGGAAAGAAATTAATTTTAGGTACTATCTTCAATAATGTCAATAAATGTCAGTAAATATATAATTTTGGAATTTTTGTTATATTTATTTTTCACGTCTTTCCTTTACATCATTACCATCTTGTATTGGCACATCTGCCAAATTAGTTTCACTTTTCATCACAAATGTCCTCGCTTTTGCTGTTTTATGTAAAAGAGAATGGCTGTTTTGGCTGTTCTCAAGATATTTTCATTTTTTAACCAAAAGCTCAACTTTAAAAAAATCAAAATAAAAAACCAAAGAAATTCTTGAAAAAAATACAACTATTTATAGTTTCTTTAAAAGAAATTTGTAAAAATCCCAAAATTTTTAATCCTTTAATATAATTAGAACATCCTCCTTAATATATTTTTATACATATACTACTCTTTCTTGATACAACAAAATAAAACTTTGTTGTCTGTTATACCTTAAAGGATATAATCCAACCAGTTCCAAAACCAACTACCAAAATTCCAAAAAAAATTTCCAAGATTTTCCTTCCAATATTATTTTCAACTAAAAACCCCCAATTTTGTTTAACAATAGCAGCTAAATTCCCCAACCAAAAATAAAACGAATTTAAGTTATGTAAAATAAAATAAAAAATCCCTGCATTTTTTAACAAAAAAAACAATTTTCCCAAAAAATACTTTAAATATTTATTTTTAAGTAAAAAGCTTTTTTATGGGAAATTAAATTTTAATTTACAAAAATATATTTCTATTAATTATTTATAAAATGATGTTTTTTCCTTCTTTTTAGAAAATTCCTTTAAATTAAATATGAGATTTTTGTTTTTAAAGTTCTTCATCATGTTCTTCTTTGCTAGACATTGCTGCCTGTAAATTAGAAAAATGTAAATTTTTAATTTTTAAAATCAAGGATTTTTTCCTCATTTGATTGGTTTTCAGAGAAGAATACAAATATATTATCATTCAATAATATTTATTTAATTACCTCAAGAAATCCCTGTTTCATCCAAGCAATAACTGCTTGCATTAATTTCATCCAAACTACCCCAATTGAATGTTTTTCATTTTTACAGTGTTCCAAAGTCTCAACACAATTTAACCAATTTTTTTGTTTTGTAAGTCCATAAAGATCTCCAGCACTTCTAGCAAAAACTGGAAATACTTAATTTAGAAAAAAATGGAAATTTAATTAATTAATTACTTTGTTTCCCCCTTTTTAAATTAGAATTAGCCATTAAAACAGTATCAACAACAGAATGTTTAACACATAACCAATTTTCTGCCTGAAACCAAACTTTCATTCTGTAATGCATTTGTCCATTAGCTCTACACATTTCTGCTAATTTTTCTTCCAATTCTATTATATTTTGATATTCATCTTCTAAAGCAATTACTATCTAATATTAAATATTCTTTTAAAAAAATATTTATTTTCTATAATTATTACACGTTCAAAAAATCGAGTAACTCCATTCCCAACTTGCACAGCTCTCGGACAAAAACGTGCTAAACTTTGAACATCAAAAACTTCAATTTCGTGTGCTTGTGGTGCACATCTAGCCAATAAACTTTTGTATAGAGATCTTTAAAATAATTGAAAGAAAAAATTATTTTTTAGTAAAACAATTATATTAACCTTTTATCATTTAAAAGTCGAATAACAATTTCATTTCCAAAATCAACTGTTTGAAGGGCTCTACAAAATATTTTTAAAAAATTAATTTTATAAAATAATCCTCTTCTCAACTTTTTCAATGTCTGTGCAACCAATTTAATTTCTTCTGGTCTAAGCAGAGGTTTATGTCGAGTACTATCTGAAGCTGTTAACAAACTACCATTTAATACAGTTGGCAAACTTGTTACTGATTCAACCATTGGAGATATAGAACTTGTTGAGGGAGTTTCTCTTGGACTTATTAATCTTGAAAATAAATTTGTTGTTCTTAATTTAAAGAAAAACCTGGATATAGGGCTGCTTCTTGTTGAACTACCTCTTGAACGTCGAAAGAAAACAGGAAATTTAAAGAAAGATGCCGAAAATCTAAGGAATGAGGAAGGACGGTGGGCAATTACAGGGAATTCTTCCATTTTATTTTTTAATTCTAAAAAATATTTTTTTAAAGTTTCTCTAGTAATTTTTTAAACATTTTTAGGTAAAATAAAAAATATTCTTTAAAATATTTTTATTTAAATTTACAAATATCCATAAATGAATGAATATAAATAAATATCCTTCTCGTTTTTAAATAAAAAAAAATAAATTGTTAATAAAAAAATTAATATAATTCATTGGAAAAATATATTTTTATAAATACAAAAGAATTGAAAGAAGGCGGGAACAAAATATGAATAAGCAGAATAGAAAAAAAATTATCTACCTAGTTAAAAAAATATAATTATTAATTCTATTTATTATTTTTTGTTTTTGCAAAACATTCAGCAAATAATAATTGAAAAAAAATAATTTTTGATTATTTAAAATTAAAAAAATTTATGTTTAGTAATAAAGATTTTGATTAAAGGATTAAATAGAGAGTGGAGGAAGAAAACTTTAAATTTAAATTAATTATTTGCTTAATAAAATCTAATAAATTTCTTCTTTTTCATTAAAATATTCAATTAATAAAAATTTAAAATTAACTAGAATAACTTAAAAAAATGTCAAAAGATTGCTGCTTTAAAAAGCTATTAAAATAAACTTGTCAATGCTTGAATAAACAATTTAGGAAAACATTTAACAAAAAAAAGTTTTATGATTGACATAGCAAAAATTCTCCATTTCCGTTTTTGGTAAAAATGAGAGTAGGGGGGAGGGGGATATATAAATATGTAAATAATATATTTATTTAAATATATATTTTTTGTTATTTTTTTGAAATAAAAAAAGGAAATAACAACTCATTAAAATTAATTTGTTTATTTGTAAAATATACCTAGTATATTCAAATAAACACAAGAATTTGTATGTACTTCCTTCTTTTTTTTCTGAATTTTTAAAAAATAGTTCCAAAAAATTAATCAAAAATATTTGCAACATAAAATAAATTTAAATGCTTCTTTTTTAAAAAAAATTTTAAAGAAAAGTTTATTTAAATATAAAATTCTTTTATTAACACACAATTATTGACACAAGAATATTTTTAAATTAATTCTAATAATTATTTATAATTACTTTTAATTTCCTTAAAAATTAAAATAATTCTTTATCATTTTCAGAATAAAAAAATAAATTGTCACAAAAAAAGAAAAGATGAAATAAATACTATAATTAAATTAGTATATATTTTAATTTTTTTGTATGTGTGGTTAAAAATATAAAAGAATATTACATATGTATAAAAATTAATAGAAAAATTAAATAGAAAATAAACAAAAAATTGGAAATGTGTGGGTAAATTAGAAACGGAAATAAATGAATAAAGGAAGAAATAATAATTAAATAAAATATATTTATTTATGTGAACACTCCTTAAAAAGTAAATGTTCTTTTTATAAATTAATCTCTCTTTAAACATCTAGATCGTGATAAACAAAATTATTTTTGTAAAAAATATTTTGAAAAATAGAATGTTTTTATGAAATATTTAAATTTAAAAATATGTGGAAATGATTTAATATTTGTTACAAATAATAGATAAATTAATTTTTGTAAGAGATTTTGATTTATTTATTTTTTAAATACTTAGAAATATTCAATAAAAACTTTAAAATATTTAAACATACATCATAAATAAAAATAAGTTTTTATTTTAAAAATTGTTAAGAAAATTCCCACGTCTTAAAACTTCTAAATTAAATAAAGTTATAAGTAAATATTGAATTTATAGTATTTAATTAAAAAATAAATAAAAGTTTTTTATAGACATTAAAATTAAAAAAATTTAGTTTCTTTTCACTCATTTCCCGCCTATCTATCCATCAATAGTAGCAATAAAAAATTAATTTAAAAAATTAATTTAATGTTCTCAAAGGAACAGGCGAATTTTTTTATAATTTTTCTATTTTGTTAATTTAACGATAAATATATTTTTTTAAATAATTGTTTGGGAAGAAAATAATAATAATAAATATATTACAAAGTCCTTAGGGAAATTTTAATAAAAATAAATTAAATTATATATTAATTTGTATTTTAAAAACTATTTAAAATAAAAATATAATTTAATTATTTGAATGAAAAAATAAAAAGGTACATATGTTTTCCATATAAAAGAAAGAAAACTTTTAAATTTAATTAATAATTTTGTCAAAAAATGTAATTTTTTGTTGGAAGTTGATTATTTAAAAATATATTTTAATTATAAAAGTTAACAATGGTGAATATATGTAGGTGTTTGTGAAACAAGGGGGGAAGGATAATGAAATTAAAATTTTTGAAAAAAATGTTGACATGTTTGTCTAGAAAGGAATTAATAAGTAAATAAATATATTTATGTTTTTACAAAATTTAAATTAAAAATTAATTATTTTAATTTTAATTTAATTATTACTCAGCGTTTTAAAATTTTAATTATTTTATTTACAAAAAATTTAAAAATAAAAATTTTGTTTCCAATAAAAAACTTCAAATAAAAACATTTAATTTTTACAAAAAATTCAATTAAAATTTAAAAATATATTATTTTATTTTTGTTCAAATTTGAGGAAATTAAAAGAAAAAATGGGAAACAATTAAATTTTAAATTATTTTGAGAAAGAAATTCAAACAAGCGTCAAATTTTAAGTTGCGCATTAATTTTTGATTTTTTCCTTAAAATAAAATAAAATTAAATAAATAATCATCATTCTTTATTTTATAAAAGTTTTAAAAAATAACAAATTTATTTAGTAAAATAAACAAAAATATTTAAAAATTATAAACAAAAAATAGGTGGTTTTAATACAAAATTTTTAATAAATAAAATGTTAACATCAAAAGTTTTCGATTTATTGGAGAAATATTTAAATTTAATATTTTGTATTTTATTTAAATTAAGAATTTTTATATTTATAAAAAATAATTAATATTTTAATTTTTAAATAAAATTGATAATGAATTACATCAACGCAATAATTAATTTAATACATTTATTAATAATTATTAGCAACGAAAATTTGTCAGATGGATATTGCTTTCAAGTGGTTAGAATTAAAATATTAATTTAATTAAAAAAATAAAATTTTCTTTTAACTAGACAAATGGAGTACCTAGTTACTCTGAAGGGCCAAATTGCTTTCAAATAAGCAATGGAGGTTACCGACCTAATAAATTTAGTAATTATGGAGGAAATAGCCAATTCGGTACTTTGCCCAAAGGAGGAGAAGGATTTTGGCAAAAATTTCCATTTTTTGGACAACAATTTGTTTATAGTGGATATAATGATGGAAAAGGTTGGGGAGGATCTACACAATGTAGTGCTTCTTGTATTGGGACAATGTGTTCACACAGTTGTAATTAAAAAGGAAAATAATTGAAGGAATTAAAACAAGAAAGGATTTTTTTAATTGAAATTATTTTTTAATTAAAAAAACTAATTGTTTAAATTAAACATTTAAAAATATTTATAAAATAATTTTTAATATTTACATAAATAGGGCAGAGTAAATGAATATGAATAAATACATATATTTAAAAATATAAAATGACGAGTTGGACGTTACATATAAAGGGCAGAAAATTAAAAAAACATAAATTTAAAAACAATTTTAATCCAATACGATCGTTAAAGCGTGATGGGGGAAGGATAAAAAATAAAAAATATTTTTATATTAATAATCTAAATTCATCAAAAAATCTTCATTTCCCCAATTAATCTCTCCATTTTCATTAAAAATGTTAACTTCATTACCTTCTTTTGTTTTGGTGTTTTCTTCTTTTTCGTTAGCCTCGTTTTCTGATTTGGCATTTGACTTAGAATTAAAAAATAATTTTTTAGAATTTTTTTTATATTAAATTTAATTTAAAGAAAACATACATATTTAAATTATTCTTTTCAAAATTTTCAATCTCCTTCTCTTTGTTTTGTATTTTCTTTTGATTTTCTTTGTTTAAAAGACCAGGAGTTGGCTTAAATAAATTTTTACTTTAACAAAAAATATATACTTTCTACTATATTTTTTTAATTAATTAAAAAAACAAACATTTATATAAGGATTCTTTTCAACAATTTCAAAAAATTGATTATATTCTTCAATTAAAGTTTCAATTACTTTTTCAGTTTCTTTTAAATTAAAATAATTTAAAATTGAATTTGTCGATTCTCTAATCCATTCAACATACAAAACATCCATATTTCTAAAATATTTCAATAATTTCCCTTCATTACTTCTAAATTGGTTATCAATAGCCAAACAAAAGGCAAAAAGTCTAACAATAACACACAAAGCATTTTCTCCATTTCCTTTGATTTCTCCAATATTTTCACATTTTTTGTCAATTGATATTGCCAAATTTGTCATTTTGGATGGCCATGTTCCCTATTAATTTGTGATTTTTTATTTAAATAACAAACAAAAATATATACAAAAATAAATTTTTAGTTAAAATATTTTAAGGCTAAAAACCAAAATTCTAAAATAAATTTAAAAAATCTCTTTTAATAATAAGAATAACTAAAAACAAACTCCAGATAAAAGCCAATCATTATATTTAAATAATTCTTCAGCTGATTTTATATTTATTTTTTCGTAAATTATTTCATGTTTTATCGAGTAAAAACTTCCAATTTTTTCAATTTGTAAAATTTTCTCATTTCCTTTTTTTCCTTTCCAACTAAACTTTTTACTTAATTTTGAAATGAAACTTTTATTTAAAATATTTTTTATCAAAATATCTCTCGATTCTAATTCTTTTCCCAAAAATACATCAACATAAAAGGGCATATTTGTTGTTAATAAAGAACTTGAATTCGAAGAACCGTTTTTGTTCTATAAATTAATTTATTTATTTATTTATTTATTATTGTATTTACCCTAAATAAAATTTTTTAGCTATTTACTAACTAAAGATTATTATTATAATAAAGCTGAACTAGTCTATAGCTATTCGGCGACGGGAGTGAATCAGCGTTTGAACTAGAATTACAAGTGACCACGCCGCCTCCAAATAGGTAGCTACTATCTATATGCTTTACACTATAGAGAACTTCTCATTACAAAAGTCCTTTATTTTAACAAAGATTAATGAAACCTTGTAAATTCTATTTTTAAATTCTTTTATAGCTTTAGGGCTTTTATCAGTAAATGCTTTAAACAACAATTTATCCATTAAATTTTCATAATATATTTTTAGTGCTTTCTCCTCGTTTTTTTGTTTTTCAATTTTAATTGTTTCATCCTCTCGCTTTTCAAAACTTTTTTCTTCTTTTTGCTCATCCTCCCAATCATCATTATCTTCATTATTCTCCTTACTCTCCTCCTCTTTTTGTTCCATATATTTATTCTGATTCCAAACAAGAAAATAATTTGTATAATGGTGAATAGCATAAATATCCAACAAAATAAGTCTTGCTTCTTCAGCAAAGATTTGAACTTTTGTTGTTATACTATTATCGCCTTTAATTTTAAAAGTTTTTTTGATTAATATTTATAAGTAAAAGTTTCAAGTAAAAGTAAAAATCAAGTAAAAGTTTCCACATTTTATTTTAATGCTAATTTAGAGTAAAGCGTTTTTTATTTAAAAATATGTTAAATATATTTTGTTTTATATTTTTTGGTTTTGAAGATTTTTAATTAATTAATTAGATCTTTTTTTAATTAAAAAAATATTTAAATAACCTTTATCTACAATATCTTCAATTTTAAACGATTCAGAAAATTTTAATATTTTCTTTTTTCCTTCCTTTAAAGAATCTTTCTTTTTAAACTTGATAATATCCTTCGAATTATTTTTTGAAAAAGAATTTTTAAATTTTTTAAAATTATTTTTTGTATCTCTCAAAAATTTTCCTTTAATTTTTTTCTTATTTTTCATATTTTTGTTTTGCTGATATTTTTTAATTAAATTGTTAAAAGCAAAAGAATTTATTTTGTTTTTTAAAGAAAATCCTTTCTTTTTATTTTCTTTTTTTGAATTTTTTGTTAATTTTTTAGCAATTCTTCCATTCATAACTTTATGTAATAAATTAGTAGTAATATTATTCTGATTTTTAACAGAATTTTTTTTAATTGAAATTTGTTTCTCGTTAATATTGTTGTTGTCGGTGTTGTTGTTTGGTATTTCAACAAAACTTTCTTCTTTTTGATTTTCATTTAATATTTTTTCTTTTTTTATATTTTGATGTTTTTCTAGTGGAGTAGTATATTTGTTTGGATTTATAAGAATTTCTGGAATTTCATCAACTTTTATTCCTAATTCTCGTGCCAAAATAATTGTTGAAATAAAGAATAAATTAAATAATAAAATAAATAATAATTTTGACATTTCTTTTAATTAAATAATTTTTTGTAGTTTACATTTTCTTTTAAAAAATATTTTTTAATTAAATTTATTTTAAACTTTTGTAATTTTATACAATTCTCTCAAAATTCTTATCCATTGACTGCAATCAGGAAATGTAGATTTTACTGAACTTTTTATATAAAAATTGGCTCTTGAAATTACAAAATAATTTTAAATATTTTAATTTAATTTTATTTTAAATATAATTTTTTATTTTAATTTTAAAAAATAAAAAAAAATTTATTTTAAATCAATAAATCGAAAGAAATGAAGAGGTGGATGCCCTTTTGCCAACACATCCCCAACACGCGCAACATCATGCCTTCATCATAAGTCTATTTCATGTGATTTAACAAGAATCGATAACTTTTAAAAATATAAAATTTTAAATTAAATAATTATGTAGAAATAAATAAATAAATAAAATATTTTTTTTTAATTTTTAAATAATTTGGAATCTAAATAATTGTTAATTTGGAATTTAAATAAATATACATACTATTTAAATTTTAAAAAAACAATTCCCCATTTTGAAAAAAACTCAAAGTTTATATTGTAGATTTAATTTAAAATTAAATATAGGTAATTTATACAGCCATAATTAGATACACAAAAATATTTAATAAACTGAAGAGATAATTAAAATTTGATTGGAACCAGAAATATATAAATTTTTTGAGTATAAAATTATCGAAACTTTAATATATAAAATTATATAATAGTGTAATAATTGTTGCTACTGAAATTGGTGAAAAAGTTATTTTAATGTTTGGATATATGGAGTCTAATTTAAAAGATTTTGTAACTTGCAACTAAATAAACACAGTGTAAATTTTTATGTTTAATATCCTCAAAAAAGTTAATAAGTTTTCTGTAAAATAAAGAATAAAATTTTAATTCGGCCCTCAAAATATTTCTTAATAAAAATTCTCTTATGATTGGAATTTTTAGTTTTTTTAATAATAATATTTATTCAACTCCAAATGACATATAAAATATATGGAGGATGAAATAAAAATGGGGGATGAAATTTAATTTCAAATTTAAAATATTAATTTTAAACTTGTTAATATTTTCTAATTTAAATAAAATTACAAAAAATTCGATAACTAAAGCTTTTATCAAACTTTTAAATGAAACATAACTTTAAAAATATATGTATTTTAATTCTTAAATTTTAGAAAATTTAACACTTTTTTTTCAAATTACAAATTTATTAATTCTTCTACAAATTTTCTTTCTCTTCATTATTTTCCCAATTTTCTTTTCTTTTAATTAATTCTTTGGCTTTCCTTTTTTAGCAGCTTTATCCTTTCCTCCACCCGCGGCATTTTTCTTAGGCGTTGCTTTGCCGTTTGCTTTCTTTGGTGCTGGTGCTTTCTTTGGTGCAGCCTTCTTTTTTGGCGCAGCCTTAGTTGCTTTAGCCTTTGGTTTAGCGATTGGACTTTTAGCAGCAGCATCTTTCGTTCCCTTTTTTGGCTTTGCAAGAGCAGGTGCTTTATGTTTGTCAGCAACTTTCGGTTTAGCATCCTTTTGTTTAGCATCTTTTGTTTTAGCATCCTTTGGCTTAATTTCCTTTTGTTTGACCTCCTTTGTTTTAACCTCTTTTTGATTAGCACCTGTTTTTACGGCTTGTGGTGCTTGTTCCATTTTTTGTGAAGGGGCATCTGACATTGGAGAAACAACTTTATCGGCCCCACTAATTGTTTGAGTGTTAATTGATGTATCTTGTTTAGGTTCTTCCACTTCATTCATATTCATTTCCGGCATCACTTCTTTTTCTTCAGCCATTTTTCCATAGTTGTCCATACGCGGCAATTCTTCGTATGCTTCAAGCGAATCAATGTCATCCATTTGAGATTTAAGATAATCATCATTATTGTACACATCATGATCGTCATCCATATCATCATAGTCCTCATCATCTTCATCTGAATCATCGTAATCTTCAGTTAAATCATCCATTCCTTCCTCACCTTGAGGGAGTACTTGATTGGACTTTTCTCCCACATTATTTTTCTTTCCAGGCATTGTTGCTGATACATCATCAACTTCATCCATATTAGAAATGGTTCGAGCATTGTTGACCACAAAAGCGGCAAAAAGAGAAATTAAAAGGAGGAGAAAAGACTTGAAATACATTTTCTCTCTTTTAGTTGTTTGTGAATATGATGGAAATGCTTTGATTGGATGCCGATTTTATAGCCAAAATTTTTGTCTAGGGCCGGATGTTTGTCTGACTTTCCGATTATTTCGAAAATCATTTCATTAGCCGCTTCCCTTTTAACTAAAGTGCTATTTTAATTCTCGAGTAGTCGAGAAATTCGAGAAATTAATAAAAAATATATAAAATATTATAAAAATATTATTTAAATTAATTGTTGAAATTAATTTAGCTATAAAATAATTTATTAAAACAAAAGTTTATTTTATTCCTTTGAATACATAAAAATTAATCGGATTTTTTATGTTGCCAAACAAAAATTATTTTAAATGTTTCAGAATCCATCGTTGTAAAATTTAACAAATAATCTAGATATCTAAAAAAAATTTTAAAATTAATAGTAAATTATTGTTTAAATTTGGTTTTGAATTCTGAAAATTAAAAAAATTATTTTTTAATTAAAATTTTTTATTTAAATCGAGACCTAATAAAAAACAATTTTTCTCGATTAATTTTTCTGAGAGATTCACGTGAAGAGATTTTTATTTAAAGGGCATCCTTTTGCGCAACAAACAAAAAATATATTTCAAAATAATATTTTTAAAAAATAAATTTTAAAAAATAAAATTGCTTTAAGTTTGGAGTTTCTTACACCCCTTTTTTTAGATTATTTCTTTAAATTATTAAAATTTAATAAAAAATAATTTATAATTATTAGAAACTATTCAAAAATTCAATGTCAACATATATAAAATTATTAATTAAACAAAAATCAACTAACTAATTTATATTAAAAACTTCTTTATTCCAATTTTATCCAAACATTAATTATTCTCCGCAACTTATTTTTGTCCGCAACTCTCTACAAGTCTCTCTCCCTCAAGACATCCTTTTAAATCCCACCCACAAATCTATTAATTCCCCCACCCTCCCTTTCTCTATCCACCTCTAATGTATAGCCATTCATTTTAAAAAAATCTTTTTAAATTATCAATTTTTAATTTAAAATTAAAATTTAATTTTTGAATAAAAACTCGAGAAAATAAATAAAATTTTATCAAGACTATTTAGATAAATAAATATTTATTCTTTCAATCCTGAAATAAATATTTTAGAAAAAAACAAAATTAGGTTATAGCATTGTTTAATAAAAGTGGTTAAATTTTTGTAAATAGTTAAATGTAAATAGTTATTAACGAGTTAAACAATTTTTATTTTTATTTGTTACAAAAGACAAATACCGTTTGTTCCTATTAACTTAACAGAGTTATACATAAATAATTTATTTATTACTGAAATTAAACTTTTGGAAATTAAAGAGAAAATTTTTAAAGAATAATAATTCTTTTTTTTAATTTAGAAATGGAGATATATAAATTTTGTTTTTATATAACCATTTTTTTGTTTGCATTGTTTCGACCTGTTGAATCATCTCCAAGTCCTCAACACAATAGTGATACGCAAATTTCTGAACCTTCTTCATCAACCACAATTAAAACTTCTGAAGTTATTGTTAAACCAAAAAAATTTGAGCGATTAAATCAAATGTAAAAAATAAATAATTTTAAAAACTATAAAGGAATAATATAATAATTATTTTATAAAATTTTTAGCACAAATAAAAGTTTATCAGAATTAGACGACGGTAAAATGAATAGCGAAAAGGGTTTGTGGGAAGAGAATAATTTTTTAAGTGAGGATGATGATAAAAACAGTGAGGTTAGTTATTCCTCATCAATGGAGAAAGAAGGTGAACATGTTAAATCGAAAACTTCCTCAAGCTTTAGATCTTCATTAAAAAAAAGAGTTAATAATGCTAGGTAAAAACTAATTTTAAAATTCAATTTTTTTTAATTTTAGAAAATTTCTTCCCTTTGTAAAACATGAGAAGGACGAAAAACACAAAGAAATTAAAAAAGAGGAAATATTAGCCCATAATTCTTTTAAAGAAAAAGAGAAACATAAAATTAACGGTAAATTTTCTCATATTAATCAACATATGTATGTATATTTATTTATTTATTTATTAGATGATAAAATTGAGAAAAGTTATATTCTTACAAGTGAAGAAGCATTACAAATGATACAAGATATTTACAATATAGATCATTACAATTCAAATTATTCGGGTCAGAATTCACAAAACGAAGAAACTTCTGAGGATAATGAATTGAATACACAGGTAGTAAAGAAGTAAAACTTGACAGAAAAAAGGGGAATCAAATATTTGATTAAATATCTAATTTTTGAAAAAAATGCCCAATTAGTGTATATAACCACAGGCTAAGTTGATTTTCAATTCTTCACCAATCAAATTTCAATCCCAAATAATTTAAATATACATATTTGACTTAGCATCCTTTTTGTCATTTAAGGCTATATTTCGGTAGTAAAATCGAATTCTAGCAGCTTTTAATTTATACATATCTATGTAATATTTTATATTTTTTTAAATTTCTAGCAAGAAACAAAGCCATTTAATCTGGAAAAATTTTCCAATAAAAACTATGGCTTTTCATACTATGTAAAGGATAATAAATCGTTTGAAATTAAATCAACTGTTGAACTTTTCAAAAACGATGAATGGAAATTTCAAAAAGTCTGTTTCTTCTTTAAAATTTAAAGAACTTAATTAATTTGTAAATTAAATTAATTAATTACTATTTTTAAGGAAGAAATTCCTGAACATATGGATACTAACAAGCACAAGGAAGGCAAAGCTTGGAATCATAAAATGATGGATTTGGCAAAAGAAATTGATAAGAAATGTTTTGTCAAAAAAGACACTTATGACCAACTTTGTATTCGTGCCCATCTTTTTGTTTTTTGCATCACATTAAACATGTACATAACAGAGCACAAACAAGAAGGAGATGGAAATATTGCTACACATTTCAAATGGTTTGAAGATTCGGCCAAAACAATTTTTGTTGAAAAGAAATATCATAAGTATAACATCAACTTATTAGTTGGTGAATATTTTAAATATTTGAATGCTCCGCAGGAAAGCAAAAATTCTGGTGGCCATGTCGAGGCCCATAAAAACACTAAGCAAATCAATTCATGAACATTACATTTTTTCCTCCTTTTTAAATTCGTTTACCCGCATCTAATTTTTATCCCCCCCCCCCTTCACACAATTTAAAAGATTATCATTTTGGAATGAAATTACCTATTCACCATTGTTTCTATTTTCACATTAATTTCTTATGATTATGACATGCAAATTTAACCCAACGAAAAAGAAAATAATTATTATCCACTGATTTTCCAGGATCTGCCTACTTTAATATATACATAGTAGGTAATAATACTACTATACAATGGTGAACTAGGTAAGTAATCCTCGACTTCAGAATTTTTTTTAATTTTCAAAATTCATTCATCCTGTGATTTTTTTATGATTTGTAACACATTTGTAACATTTTAACATTTTTTAACACATTTGTAACACACAGAAAGTAAAGCAGCTGGGCTATAGCTATTTCTCTCCTTTAGCTAGTGCAAAAGGTTATTCGGCGGCTGGGAGCGAACCAGCATCTTCAGTAGACCGGACTGATGTGTTAGCCATTACACCACGCCGCCTACTGCTCAGCCTTAGGAAATTAATAGCTATGTGCTTTACAATAACAAGTCTGTATAAATTTTTCTAGAAATTCTTTTAATTCTGTTTATATAATTTCTTATGATTATTACATTCAAATTTAACCTAACGAGAGTTTTAAAAATTATAACATTAACAGAATATGTATATGTATGTACATATATACATATTACTTTTATTTATTTACATCAAATAACTTTTAAACATTCTTTTAATTTTAACTTTTATTTTTTATATTTAATCTTTCTATCCGATTAAGATATTGCTGTTTAGTCCAAAAACGCCTAAAAATAGCCGCTTGGTCTTCAACATTTTGATGTTGATTTAATGCCTCGTTGTTTGTTTTGAGATATTGATAACATTTATAGGCTCTGTTTACACGATTTAGATCACCTATTTTTATGAGAAAAAAATTAGTTTTAAAATATTATTTTTTAAAGAAATTTTTAACCCTGAGTAAAATCCATCGATTTCCCCATTAATGCACTATATTCAGGTACATTAGCAACTATAGTTGGCCTACCATTTTTACTTCCTTCAGTATTTTCATCTTTTTGAATGTAAATTTAAAATAAATATATTTAATAAAAACAAACAATGCATAATAGAAAAATAATCATAACGTTCTCCGTAATTACTTAATCCCATTGAACTTAATTTTTCAAAATCAGCATTCGCGCCTTTTAAATTATATTTAAGAATAAATTTAAAATATTACAAATACCATCAATTACATTTTCCCACACAATACGCACAAAACCGTCTCTGTCTTCACGTTGATGTTCATGAATACTATTTAGTGAATTAATTTATTTTAGTTTTTTGTAAAAATTAATCAAACAGAATTCCTCTATTTTCTAACAAAAAATAATAATTTTGATAAATCTGAGATCTAAATGGATATACTCTAATTTATCCAAAACAAAATTTTTTCATCCCTTCTCCAAATATTTTTTATTTATTTATTAAAAACATACAATCCTATAACATGCATAAATTCATGTATAATAGTTGCGTACTCAATACATTCATCAACTAAGGAAACTTGTTGCCGGCCTCCAACTCTTGAAAAATCAGCAAAACATCTAATATAAATTATTTTTAAAAAGTAATTTCTAAAATTATTTCTACCCATCAATTTTTGCAATATCGACATAATCTACATCTGTGGAAGTTTTTGGAACAAATCTTTGAAAAAATAAATAAAATATTCTCCTTATAAGTACCGTATACATGTTTTTGCATTATAAGCTGAAATTGCTAATGCAAGAACGGCTCTTTGTTGGGGTGCTAAAAATATAAGAATTATTTTTAAATTAATTTAAATCCTATATTAATTAAATTTTAAAAATCCTATATTAAATTTCAGAAAATATTTACTATATGCTGTTGATAAAACATAAGGTATTCTTCCGTTTGGCCATTTGTCCGATTCCAATACACTGACTGATCCGCGTCTTTGTCTCTAAAAATTAAAATATTTATTCATTACCAGAGTTTTTTCTTCCCTTCCCTTCCAAAACTTTTAATTTACTACTATATTTAAATTTATTTTTTAAAACCATACTTGCTCACTTTATGAAATCGTTGATCATCAAATACTAATTTTGCATGTCTATTATTTCTAACAAAAGCTGCATTTATAAAATCCTCTTCAACAAGATGATTGGGCAATAAAGGTTTTGAATTTACTTGCAACAACATTGAGCAAATTGAAATTAAATTAATAAACAAAAAATAATTTTTTAATTTAAAAATAAAATATTTCATCGACAATTAACCCTAAAAAATTTTAATTTTTAAAAAATAAATTTAAATATTTAAGATAATATTTAATTAAAGAACAACCATAAATAGAAGAAACCTTCGGAATTTTAAAAATATTTTTGGATTTTTAAGACAATTATATGTAATTGAATTTAACATATTTTAAATTAAATATTTAATTTGTCTTTTAAAAGATTCTTTCACAGAAACCGACAAAAATTATCAAGAAAATAATTCACGAATAAATTTATTTAAAGTTGTCATTTTTAATTTAAAATAATTCAAAATTAATTTTAATTATTAAAAAAATAATGAAAATATTTTTTTGAAAAAAAGCAAAAAATCAACCAAAAAATTTCCGAGAGTGCTAAATAAAAAACCTTTTCTTTTGTGCCTTGAGCACGATCTGTCCCTTTCTTTTAGTCCATTCACTTACCCCCTTCCGTTTTCTCTCTTTCAATAATTAAATATTTTTCCGGAATTTATGTACGTATATACTTAAAAACATTTATTTGTTCAGTCTTTGTTATTGTTTCTTTTTTTCTTTATTTTTTTCTTTCAATTACTTCCTTGTTCCGTTTGTCCAATTGATTATTTCCGACAAAAATTTTTTTTTGTTTTCGAGAATTTTTATTTGACCATAGCTAATTAAATAAAAAATAAATACCGTATTTCCTAAAATAGTACTCCCGGGAGTACTATTTTTCAACCCTCCTCCAAAGGGGAGTACTATTTAAGGGGGGAGTGCTAATTCAGGGGGGAGTACTATTTTTCAACCTTCCTCACTGATTTATCTTGTGAAAATTTATTTCAAAATTCTAAATGTCTAAATCAATTAGATTTCTTAATTTGAAAAATGCTGGATCCGTACATAGATTTTCAAAAAAATTCCTTTATAATTCGCAAAAAATATCCAAATTATTATAAAATTGAGCACATGGCAGGACATTTAAACACAAGTGACTTAAAATAAGGATTATTGAGGGATATCAAGAAGTATATATCAGTGGATTTGGAGTGGGGATTTAAGCTATAAGGGGATTTAAACAATTAAGAGTGAAGCATGCTTTGGACTAAGGTGGATATCGAAAATTGATACATCACTTTTGTTCTTCCGATATCCCTTCGAATCTTATGATATCCATATTTGGCGTAATATCAAGGGATCAAATTATGTAAGTTGGAGATCAGTGAGTTGGATATCTGAAAATTCTTGAATTAGAGGTATCGAAATAAAATCGTTGGGTTGAGGAGGATTCATGATTCAATTTTATCTTAATCACGCTTAATCAACAAAAAACTACTAATATGACTCATCCGTCATTATTCCCTCAAATTCCTTTATCCGCCTTTAATCCAATGATATCTTTTAACTCGCCTGATCAATTCAGAACCCCTTTTATCACCCGATATCAATACACTTATATCCCTCAAATCCACTTTTATCCAGCCACTTAATCACAATATACCTATCTCCTTAATCCTCAACAAATTTACGGTTCGATTTCGGTTAACAGGAAGTTTCGGTTCGGGTTTTCGGTTCGGTTTCGGTTAACACAGAATTAATTGAAACCGACAACCATAATTAGAGTAAATGAAATAATTTAATGAGTCTTTTATAATTTTTTCAAATATAGGGGAAAAATATTTTAGGGGGGAGTACTATTTTAGGGGGAGTACTAATTCAGGGGGGAGTACTATTTTTCAACCCTCCTCCAAAGGGGAGTATTATTTAAGGGGGGAGTGCTAATTCAGGGGGGAGTACTATTTTAGGAAATACGGTAATTTTTTTTCTTAATCCGAACAATTCTTTTGGCAAATATTTGTTAATTAAATATATTTGTGTGTGGACGTGTTTTTGACCTGTCTTTACAATAAAATCTCTTTTTTTTTATTTCCGATTTTCTTTATTGTAAATAATAAGTGTCGGTCATTCATTTAAGTATTGTCCTTTCTCTCTCTCTTGAGCTCCTTAACAAACAAAAAATAATAATTAAACAATTATTTGTTTAATTAATTCACGTAAAAATTTCATTTTTTGTATTAGATTCTGGTACTTTAATTAAAACTTTAAGGTTTTTAAATTAAAAAAATGTAAAGAAAAATCGACAATAATTTTTTTATTATTCAAATAATTTTTAATAAAATATTTTAATATTTTTTATACTTTTCTTCATTGTCAATTTTAATTAAATTATTGCAAAAGATTGAGGCTGGATTCTTATGGATTTGAGGCTGGATTTCTACATATAAATACACACAAATTGAAGAAACAAAACATTAATTCTAAACTTTAATATATCTTGAGAAAGTTAAACTTTATTTTGAATATACAATCAGACCTTGATTTTAGATACATTCTCGAGTATATAAAAAGAAAAATAATGTGAAAAGAGTATCTAGAACTGAAGGTAAAAGTCACGTTTGTTTCTCCCTTTTTCTCATTTTTTATCCAGGGAGATGAAAAAATTTAAAAAAGGCACAAAACCGACTTTTACCAGATTATTAGTACTATTGCTTAACTAATATCTCCATAATTAAATTCAAAAAATATACATATCTAAAACTGAAGTGTATCTTACTTTTGGGTAAAAAATTCGAGGTCCGACTGTAATGAAAAAAAGTTAATTATTCAGGTAAATAATTTATTAAATAATTAAATTATGTATTATTTTCTAAAATAAACCTTACAGGATTTTGAATTAAATTTGAAAAATAATTATTCCTAATTAAAAATTTTTTGTTTATGTATAAAATTAAATTAATTTTTGAAAAACTTTAAGTAATTTACAATTGTTTATTAGGCTGTACTATAGTATAGGTCCACCGAGATCGGAACTCATAGTATATACCATTCGATTCGTCTCGCCGAGCTGAGTTCAAATATGCAAGAATTTTCTGCGGGAGACGAAAACTCGCTGAGATACAGGCCCCCGAAAATTGAAAAACCATAGGGGGGACCAAGCACTTTTTTGGGGTGAAAAATTCGAATATGCAAATGATAGCTCATTCGAAAGAGCTCCTCGAGCTGAGTCGAATGACACCAAAATCAACGAAATCAGACATGAGTGGAAAAAGTTATGATCTTTTATTTTAGCTCCTTACCTATGGCATTTGTGGAGATTTTTGCTGCTACGGAGGCCCCAAATACGTCCAGAGCAAGGGAGATAGGAATAGGTTTATGTTACGAGCCCAGACCCAGCGCCCGTAGACTCCCCGCGAGGCGCATGCCGCAAAACCCCGCGCGAAGCGCGGGGTTTTGCACAAGCGCCTCGCCGACGCCCCATAGGTTTAGGTATTTTGTTTTTTGTGTCATAACTTTGTCTAATCTTGTTCAATCACGGTGATTTTGGTGTCATTCGACTCAGTTCGACGAGCTCTTTCGAATAAGGTATTATTTGTTTAAAAAATTTTTTATTCCAAAAATCGCCCTTTGGATCTTCGGTTTTTAGGGGTCTATATCTCGGCCATATGAAGTCGAATTTCGTTGATTTTGGTGTCATTCGACTCAGCTCGAGGAGCTCTTTCGAATGAGCTATCATTTGCATATTCGAATTTTTTATCCCAAAATTGAGCTTACTCCCCCCTATGGTTTTTCGATTTTCAATCGCCTGTATCTCTGCGGGTTTTCGCGTCCCGCAGAAAATTCTTGCATATTTGAACTCAGCTCGGTGAGACGAATCGAATGGTATATACTATGAGTTCCTATCTCGGTGGACCTATACTATAGCGACCCCGTTTATTATTATAGTTAATGAAAATGAATAAAAAAGACAAAATTAATAAAAATCAAAATCAAATAAAATTAATAGGTATGTTTGGTCACATTTCTAAATTTTAAAACTTTCGACATAGGAGTTCCCATTTCCTGTAGAAGCATCATTGTAATGCATTTTATACGAATTTGACAACAGCATTGTTGTAGCATTTTTTAAGATACATACTATGTATGAAAGAAATTAAATTCTTTTAAATTATTTATAGTAAAAAACACTAATAATAACATTAATTTTACATACATACATAAATTTTAATTTTAAACTTGTAAATAAATAATCAACATTAAATAACCAAAATCACATATGAGAAAAGCCGGTTAAGGTCGGAGCTTCTATCTTTTTTCGTCGTCGACAGCCCGAGCACTCTCCTCCGTCATCCTCCCTACCAAAAACCCCTTCTTTTTATTCTATACATTCTTCCTCTCTTAATCTCAACTAAAAATTTTCGCAAATGCTGCTGCTTTGTTGGAGGAAAGGGAAGAATGTCGAAATGGACGGAATGTTGTGTGTATGTTGAGGAGAGATCGACCGCCCGCGTCGTTAACGTCCCGAACATTATCGATTTTCGCAAACTCAACATCACTGAGAGAAAAGCCAGAGTAGTATTAAATGTCCGACCAACCAACCCGACATTCATTTTACTCTACTACTTACTGTTTTCCTTCTCTACATTCGTAAATTTTTCTTTTTTTCATAGACACGACAAACATAAATATATTAGAAATAATTTTCTTATTCACAAGTTAAATTCACATTCAAACACCGGAATTTTATTTTATTGTTAGACTGGATATTAAACAATAATTATACTCATTTTAGACTAAAATTTCGTAACTACTATTTTTGTTTTCTTTTATTTTCAAGTTTTTAAATGAGTAAACTACCGTATTTACTCAAATAATTACCCTCCCTCAAATAATTACCCCCTCCCTATTAATTACCCCCGCCAGAGAGAGATCGAAACAATAATTACCCTCCCTTAAATAATTACCCCCTATTTTTCTTAACTAATTTTAAAAATATTTATTAAAAATCAACTAATTTAATAATAAGGCATTTTACCGATCAATATAAAGGAAAAAATCGAAACATTAAAAGGATTTAGGGAAAAAATCGAGGATTTGTGTGGATTAAGAGGGAACTCGAAGGGATTAAGAGATTTTGTGCAGTGATAATGGGAGATTAAAAAGTTTTAAGGGTATAAACCTTATTCCTTCTAAGACTTTTTCCTTATATCTCACCAAATCCTCTTAAATACTTTAAATCCTCGCTTTACTTTGTGCCTTTATATATCCCAAGACGGAAGTATTGCTGGTATATTACTATTTTGAGGACATTATATAGTATATTATAAAAATAAATATTATATCTCCTAAATAGGAATTATACGTATTTGCATAATTGTCCATGATGTCTTTATATATCCCAGGACGGAGGTATTGATGTTATGATACCGTTTTTGGAAAATATTAAGGGAATAAAAATGTTAAAACACAACTTTTTATCTCCGCATTTGGTAACGTATTGTATATTCCTTTACATATGCCTATGTTAAAATAAAAATATAAAGGTCGAAATAATAATTGCCCTCTCTCAAATAATTACCCCCTCCCTATTAATTACCCCCGCCAGCGGGAAATCGAAACAATAATTACCCAGGGTAATTATTTCAGTAAATACGGTACTTATCGAAACTTTTTACTTTACCAGGGGATCCAGCCGTTCCGATTTCCGAAAATAAAAAATTAAAATTTCCTCGGGAAATTTCCATTAGGAAACTTCCATTCCTTAAATTTGAACATTGTTTCCATACATATTTTGCCATTTAATTTGGATTTTGGCAATTTATTTATTTTTTAAAATTTTTGTACATACTATTTTACTGTATTTATCTAATGAATAAGGTACTGTACTTCCAAAATAAGTACGAATTCTCCCTCTGTTTATAAATATTTTAGTAATTTAATTATTTAATATGTTTTTGTAGTAACCTTAAAATATTTTTTATTAAAATAATGGAAAATTATTATTGTCGTGAATTTATGTCGTCTTCTCAAACGGCGGCTAAATTAGTTTTTAATATTGGAAATTGGTAATTTATTTTATATTTCTGAAATTATTTTTATTTCCCTATAATTTTAGTGTGGACACAAGTCGTGTTCTTCGTACAAGACCTAACCGTCCTCTCGATTCTAACGGGCGAGAGGCTTTTGTTTATATTATGGATGGATCAGCAGTAGGGAACGACATATCAACGTTTTCTTAAGAAAAAAAAGTTGATTTAATAATATCAACAATTATTCGCGAACAACTTTTTTTTAAATACATAACGCCAGAACAACGTTAATATCAACGTTTTGCGCCAAACAACTGCGAATCAACGTTTTTGTATCTTTTTTTCTCTGCTCTGCCATTATATTTCTCTTCTTTTTTTCTGTTAATTTTCGTTCGTGTAGTCTCTCCTTTGGAATTTAAAAGAATTTTACGAGTAGGAATTTTTTTATTAAAATTGAAAAAATATATAAAACAACAAAATTTTATCCATCTTTAAATAATGATTGTAATGAAGTGGAATTTTGTTTGAAGTTTCTTTCCAAAATTTTAGCAAATCTAGCTTATGTCCTCCCAAATTCTTACATCCAGTTTCATACTGTTCCATCTCAAAATCTAGTCCTTTCTCGGCCAAATCATCGTTTTTAATTTCTGTTTGTAACTTTTTGAATAATCACGACGAAGTTTTGGTTTACAAATAATTTGTACATCCCATGCAGCCTTGAAAAAAATATTACTTATACTTTTTAATTTAAATACTAGGGTTGTTGGCAACCGATTATCAACCGGTATCCCCGGTTTTCGGTTTTTAAAATTTTCTAAAAACGGTTAATTTTTGGCAAAAAATTTAAAAAATTCCGGGTAATAGTTTGGAATTCGCCCCCCTTTTTTTCAACATTTCCCTGACCATTTTGAGCTTGTTTGTTTGATACATAATTTATCATACATCTTTCGAAAGCGCTCATCGAGCTTGGTCGAATGATACCGTGATTGACCAGATCTGATCATTCTTACCGAAATTATGAAGCCAAATCCTAGTTTGGGCAAACTTTTTGTGTCAATGCAAGTGGATAAAATATACGGTCACAACTTTGTTCACTTAAGTCAGATTTCGTTAATTTTAATGTCATTCGACTCAGCTCGAAGAGCTCTTTCGAATGATATATAATTTACTATGAATTGAGAAAAAACTAGGAAAAAATAAAGAGGAAAAAAAAGGGGGGGCGAATTCCAAACTATTACCAAATTCCGGTTTTAAAACCGGTCGCCAACGACCCTATTAAATACCTTAAAAAATTCTTCATGAAATACAGACCTAAGTAATTTAGTACTTCGACATTCTCTTGTTCTCTCAAGAATCCAATCAAACCATACTTGCAAATCATATTCAGAATCCACTTTTGGCTAAAGCTGCTCTGACTAAATCATCTCCTAATACTTCTCCTCTCCAAGCATTTTCCAATTTGATCATTTCTATCATTAATCTGTTCATTGTACATTTATTTTCGGCCTAAAATTTAAATTTTCTAAATTTCAATATTATTTTTTACCTCAAGTATTTTCAAAGGTGCTTCCAACATTGAAACAGTTTGAATATAAGCTTCAAAAAGATTTTGCTTGGAAAAAATTCGTTCCATTCTCTCTGTGTGATTTCCAGAATATTTGTTAACAATTTCTTTAAACGATTCTTTATCTTACATTAGATCCCTCATCAGTAATAAAAACGATTTTTGACATGTCAAGCCCAAGATAGGTAAGATTTTTGTTGACTAAATCAGATATATTTTTTCTGATTTTGGAAATGTCTCCAGGAATTGGAAGACACGAAAGTACAAACATTCATTCCATGATCGCCTACTCTTCGGACTTCCTAGATTAATCCCTTAAGGAAATCGGATTTTCGACGTTTCGATGACGGTGTCACAGGTTCTTCGAGATCGCCGCTTTCGAATGCGACTCTTAATTCATTTTCAAATTCATCCATCTAGTAAGAATATATGTGGAAAAATCCCTAAAAATTACAGAAAAAAGACTGAACATTTATAAAAATGGAAAATTGCAAATTCCAAAGGAGAGACTACACGAACGAAAATTAACAGAAAAAAAGAAGAGAAATATAATGGCAGAGCAGAGAAAAAAAGATACAAAAACGTTGATTCGCAGTTGTTTGGCGCAAAACGTTGATATTAACGTTGTTCTGGCGTTATGTATTTAAAAAAAAGTTGTTCGCGAATAATTGTTGATATTCGCCGCGAATCAACGAAAACGTTGATTTGTCGTTCACTAATCAGCAGCACACAGCATCAAAGATCTAACAATTGATGATTTGACCCCTTGGAATTGTGGGGGCTTTCTTTTAAATTAAAAATAATTTATTTTAATTATTTTTAGCTAAAAAGTGTAAATCCTCAACACGTTTTAGTTCTGTTCATTTTGACAATGATAGAAATACTCTTGTCTTTAACCGTTATATTATTTCTGATGCTACAAGTATTTTATGCAAACCACAGTGCCTTTTTGGTGAATTTATTTATTTAAATTAAAAATTATTTTACAATTAATTTTGTAGCCTGTTATTATTGTAAACATCCAGTTTTTGATCTTGTTAAAAAGATTTTTTATGCTTGTGATGGAAATAGAGATCAATGTCTTCCTGGTGGGTTTTGAAAATGCTTTTAATTTATTCTAACAATGTCCGGCCCCATCCCGTTTCTAGCAGGTATTACTTTAGAAGAAAGGGTTCTTTACAGCAATAAGTGTATAAGTGATTTAGAAACCATTTCTCTCACATCCTACAATTAAACGGACTTTTTCGTTTTCAGACTTTTTTCAAAATTTTTCCTTTATTTTCAGGAACTTTTGTAATCTTTGCTTACGAATTTAATAAAGCTGAACGTATTTATCGAACACTTCGAAGCTATCCATCTCCAAAAATTGGTCCAAATACGAGTGATTCAAAAAGTATTTCTCTAGGAAATGGTTCTTCTAATTTTGCTGCCAGTTCTTTTATTCCTCAACAACAATTACCTTCAATTAAACCTCAAAATTCGCCAATTAATGTACTGACTTCTTTTTTTAATTTAAAAAAAAATAATTTTTAGAATTCATTTCAACGTCATTTTCTTGAATCAAGTGCTCCACTTAAATTGGAAGATTTAACTGATTGGGCATCAGAATTAAATACAGATTCAAATAATACTTACAATTTGGATAGTGTTCTTGCTGGACAGGCAGATTTAGCACATACATCATCTACTTCAACTACTTGTTTAGAAGAAATACTTCAGTCCTGCTCTGAGGTGTTTTTTGATTAAAAAATATTTTTTCAATTTTCTTTAGCAAGTAAAAAATCAGCAAAAAATTCAAAGAAATGGAAGTTCTATGAGCAATAATGAGGATGTTTTGATTGATTCTCCTTCATTCTTAACATCTTCTAATGATGACCATAATATTGCTAGAAAGAAAAGAAAAATTACTTTTCAACCAATAAGTTTAGAAAATCATCAAATGCCGGCAATTCTCGAAAGAGAAGTAAATCAAAGATTGTTTTTAGGTGAAAGAAATGGTGTTAATTTTGATAGTCCATCTTCTTTATTAGCAGGAGATCGTTCAATGTAGAAAATATATTCTTTTAAAAATAATTTTAATTTTAAATTTAGTAGTCCATCTTCTCCTCAAAGTGTTTCAGTTATTGCTGATGGAGATGGAGGAGAACCAATTCCAATAATTGATAAAACTTTAATACAACATTCTAATTATTTGTTTACTTGTGAAGCTTTACTAGAGAATTTTCGAAAGAATTGTCTTTGTAATGGGCGAAAATTAAATGAACAATTTGATTCTATTGATGAAAACTTTTTAAATATTTCTTATGAAGGAGATGAAAAAACTAAGGAGGAAACCAGATTAAATGCAATACAAAAGGCTACAGAACAAATTGACGGTTTTGGTGGATGTTTAATTGTTAGTTAATTATGGAAATTAAAAAAAAAGATTTTTAAGCCGTACAAAACTTCTTTATCCAAATATTTTTTTGATCATTATTTGGTTGAATTTCTTAATAGCTTTACTTGTAACCATTTATCTTTCTAATCTTAACGAAACCTTAGACATTAACCTACTTAATAATTTCCTTCACATTCAGATCGACAAAAACTTCCAAATCGAAGTAGAAGGCAACACTACATTCATTACCCCAATCTGGTTTCGAAATTCGACTTTTATCGATAGAAAATCAAAACTGCCAGTTCTTCATCCTGTGGCTGTCTACCTAAATATGAAAAATATGTCAGAAGATGACAGTCGTAGAGATATTTTGTTTGAATTATCAAAACGTTTAGAAGAAGATATGGCAATTAATGGAAATATTTGTCGGTGTGTTTTTCTCTTAATTTTTTAACCAAAAATATTTTTTTAAATTTCAGTTCAGTATTTATTTGTTCAACAATTAATTCAGAAAATAACCAATTAGAATTACTCGATTCCTCAACTTTATTTGCCTCTCCAAGTATTAAATTAATATCTCTTCAACAATGCAAGGACTGGCTTAAACAAAAATTTTTAAATTTATATTTTGGAAATAATCATTTAAATGAAGAAAAAGAATGGAATGAAGAAATGGAAGAAAATTTTAATCAAATTGAATGTCAACTTTTTGATGACAAAAATGGAATTTTACAGACTTTGTGTTTTGAACAATTTATTAACCGTTTACGGAATTGTGAACGTTGTTGGCCTTATACTTTTAGATCTTGGTTTTAAAAGAAAATAAATTTCATAAAATAATTTTTTACAAAAATTTCTAGGTTTCGAGAAAAAAGTGGTTGGATATTTGAACATTGCTCACTCGCCTCTCGTATCAAAGCTGGTTTTAATCTCGAAAATAATTTGGAAGAATTGGACATTTCTTTGGAGCCTTTACGAGAAACAATGTCTACTAGCCTTGCAGCTGCCCTACAAGGAGGAGCAAATGGACAATTCGAAATGGAAACTGCAACTGAAGCTTTGGAATTAATTTGTACTGGTCTGTGGGAATTTTTCCACAAAAAATTTAATAAAAATAATTTTTGTAGAATATCTCCGAAAATCATTAAATACTCTTTTGGACCCGTTAAATGATGAACAATCATCTTCTGAATTTATTTTAGCTAAACCGAATATTTGGATAGGGCAAGAGAAATGGGAAAAACTTTCAGCAAAAGGTGGAAATTTTTTTTATATTATTATGAATTTTTTTTGTTTTCAGAAAGAGGAGAATTACTGTTGCCTTTGGGGCTTTCTTCACTTTTAAATGTTACTGATTCGCTTGATCCATCGCTCTTTTGGGGTATAAAATTTTTATTAAAAATTATTAGAAAATCCTCAACCTTGTACTTACAACTTTTAAGAATGACTTACAATTGGAAGGATATTGGAAATATGCATATTTATTATCTTTCATTCCTTGTTTTAGACTCGAAACTTTACACTTAAAATTTTGAGAAGTAAAACAGAATTAATTTCTCTAAATAATTTGAGAGATTCCCTTTTCTAAATATCAAAATTAATTCTCAAATATTTGAAGGTATAAATCGTAAACAAAGAAAAGAATTAATTTCTCGTGCAAATCCACTTTCTGTTTTGGAAATTGATGGAAATAAAAAACAACAATTAAATGATATTTCTTTAAATAAAAATCAAGAAATTATTTCTACTTTTGTAGTTACAGATGGAATAAAAAGAATAGCTAATTACGTAGAGGCTATAGAAGGGACAAATAATGGCAGTCTTTATTGTCAATGTTTAGGGGGTTTTAAATCAATTTTTGTTCCTTCATAAAAATAAAAATTGTTTTAGGTCCTTTGTGTGAACATATTTTAGCTGTAGCACTTAAACATGCTTCTTTTGCCAAAAAAGTTCCAAAACTGTTAAGCAAGAATCAATCACTTAATAAATCAACAGATATAGATACACCCCCTTCACTTGTGCCCGGTCTTCAATTGGAAAGGTAAAAAAATAAAATTAATATAATTCAATAATAAATTAATTTCTAGCACACAATCAGTTGAAATAATTTGTTGTTCTTCATCAAATGGGTCCACACAATAATTTTATTACAAAGAATTTAATTAATGAAGGATGTTTATAAAAAATAATTTGCATTTATATTATATTTATTTTAATTTATTATTGACAATTGAATTTTTGTAATAAAATATTTTCGTAACTACAATAAATTATTGAAATGAAAAGTTATATTTTAGTAAATTTATTCGAGTTTTGAAATTTGAAAGTGCAGAAGGGTATTTGGAGGAAAGTAGTTATTGTTTCAATAAATCACTAAGGAGAGGGGGATAATTAATCGAGAAGGGGCATTTATTTGAGAGGGGGTAATTATTCAAACATATACAGTATGTATTGTGGAATATTGAATTTTAAAATAATTTGAGAAAAGCAGAAAGGATGAATAAAATAAATTCAACAACAATCTCGCAAAAGTCCCGAAATTATTCAAAAATAAATTTTATACAGAGGCCAGACCGGGAGAGTCGTACGAGAATCGAGATCAATATCTCGAAAAATATCTATCATTATAACTGAGAATTTTGTTCGAGATGGACCGGCCGTTATTTCAATATGTAAATAGAATAAATGAAGATTTTGTTAAAACTTGGGTAAAAAGTACATAATTTGCTGAAATGAAATGTGAATGTAATCTTCGTTTGTTTTAAATTCGGTAGTTGGAATCAAATTTAAAACCAAATGTTTCTAGATTATAGTACATATGTACATATGTATTAATTGTATTTTTATTTAATATCCTCTTTTGCTTAAATTACGAATTCTCTAGACTAATTATAAAGGAAATAAAAGTGCATTTAATCAAATGATGAAAAAGATAAAATGATGAAATTATTTCAAAATAATTGTCGGAAACAGACATGCCAAACAAAAATTTTGGCTATAAAATCGGCATCCAATCAAGGCATTTCCATCATATTCACAAACAACTAAAAGAGAGAAAATGTATTTCAAGGCTTTTCTCCTCCTTTTAATTTCTCTTCTTGCCGCTTTTGTGGTCAACAATGCTCGAACCATTTCTAATATGGATGAAGTTGATGATGTGTCAGCAACAATGGCTGAAAAGAAAAATGTGGGAGAAAAGTCCAATCAAGTACTCCCTCAAGGTGAGGAAGGAATGGATGATTTAACTGAAGATTACGATGATTCAGATGATTCTGAGGAAGATGAGGACTATGATGATGAAGAGGATGATATGGATGAGGATAATAATGTGAATAGTCATGATTATCTTAACTCACGAATCGATCATATGGATGACATTGATTCGTTTGAAACATACGAAGAGTTGCCTCATATGGAAAATTATGAAAAGATGGCTGAAGCAAAGCAAATGATGCCTGTTATGCACATGAATACTGTTGAAAACGAACACTATAAACAACTTCCATCAATCGCCACTCAACCAATTAATGAAGCTAATCCGATTATGCCTCCGATGCCAGTTGTTCAACCAGAAAAAATGGAACAAGCACCAGAAGCCATGAAAAAAGAAGCTACACCACAGGCATCACAACCATCTTCACCAAAGGCTGCAGCGCCAAAGGCTAAGACTTCAAAGCCAAAAACAGAAGTAAAAAAACCGTCCGCTAAAAAAGTTCAGGCATCAAAAGGACCAAAGAAACAGCCAGCTAAGAAGGATACGAAAAAGCCAAAAGATGTGAAAAAGCCCAAGGATCCAAAGGCTAAAACGGCGAAAGCTAAAGTACCAAAGGCAAAGGGTAAAGCTGCTAAGGGTAAAGCTGCAAAACCAGCAAAAGGCAAACCAACAAAGGGTAAACCAGCAAAAGCAACTAAAGCAGGACCAAAGAAACAGCCAGCAAAGAAAGGAGGAAAGAAACCTGCTAATAAAAAGGCGACGGCAAAAGGAGGAAAGAAGCATTAAAGGAAGAAAAATAAAGAAAGTTGTAAAAAATACACATGTACTTTGAAAAAATGAACTGAATTTTATGTATAATTATTAGTTTTACAATCTATCACATATGTACATTTAATGCTACATTTGTAAATTCTTTAAAATATGTATTAATTTCAAAATTATTTAAAAAAATAAAATAGTAAATATGTAGTTCATGACTAAATTAAAAATTTTGAAGTTTCTTCAATTTTAAGTTATTAAAAAAATAAATTTACAAATTTAAATCAAAATTTAAAAATTTTTGTTTTTGAAAAAAATAATTGTCTAAATTTTATTATCCAACCATGGACACAAACCAAGCCCCACAAAGTATTAAAGTGAGTTAAGCCTGACTTCTAAACCACTCAACCACCGATCAACAAAGTAAAAAGTAAAATAAAGTATTCTTTCTCTTTTCCTTCTAAAATTTCATGACAAAGTACGAGGTTTTTTTCAATAATATTTTTTCGTAATTTTTATTTTCGTAATTCGTAATTTTTCCCGATATTTGCGTAATCGTAACTCAAAAAATGCCTAAGTCGAATTCGTAATTACGACGCAGCCCTGGTTCCGTCAATTTGCGTTTTTTGGGTTGCGCCGTTTTGGCCCGCCCGTTTTGGGCTGTACCTCCCGCCGTGAGCGCTTTAATGCAGAAACTTACGGCTAGACAACTAATTGAACACTCAAACATGACCATTGACCAAGACAATCAAAGCGTTATTTTTTGATTTTTATAGTTTTAATGAAGGTAAGAAGAGATTAATTCAACATTTTATTTCTTTCAAATCACCTTCTACTATTTGCCCATGCATCATTTTATTTTTAACGAATTTTTCCATTCGTATTTAGTTTATAATCTCACGAATTTTCTTTTAGATTTTTTTTTCAAAAAATATAACAATTATGGGTAACGTCCAAACATCATCAATTGCAAATCAATTACTTCCTTTCGAATCATATATTTCAGATGTACCTAAACTTAAATTTGTTGAAAGGTTTTTAATTTTTTTTCTAACTAAATTTTTTTAAATTTTAGCCTTGGATCAACTCGTTTTATGAAAGTTGCAAGAGTAGAAACTGCAAAAGGTCCTATAGTCGTTAAAGTTTTTGTTTTCTCTGACCAATTTTGTCATGTTGAATTTTATCGTGACCAACTACAACAAATTGGACGAAGACTTTTATCACATCCAAATTGTGCTCCATTTAGCCATATTTATGTAAATATTTTGATTTTTTCTAATTTTTGGAATCTTTAAAAATTTAGTTAACAGCCCGGTCTGCTATTCTTTGCCGTCCTTTTTCTAAATTTACACTTTATGACCGATTGAGTACTCGCCCTTTTCTTTCGACTATTGAAAAACGTTGGATAGCCTTTCAATTGCTCAAAGCATTTGCCCAACTTCGAATTGCTATGATTAGACATGGAGATATTAAATCCCAAAATGTTCTTGTTTCTTCTTCACTGTGGATTAGAATTACTGATTTTGCTCCTTTTAAACCAACTTTTTTGCCTTATGTAAATATTTTTTTATTTTTTTTTATAATTTATTGTTTAGAATAATCCATCGGATTTTACATTCTTTTTTGATACAAGTAGACGACGTTTTTGTTATTTGGCGCCGGAGCGCTTCAAAGACAACGACGAGCTTTTAATGGAAGCCAATCGAAATTATGGCAACAATGAATTTATTAATTTCTATGAAGGTTTTTTTTGTATATTTCTTTTAATATTGTTTCCTTTTTACATTTGAACTTTTATCAATTTTTATATTAAAAATTGAAAAAACTTTTTTATCGACCTCTCAAAATTTTTCCATTTTCACTGTTTTGATGGGCTAGCTCCAACCTAGTAGTCCCAACCTTTTTATATATATATTTTCTCATTTCCTTAATTTTTATTTAATTTTTAATTTAGGTCTAACTGAAGCTATGGATATTTTCGCACTAGGCTGTTTATTTGTCGAATTATTCACTGATGGTCGTCAGGTTGCATTTAATCTACCACAGGCAATTGATTATAAACTTATGGATGATGAAAGTGCAGAGATTTATTTGAAAAGATTGCTTTCACATATTTCTGAACAAGAATTTGTCCCTTTAATTAAAATAATGTTAGATAGAAATCCAAAAAGAAGAAGAGAAGAATTTCTTAAGGTTTTTTTAATTTGAAATTTTATTTATTTTTAATTTTAAAAAAGCTCTCACCATGTTCTTCATATAATTTATTTCCTCCCATATTTGAAAAATATTTGTATAATTATTTTAAAGAACTCCAAGAGCAACCAACTCCCGATGCTTTAATTACAAAGTTTTTTTTAAAGTTTTTAATTAAAAATAATAAAAATATCAGACTTTATGTTGAACGAGACAATTTTATTTCAATGATTCGTGATCTCGATTGTTCCTCAGTTTCTGTGTTGTTTATTAATTATGTTTGCGTTTCTCTACGCAGTTGTCAATCATTAACATCGAAAATGGTTTGATTTAAAAATTATTTTTTTAATTTAAAATTACTCTTCATTTTAGGATGCAATTTCACTTTTACATCAATTATCTAAAATTTGCACTCCTGTATTAGTTTTTGAGCGAATTATTCTTTATTTGGCAAATTCCTTGACTGATTACTTTGCATTGGTTCGGGCAGAAGCTTTGTTAGTTTTGGGCGAAATACTTTGTTCTGTTGAAACAATTCCGCCAGAAGAATGTCGATTGCTTGACTTTATTTTTCCAAAATTTGTTTGTTAATTCTTATTGAATATATTTAATGTTAATTTTCTAGAAACTTTTATTAAATGATCCTTCAAATCTTGTTAAAATTGCTCTTGCAAGCAATTTAGGCAAATTCGCTCAACTTGCTAAAAGGTTATTTTTTGATTTTATATATTTTATTCTAATATATTTTAGATTTTTTGAATTAAATGCAGCTCGTCTTCGAAGTGACTCACCTGAGCAACAATCTCAAAAAGATTCAAATCTCTCTCAACTGGATCCAAAAGCTCCTTTTGTTTCCCCTCCATTAGACATGGGAAAGAGTAGCACAAGACTGGAAGTTTTCTTAAGTAATGAAAAACAACATTTGATAGAAACCGAGTATAAATCGTCTCAGGTATTTTTAATATTTGTAAAATATAGATTAAAGCGGAAAGGGATTCAATTATTAATGAGTTGAAAACCGTTTGGTGTTTGAATTTATTTTTTACATTTGAAGCTTAATAAAAATTTATTGACCGGATTCCTAATAAATTCAAATGCTGAATGACGCTTATTTAGCTTGTCATCTTTCCCAGCTCTTTTTTTCAGGACGAAAAAAATTTTTTTTAATTTCAGGACGCCATTACTGAACTGTTTGTAACACTTTGTGGTTCAGAAAATGAAGTTCGAAGATGTATTTTTGAGGCGACAAATTTGGATTTACTTTGTCAATTCTTTGGAAGTTCAAGAATTGTTGATGTTTTGTTGCATATGATCTCGTTTGTTTTTTTTGTTTAAATTTCTTTTATTAAATTTTAGATTATTAAATGACAAGAATGATTGGCGTATTCGTTCGGCATTTTATGAGGCTTGCCCAATTCTAGCCAAGCATTTGGGACAAAACAGAACGAGCAAATTAAAGCCATTTCTTTTGTCAGGACTGCAAGACAGTGAAGAGTTTGTTGTTATCGAAGCATTTCGTTGTATTTATTTGCTACTGTCCCAGCAGTTATTATCATCTTCTGTAATTTTTAATATTCTTCCAGATGTTGTTCCATTTCTAATACATCCCGTTAGTTTTTTTGAATTAATTTTTAAAAATAATAAATTCAGAACAAATGGTTGAGAGTTATTGCAGTAAATATTTTGACCGTTCTAGAATCTTCATTTCCTATTGCTGATATTTATTGCAAATTAGTACCACTTCTTCAACCATTTCTTAAAGAACAATTAATTCGATTGAATTGCTTTGATTTAATTTATGAAACCTTGGAACAACCAATTTCACGACAAATTTGGGATTTACTTTTAAGTGAGTCTTTTTAATTGGTTAAAATAAATGTGGAATTCTTTTTAAAGAAGAACATCATTCATTTGAATTAATTTCTGCCATTGAGGAACGTAAAACTGTTGAAAAACTTGGTGGTGGTAATGATTCATATTTTTCTTCACTTGGTTCATTGTCGGCAAGTGTTAAAAATAATCGTTATAAAATGGATTCATTAATGCGTAAAATAAAAAATACGGGAAGTACAGATGAAAGATTGGATATTAAGCTTATTGCCTTTAAACATTTATTTGGTCGGATAGAAAAATCAAAAAGGTAAATACTTTTTATTATTTAAAAATTTTACTAAATTTAAGAAGAGATCGCATTGAAAAATATTTGGATTTGTCTAGAATAAATTTAAATGAAATTGAAAGAGTCCACCGAAAAGTTTTTGATTTGGAAAGAGGTGTACATAGAAAAGGACGTGAATTAACTGTAAATCTCAATAATTAGAATTTTTTATTTTTACATTTTAGTCAAGTCATTTCTTTGTTGATCAGTTTGGTGCACAACATATAATGCTTAACACATCTGAATTGATTGAACCTGCAAATGTAGTTGATCTAAATGATGCAAATCATTCAGCATTGAACCAACGGGTATTGGGTAAGCTTATTTTTATTTTATACATAAAAGTATATTTTGCTCTTCAGATGAATCCTCTGAACGGATTTTACTTGAAGAAACTCTTCGCCATAAACAAGAACGTTATTCTGACCAAAAAAGAATTACAACTAAAGTTAGTGAATCAAATTCAGAAATAGCCGAAAGAATAGCTGCTGCAGCAATCGAAGCGGGTACTAGTAGTGAAGATGATAAGGCAATATCATCTAAAGATGGTGAATCCCTTTCTTATTTTATCTTATTTGGCAATTTTTTTAAGACTTAAATTCCCGACAAAGGGTACTTCGCAGCTCAAGACGGCTTAATATTCGGATGCTTGCTCATCTACATGAACATTCAGGAAAAATAACTAGGTTTTTGATAATTATTGGAACAAAATACTTAAGAAATATTTGATTAGGCTTGCAAGCCATATAGCACACGATTATATTGCAAGTGCTAGTGTTGATAAATCTGTTAAAATTTGGTCGTCTTCCCTCTTACAAAATCAATCACAACCTGCTTCGATGTCTTTGGACACTTTTCGATATTGTAATTATTCTATTTCTATAAAAATTCAAGAAAACTATTTTAAGCACATCCAATTAATTCATGTAGTTTTATGGGTGATCGTGGTAATCATCTAGTAATGGCGTGTGCTGACGCCTCTCTTCAATTATTTGACATTGAACGTAAACACTTAATAAAATCAGTTCAATTGAATAGACAACAAGAAGGTCCAATCACTGATTTGTATTCTTTTGAACATCTAATTTATGCGTTGACGCATCATAGTAGTGTTTTTTGTTATGATTTGAGGTAAGAAAATTTCACAATACAATTTTTAGATTTACCTTTTTCAGGGTTGCACCAAAGAAAGGACGAAATGCGATTGATCTCTCTTCTGTTTGGCAACATAGAGTTAAGAATAGGTTTAATTATTTTTGTTTTCTATTGATGAATGCTTCTTCTAGTTATGGTTTAATTACTTCATTTTGCATTGACTCTTCTAATCAACAATGGATGCTACTTACTGCTAGTTCGGCCACGACCAAGAATATGCTTTTGTGGGATTTAAGGTTAACTGGATAATATAATTTTAGAAAATTTCATTATTTTAGATTTGCAGGATTAGAAGTAGCAACATGGTCTCATCCTTCAGATAGAATAATTCCATTACGTAGCTGGTAAGTATCCACATTTAACCAGTTATAGTCTTTATTTTCGAGGCATCTTTCAAATCATCGTGTTATAACAAATTGCACACGGGAGTCTGAATTGTCACTTTGGGATATTTCTTCACAAAGCAGATCTGACGTTCTTTGGCCAAGCGTTGAAACACCTTTGGTTTACAAGGTTGTCTATTGAAACGAAAAATAATAAAAATTTAACTTTAGAACGAAATTGTATCTTCAGCCGTTGCTCCTTCATTGACTGATCGGGAAAATATTATCTTCAGTGGGGATTCTGAAGGTACTTATATTTTTACAATGTTTTGTGACAAATTAAAAAATTAAGGCAGTCTTCGGGCTTGGAATTTATCTACCGCGAGTGCTTCAACTTATCTTTGTGGTCCATATCGTCGACACTTGCCTATACTCGAAAGTATTAGTGACTTACAACAAATTAAAACCCCAATGATTTATTATAAACAAATAAAATGTCAAGACAACGCACTTAAAATCCATGTGGAAGATCGCAGTCAATTACTGACACAAACAGATGGAAGTGAAGAACAACAAATGACATCACTTTCTGGTGGAGGTGGTCAACAAAAACTTTTACATGTAAAATTTTTAATTTTCACAATCGTATTTATTTTATAATATCAGGTACCAGAGGCTCACTGGGATGGAATTACTGATTTAATTTCATTATGGCCAGATCTGTTAATTTCTTCGGGACGTGAAGGTGTTATTAAACTTTGGAAAGTTTGCTGAAGTTTAGTCAGTAGAGATGTGCGAGACTTTTGGTTTTGAAACTTAGGATTTTCTTATTTCGGTCCCGCACATCTCTGTTTAAATTTATATAAAAATTTTATATTTTCTCAGCGTTTTTCTCTTTTTCTTGACTTGTGCTAAATGATTTTCTTGCCTTTTATTATAAAAATTTATTTTGTATAAAGTGATATTATTGAATGTTATAAATAGATATCGACTAATATCTGTCGTTTAATTAATAATAAAACTTGCAAGAGTCATCGTTATTTTTTAACAATTTAGTAAAATACCCTTCGTTGAAATGGCAGTTCAGGCAAATGTGCAAACACAGCCGTCTTCTTCTACTTCTACTGTTTCCACTTCTAAAGAGAAGCAATTTCATTCTGTAGAGGAATACCGGAAAGCTCTTGAAAAGTTTGAAGCTCCAAATGTGGTATATACTTTTTGATATGATCGTTTATAGGTTGTAGTTAAGTTATTTTACATTTGATTTTTAGGGAGGAGAAATAAATTCCACAGCATCTGAAGAGATTAGTCGTTCCAGGGACCCACTCATCGATGAATTTTTCGAACTTATTGCCAACACTGGCCGACCTCACCTTCCTTGGGAATTAATTCAAAAGGCATTTATATGGAAATTACAGGTAGTTTTTTAAAAATATTTTGGAAAGAATTTCCTTTAAAGGCTGTTATGGATGGAATGCATATAATTGAGGCTGGACAGCAAAAAGATGATCATAAGAAGGAAGAATTGATTAATGATAAAGAAATTGGTGATTTAAAGCATTTTATCATGGATAAAGCTAAAGAGTTTGATGGCACGCCGTTTACTATACAAAGGTAAAAATTAAATTTAAGGAACTATTGTACTATATTTAAATAAATTCAGATTATGTGAGCTTTTAATTGAACCAAATAAGCATTACAATCGAACGGGGGTGTTTTTGCGGGCTTTGGAGAAGAATATTAATGTGGTATGTTTATAAAATTTTAGAAGGAATATTAAATAAAAAATTAGAATTTATTAAAAATTTTCGAAACAGAACAAAAATAAAAATTTCAACGTGTTAATCTTTCTGAATAATAAAAAATTATTATTCGATTTTATTAAGATGACTACAATTACAGAGGACGGTCTGAGGATTACTGGTACGTTGATAAGATTATTACTTCATAGAATTAGTATTTTACTTTAAATTTACAAACAATTTTGTTTAGGAGTAGAAGATGAAACAGCAATTGGTATGGAAGATGATGTTTCAGTACCTGTTGAGTGTAATTTTATTGTTAGTGTAAGTTTTTTATATTATTTGTTGCAGGAAGGATTTTAAGATAACCAAAAAGAGAAAATGATACTTGTGATCGTCCGTAGCACCACAAAAGGACCTTTTATAATGTCATACATACATATGTAGTTTGCTCTTTACTAACAACAGGGTGTGGGTATTTCCATACAGATAAGGGGACTAGTTCCTTAACAAGAGTTAATATTTTTGCGAGGGGACAATACATAATTACCGTGAAAGATTTTCAGGTTGATGAGATAGATGAACCATTAACAAAAAAGATAGCAAAACAATCTCACAATGGCACAAAAGTAGAAAGTGGTGTTACAATAAATAAACCTATTTCGACTAATATTCAGAATCAAAATAATGGGGAAGATGAAGAACAGTCTTCAATTGTTGGAACATCAAATATAAAAGAAGAGACTACGACAACTTTCGACAATGAAGATAAAGAAAAGGAATATGAAAGGAAAGTTGAAATAAAATTGGATGGAGATAATAATACTTAAATATTAAATTTTGATATTAATAATTGTTTTTAATGTTTTTAGACACATAAATGAAAAAAATCAGGCAATTTTGATCTAAAAAATTCGCATTTTTATATTAAAAGTCCTCAAATTATTAAATACAATGACTTCAACTATTTTGAGCACTTTTTTGTGAGTTTGTAAGGTCAGAGAAGAATTCACTTTTTTGTGCAATTTTTAAGGAATTGTTTTTCGTCTGATTCCAACTGCATATATTATGTTATAAAACTTTTTGAGATTCTTTCTTTTGTTTTTTGATCAAAAAACATCTTTATTTTTATAACACGCATTCTTTGCGTGAAAACTGGGTCAAGGTTTTTTATCCTAAAAGCTGTTGATGCAAGATTCATTTACTTAGTCGATAAAATTTTATAGAATTGTTTGTTAACTATTTATACAAATTAACATTATTTTAAGTAAAAACAATGAATAATATTATAAAAACTTTTAATATTGGAGATCGAATAAATATTTTCATTGCCCTTCTTCTTTTAACACTTTCACTAGCTTTTGCATTATCTTCTGTTTTTAGTGATTTTTGGGTTAGTTTTTATTTTAAAAATATTTTTTTAATAATTAAAATGTATATTAGATATATGCAGATTCATTAACAAGGAATGGGACAATTTCAGAAAATAATCAAATTAACAGTGGTTTATTTCATGGTGTTAGACAAATTGACTGGTCTTTTGGTCCTAAACGAAATCATTTCTCTGGTTAAATAATCCTCCTTTTTAAATATTTTTAAAATAAATTTTAAAAAGTTTTCGATGAAATAAGAATTGGTGTAGCATTTATTGATAAACATATTTGGTTTGGAATTTTGTTGTCAACAGGACTAGGTCTTTTATGGAATTTAACAGGGATTTTTGTTGCGTTAAGAAATGCTACATTATATAATAATGATCCAAAAAATGAAAGGACAGCATTGGGGCCTTTAGGAATTTGTCTTTGGTCTGTTTTATCTGGTAGGTATTTATAGAGGAGAATAAATAATAATTTTTAAATTTTTATTATTACGCAGCTGTTGCATACGGTTTTTGTGTATTACTATTTCATTATCAATTTCTTACAAAAATTCGTCATAATGTACTTTTACCTGAAGAGAATGATGCAGGATTTTCTTCTGAAAATTGCATTCAGTATGTTTTTTTATATATAAAGTCGAATCTCGATATAACAATCGGCTCTCCCGAAAGTCAAGGGAGATGAGACTTTATTTGAAAATATTTTATTGAAGATTCTTATTAACTAAAATTTATCATAAATATTATTAAAAGTTTACAAAAAAATTCAAAAACTTTTCAGCTATGGATTTTCCTTCATTTTAATGATTGCTGCATTTCTCAGCCAAAAATGTACTTTTCTACTTGTATTTTTCACATTACGAGGTAAATCTGTAAAAGTGCAAAAATGCGAGAAAGAAAAAACAGACAACAATATTTTCATTTATTAAATTTTTAAACTCGAATATCGGGAATGTTTTGTTTCTGTAGGAGTGGGGGGCTGCAAATTTCAGAATTTCTATTGCAGATTTTTTGAAAATTCCACTACTAGAAACCGCAATATGTACAGTAAAACTTGTATTTTAATAATAAATGCTATTTAATTTTCTATTTATTTTTTCTAAAATTGTATGTATGTATATGTATCTGAGAAATGTCCAAAAAATGTTTCTCTACAATTCTAAAAATTTTGTTTTCACTATAATAGAACACGGCGTTTTAATTCAAGTTTTACGTATTTATTTTAAAAGTTTTTCCTTTATACATAATATTTAAATTTTTAGGTGAAATAAAAATTTGAAAATTTTTATTTAGTTTGTTTTATCGAAAAATATGTAAATACCAATTAAAATACTACTTAAAACATTTTAAAAAATAAATATTTTTTAGTTTTTAAAAGACTTCCCTCCCCCATTTAAAAATCAACCGTCTGATACCTTCTTTTCTTTAATCTCTAGATTTTTTATGTCGACTTCCTTCTTCCTTTAAAATTTTAATTAAAATTTAATTAAATAAAAAATACTTTTTCGCCTTTCTTTGAAGATGACGAGCTCCCTCCATGTTTTGAACTTTTACTATGTTTACTACTAGATTTAGATTTTTGTTTTTTGTGTTCCCTTTCATTTAAATCATCTTTTTTTGATTTTTCTTTTTCTCTTTCCTTTCTTTTTTTACTTTTACTAGTTTCAACATTTTTTTGTTTATGTTTTTTATTTGCTAAAATTTATTTAAAAATTATTTATTAAAATTTTTACCTGATTTGTGATGCTTTTTTGAAGATTTTTTATTTTTTTGTTTTTCTTCTTCAGTGTCACTAGAAATATCAATTGTCTCAATTTCTTTCTTTTCTTCTATTGGTTTCTCAATTATTTCAAGTTCATTATCTGTATCGTTTCCTTTATTTGTTTCATCTTAAATTGTTTTTTTTTTATTTAAAATCTATTAAATGCGGGTCAGGGCCCTCTAGGCGGAAGTTTTCCGCTATCTTTTCCCGGTCGCGAGATAGCCAAGTTACCGGGATTGTTTCGGTATAATATTATAAAAATTTAAATTATTTAAAACAAAATTTAATTTATAAAAAATAATTAATTAATTATAATTAATTATAATTTATTCAAAAGTCTCTTTCTTCTAACCTTTCTGTTTACTACCACTTCCAATTTCTTTTTTATTTGTACTTATATTTTGATAATCATTATCTTCTTCAAGTTTAATTTTTACATAACCTCGTATTTCATTTAGCGTTTTATTACGCAAAAATGGATATTTTTCTATTAATGTGTGAAGTTCTTTTAATTGTTCTCCAGTTAATTTAGGAGTTGATTGTTTTTCTTTTTGTTTTTCCAATTCTTTAAAAGTATTTACATCATCTACTTTTTGTTTATTTTTCTCTTTCATTTTTTCTTTTTCTGCAGCTAAAAACTCTTTTTCTGTTAAAGAAACTTGTTTTTGTTGATTATCAGTAGCCGAATGCTGAATTGTTTCAGGGCCAACTTTATTAGTATTCTCTTCAACAATCAAATGTTTTTCTTTTCTTTGATTTTGAATATCCTTATCAACCAATTTCTCCTTTTCTTTTTCAAGATTTTTATCTGAGGGAATTTTATCTTTTTGTAGAGAATTTTCTTTTTCTTCTTTGTCTAATTGTTTAGTAATATTTTCCTCATCATTTCCACCAATTAAATTCTCTTGTTGATTATTCTCTTCTAAACTAGCCTCATAATTCATTTCTGGATTTTCTTTATTTTGAGTTATCTCATTTTGTTTTTCATCAGTCGAATGTTCCTTTTGTTTATTAATTTTATTATTATTTTCTTCATTTAACTCTTTTGTTGTATTATAATCTTGCTGGATATTCCCTTCCTTTTGGTAATTTAATTCTTGTTTTTCTAAACTTTCTCCAGTTGGCTGTTCTTCCTCTAAACGATCCACAGAAGGAATTTCATTTTGCGGTTGATTATGACTTTTTTCTAGTTGTTTATCCAGAATTTGTTCATTTGGAAGTTGTTTTTCTGTCAAATTCCCCTGTTTATGAATCTCTCGTTGAATAACGTCTTGTTCCACTTCTTGTCCTTCCATCTGATTCAAAGTAATCTCCTTTGGCTGTTCTGAATTCTTGGATTCGGAGTTATTATTTGGATTACTTTCCTTTTGCTTTACTGTTATTTCTTGTTCTTTATTTATTTGTTGTTCTTCATCTGAATTTAATTTACGGTCAGATTTATATTTTACATAATACACCTTTGGGAGTGGAAAAAGTGTGGGCTCTTCGTAATCAAGGGTCAAACATACTTTAAAAATGTATTCTAATTTGAGGGTGTATGTAATAAAGATTGGATAAATCAAATATTGGTCAAATAATTCCAAATATTTGATCAATTTTTCAAATTGTTTTATTTAAATTTAATTTTTACGATCTCTAGTATGTTCTTCCTCTATGAGATCCATCTTTACAGTCGGATCTCGTTTTTACATACATCTTTGGGAATGGAAAAGGTGTCTTGTTCCAAGGCCCAAACAAATCTTTTTCAAATATTTGTTAAAATGGAGATTATATAAATATAAAATAGAAATTCTACTATATTACTTGTTTGATCATTAATTTTTTCTTGTAAATTATCTTCGTTTTGTTTATCAATTCCTTCTTTTTGATTGCTTAAATGACCAGATATAGTCTCAGTTAACTGACCGTCTGTTGAATTCTGTTGTTCTTGTCCTTTATTTGTTTGATAATATTTTTGTTGTTCTTCATTTTCCAATATTTGTTCATTATTAGAAGAATGTATTTGTTGACTAGTATTTTGTTGATTAACTTCATTTTGTTCAGATTCATCTATCCGATCCATTAGAATGTCAACGTTTTGTTCGTTAATATTCTGATCGTTATCATCTTTACTACTTTCTTGGTTATTCTTTGTATTTTGTTGGGATTCTGTATAAATAATTAATTAATTATTTGATTTAATCTAATAATTTTATTTTTAATTAAAAGAATATTTTGAAAGAAAACTTTTAATAATTTAAATTAAAAACTTTTTTTCTAATAAAACAAATTAACCTTCAACGCTAATAGCATCATTTCCTACTTTATCTATTAATGTAGATTGATTATTGCTACTAGAAGAAGCATTATTTAAATTGACAATTGGAAGATTAGAAGTTGAAGATGTTTGGGGATTTTGTACTAAATTTGGATTGAAAATATAAAAATAATTATTTTTAAAGATATTTTAAATTAAAAATTTTATTAATTTAACAACGTCGGCGTGGTAAATTCATAAGAAATTCCGAGCTTTGTTGTTCTCCAAACAATTACCTGTGGAAATTTATCAACTTGTTTTTATCTTTCCCCGTATATCTCTTTGATTTTCAATTAAAATTGGATTTACATAAGTGGAGAACCCCTTTTTAATTACTCGACGGCGGAGACATAAATTCTGAATTTCTCAAAATTCAAAAAACATTTATACCTTCATTATTTAATCTTTCAAGCTTTTTAAAAATTTCCATTGCTCTATTTTGTGATTCTTTTATTTTCTTCAAACAATCATTTGCTTTATTTTCAAAAATATTTTCCAATTTTAAATTTTTTTCAAATTCAAAAAATATTCTATTGCTATTTACACCAAAAAGTTTCTCAACAATATTTATTGTAAAAATTAATGAATTATTTGATGAGAGAGAAAGAGAATTAACGGCAATAAAGCCTTTAATTATTGTATCCTTAAAAGATTGTAAATTATGTAAAAATTTGTTAATTTAAAAATTAATTTAGAGATATTCTGAATGTTTTAGTGTTAGTTAGACACAATTCTCCTTAACTAATGGCTACCAAATTCCGAAACTTTTATTTTCTAAAATCTTTCTTTATATAAAAAAATATTTAATTTACTTCATCATTTATAAATTCCCCTTTCACTTTTATTATATATTCTATTTGTTTGTCCGCAATTTCTTTTATTACTTTTCCTAAATCCTCTTCTAATGATATTTCTCCATTTTCATTTCCATTAATTTCTACCCCATTTTTTAAAAGGGAACATTTAAAACGTTCAGAATCATTTATTCCATTTAAATATTTAAGATTAACGTCAGTCTTCCATTCATTTGAAATATTTAAAATTATTTTGGAATTAAAATTTCCAAAACAAAAGTTAATAATATTATTGGTTAATACCAATAAAAATAATATTTTTAATTGCATAAAGCAAATATTTTTTTTAATTTTCTTTCCAATTTTTGAAATTAAAAATTTTTGGAAGGAACTAAAAATATTAATTAAAATTTATTTTAATTATTTTTTAGGAAAAATAAAAATTAATAATCGGAGGCTTAAAACTTTAATTTAAAAAAAATTAAAATTTACAACAAATAAAAATAAATTTTTATATTTTTTTAAAAATGAATTAATAAAAATAGGGGGGAGAAAGAAAAAGGGGAAGGAAAGCAAATTATGAAATTAGAGGCGGGTAATGTAAAATTAATTTTTAAAAAATATTACTCGTGATTTAATAAAAATATTTTTTAAAAAATCGACAAAAAATGCCCTTTCCCCTTTATTAAATATTTTTCCCGCTTTCACATGATGCCCTTAAAAATCAAAACATAATTTTGAAAACTTTAAAGAATTTGCCGATTAAATATTTTGAAAGGTTGCCCTTTTAAATTAAAAAACAAAAAAAATAAATTGTTTATTTAAATTTCAGAATTTTAATTGTTGTTAATAATTAATCTTTAGAAATACAATAGTAAATACAGTCGGACATTGATTGTTTACTTAAACTTTTGAACAAAAAAACTTGAAGGTAAAAATTAGAGTGTTTAGTTTAGTTTTTAAGTAAAAAATTCTATCCGACTGTAAATATTTAATTAAAAAACAAAAAATTACAAAAAGAGAAAAAAGAAACAGGTAAAGATTATAGAAAAAAAAGAAAATAATTAAAAGCTTTAGAATTAATTAATTAAAAGTTTTTAGGTTATTCCTTTTAAAAGCTCTTCCAAAAATAGTTATTTGTTGTTTATGGACTCTTTTTTAATTATGATATATTGTTAGTAGTTGGTGGAGTTGAAGAGGTCATGTTAAACCTTAAAAAGGATTTTCTTTATTTTTATGCCAGTTATTTGTCTAGTTTTTTTAAAGAATTTTAATCCTTAAAACAAACAAAAATTAAAACTCTCTTACATGCTATATCCAGGCTCGCCAGTAACTTCACGAACAACCTCCAAAAAATTTGGCAGTGAAGGTGTTGGATCACCAATTGGATTAGTTGTGTAAGTTTCCAAAATTATTGGAGAGCCAATACAAGCTGGGGGCAAAGGGTGGACATAAATATCCAAATGAAAATACTTTAAAAATAAAAGGAAAGTTTTAAAATAATTTTAAAAATCAAAACTAACAACATTTCCATATGTAAAACATCTTCTCTTTTTATATACAACAGCTCTACTTTTATCCCTCATTTCCAAATAATAATCATATTCACGACGAGACAATTGTTTCCTTGTTTCGACTGGCTCAGGTAATCTAATCGAATTTTTAAAAATTTAAATTTTAATTAAAAGAAGGCTTAAAAACAAATTTTTCTACAAAATTTCAAGAAAAATTTAAATTTATTAGTTCAATTAATAAAATTTTTTTTACTTAATCCCATCAGGCCCAAAATAACGCCTTGTTGTTAATGAATAAGTTGTTCGATTGTTCTGACAACGTGAACGGATACGCACCTTTAAAAAAATAAAAATTTATTTTAATTCCTTTCCCTTCTCAAAATAAATATCAATTCCCAAAAATTATTTGTATTTATTTAAAGTAGAAGAGTTTTATCAAATTAACCCCCCACCCCCTCCCTTTTATCAAAAAAATTAATTACTTGATTGTTGCTCATACTTTGTAGATAAACGTGAACAACGTCAAATTCTTCATAATTATTTGCCAAAAATTTATTTTCGTCAATTTTTGAAATTAACCATTTTCTTTTTTTGCTGTGTTTGGCTAAACGATCAAAAGAAATTCCAATTCTTTCTGACACAACACGAATTAATTTCATTATTTTGTCATTAAAATTTTGACAATCAGAATTATCGACAATTGAAAGACATTGATGTCCGATCCAAGCCTAATTTTTAAAATAAATATTTTTTAAAAGTTTGGACAGAAATTGAACAAAAAGGAATTAAAATTTCTAGCAAAATATTTTTTTAAAACAATCGACGGGAGAATGAAAAACTAAGCGACAAGGCATTACACCCGGTCACTTTATTCCCCCCTCCCATTTCCTTCCTCAAGAATACACATGATAGTCACTATTACCTTACACCCTTTGACCCAAAAAAAGTATCAGGGGCTCACAACTAATTATCAAATTTCCCCGTCATTTTATAATTTTAAAATGATAAGAAAAGTCAATAACAAAATATAAATTACTTCTCTAGTTTTTCGATCAACTAAAATTGCTTCCTCCATGCTTTCAGTCCGTGCTTTATTGTTCAGACAAGTGTAGTATTGTTCTGCCCCATCTGCAGCTGTGACAACATGCACAATCTTTAAATTAATCAGAAATTCTAAAAATATTTTTTTAATTAATTTAAAATAATTTTTAAAAATTGTTTAACAAAGAGTTTACGAGGTGTTCGACCTAAAAACGGCTGAGACCGGGCTCATTCAATAGAGAATGTGTCCATTCTAGCAAGGATTTTGAGCCGTTTTTTGAAATGGTTAAGATCCCCGTTTTTAGGTCGGACACTTCGCAAACTCTCCTTGTAAATATTGGGATTAGTGGGAGAAATTAAAATCTTTTTATAAAATGCTGGGGGTAAATAAAAAAATTACTTGATTATATCTATTGTCTCGGAGATCAAAAACATCCTTCCCAATTTCTTTCAAAAGTTTTATCCACATTACTTTCTCCATATAAGCAGAAGGATCTAAAGCTCCCCGATCACAAATAATTAAAACATTTTGCCCTTTAATCATTTTTGCTTGGTTAAAATAAACCTAAAAATTATTTTAGAATTTATCTAAAATTTATTTAACCTGTTCAAGCTGTAATATTGTTAACAACAAATCTTTTTGGAATTGGTAAGCCTGTTCTGGAGTAAATTCCTGGAAACGAGTCCGGCCTCTCAAAAGTATTGAGGCGGCCTCTGGGACAGTAAAAACCTTTAAAAAATAATTTTTAAAATTTAAATTTCTTAAAAAAACCTTCCATCCAAGCCCCTCAAAAAAAGTAGCCAAACGTTCCTGTCCTGTAGTCTTTCCACCACAAGGCCCACCAGTCAGAACCAATTTATATATTTGTTTATTTGTATCCCCATTCATATATGTATTTAGCATCTCCTCTGCTGATGGGACAGAGGGAACTTTAAAAAATAAAAAAAGAAATCAATATTTTATTAAACAAATTAATTTAAAATGCCAAAAAAAACAGGGATAATTATGTAAATATCAGGAAAAGCGCCGACCCGATTCCATGATTCCCGAATTTCAGGAACTTGATTAATAATGAGACTGTAATATCCTTTTTTCGTTAATTTTTGAAATGACTATTTGAGTCTCATAATTTTTAATTCTGATTTATTTGTCCAGCCGCTAGCTGCAACAAAACGTAAAATAATGTTTTTGTTTATTTTATTTTCATGTCTGTCACATCTCAATTAATAATATTTGCAAAAAAGGCAGACAAAAACAATATCCCAAAAAAATAGCAAAGGAAATAATAAAAGCATGACAGCTGTTTTTTTATTAACAAAAAGGATTATTTAACTTCCTGTGTAATTAATTAACTAATCTCTAATATTTATCTTTTATAATTCTTTTAAATAAAAAAATTACCGGGCAATTTTTCTTCTTTATCAGATCCAAATCTCTCCTTTTCTCTACTAATTTTGTTGTAATTATTTTGATAAATTCCATTTTTATTTAAAATAATTTCTTCTTTTAAATTTAAAGAATTTTCATCTTTTTTAAAAATACAACATTCTCCTTTTAATTCCTTAAAAGGAAGAAAATGGGTAGTTCCGTGAGAAGTGTCCATATAAATATATTTATTTTCCTTCCTTGTTTAGTAATTGTAATAAAATGTTAATAAATATTTGCTTTTAGTGATAAAATTGATGTTGAAAATTAATAAATTTTTGATATTACTTTCTAATCTTTTTACGTAAGAAAATAAATAAACTATTGTAAAATTTAAATATATTTTATATTTATTTATTAGAATATTTATTACAAGAGATTAAGAAAAAAAGAATTTTATTTTGCAAAAATTGCAAAATATAAATTTATTTTGGAATAAATTAAAAAAAGTTTTGATTAAGAGGGAGAAAGAGGTACTGATACAAATATTTACAAATTTAAAAATAATAGGCAAAAATAAAATATACTAAACAAAAATCTCTAAAATTATTTAAAAAATATTTGAAAATTACAAAAATCAGTCAAAAAATTTCCAAAATTTCAACTTTATTTTTAGGTTTTTAAGATTTAAATAAAAACTGGGAATTTTCAGTTTAATCTTTAAAATAAGCTTTAACAAAATTATTTGTTTAAGAATTAAATAAAGAAATCTTTTTTAAAAGAAAATTTTAATTTAAAAATATTTGAGGTATTTAAATAATCGGATAAAATTTTTATTTTTTAAATTAATTTATTTGTGAAATAATTTAAAAAGGCCAAAAACTATTTTTGTAAAAAAATTACTTTTCTTTGCAACATTAAAAATATTTGTTGAGAATAATTAGTAAGAGAGAGAAGGGAAAAGAAAACTTGGAAAAATGCTGAAAATCAAAGAAATTAAATTAAAAGTTGTAGACATTTTTAGTTAAACAAAAAATAAATGTAATTAATTAAAAAAAATATTTTTTTTGAATAAAAAAACAAATAAAAACAAAAATAAATAGAAAAAATTGCTGTAAATATATTTATTTAAAGTAATTAATTATCACATTTTTTTTAGATTTGATTCTTATCAAAAAAAGACCAATATTATTATTTTTTAGATAAATAATTAATAGTTCTTTTATTTTCAACATTTAAAATATAAATAATAAAAAAGAGTTACAAAAATATTTTAAAATGAAAAAATTAAATTTTCATATTAAGTAAATTAATAGTTAAATATATTTTTTAAATAAAATATTGTTTTGATTATTATTTGGAATTGAACTTTGTATAAAATAATTCCTAAAATTATTTTGGAAAAGACAATCAAAATTTTAAACTTTTTAATTAAAATAGAATTTTAAAACTTTTATTAAAAAATATTTTTTAAATATTTTATTTAAATAATTTAAAGTTTCTTTTATAAATAAATAGTCTAGTTTTATATATAATAGATTAGATAAATGATCGATAAAAATTAAAAAAATTTATTTAATAAAAAATAATTCAAAAATTAAATTGAATGATTAAAAAGAACATTTTAAATAAAAAAAATTTTTTTTATTTCGTGAAATAAAAGTAAGAGGATTTTTCTTTTAAATAATTAAAAATACATATTTAATGAATTAAAATAAATAATAAAGATTATCATCATTACCATGGAAACGAACAAAGAATTTATTTAAATTAAAAAAAAAGATTATTTCTGATAAAAAAAAATTTCAATTAATTATTATTTTCGTCAAAAAACTGTCTGATAAATTGTTGAAAGTATTCTTTATTTATCTAGATATTTATTTATTTAGCTTTTTTTTAATAAAAGGACAATCTCACATAAAGTAAACATTAAAAAGAAATAAATGGAAAATTTTAAAATATTTAACAATTAAAAATTTTTGAAGCCATAAATTTATTTTTTGACATTCTTTGAATTTAAGAAGGTTAAGAAGCCCGTAAACCTCCGCAGAGCTGCTGTCATTTTTCCACTTGAAGTGCCAAAACGCCAAAATATTCACACCTAAGATAAAAATTTTTAAAAATAAATGCGAGGAGGGTTGATTATAAAATTGAATTTCTTTGCCAACAGGCTTCCAGAATTTCCAAAATTTCTAAAATGGAAGAACTCTATCCCAATATCATCCATCAATTCTAAAAAATTCGACTGAAATTTTCTAAATTTTTACTTTTTTGCGTTATTTTTTAAATTATTTTGGAAATATTTACTATAATATATATGTATGCATAGTATTTCCAATCCAAAACATCTAAATAGCTAAAAATGCCTAATTAAAAACAAATAAAAGTTTAACTGTAGTTTGTACATATATGTTTAGATGTAGTTTATATATAAATATACAATTTACTATGGCATTTTATTTAAAATTAAAATCGATAACACAAGACAATCAAATAGTAAAATACATAAATCATGTGTAAATTATTTTATCTTCCCTATTATATGTATATCCTCCTCTATAAAACTTTATTTAATTATTAATTTAACTTTAAAAAATTATTATGTAATTATTTATTTTTAAATAATTAAAGAAAAAATGAAAATTATTTTAACAATTATTTTTCTTCACATTTTTGACAGCAGTGAATGAAAGTTATCCATTTGAAAAGCATTTTCGAAGCTAGAATTTTCTAAAAAAATATTTTTTTAGAAAACAAATAATTAATTTAATTATATAGTTAAAGCTAAATTTCAAAACCTGATCATAAAAAATATTAAAAAGACGGTCAACCTTTTCAAAAGGCTCCTAAAAAGGGTTGCCAAATTGGCCCGAGTCGGGCCGAAAGATCGAGCCCTATAAGTCACAACATCTTCTTTACAGGTGTACATACATATTATTTACAATTCAAAACATCAAAATAGTTTAAAAACATACAAAAGTTTGGCTGTAGTTTGTAATAAATAAATATTTATTAAATTTTTTATTTAAATTAAAATCGATAACACAAGACAATTCAAAAATCACAAGTTAATTAATCTATCCTCTCTATTATACATATGTATATCCTCGCCATTCTTATTTTATAAAAATCTATTTAAATTTTATAAAAATTAATTTTATTAAAGAAATTTAAATTAAAAAAATGTATTATTTATTTATTTTTAAATAATTAAAGAAAAAAATGAAAATTATTTCAACAATTATTTTATTTTTCTTAATACTTTTGCCAGCAAGGAATGGAAGTTATCCATTTGAAAAGCATTTTCGAAGTTAGAATTTTCAAAAATTTTTTTAGAAATATTTAAATTAATTATTAAAATTAAATTTATAAAATTAAATTTCAAAACATAAACAAAAACTTTTCCGTCTTCGGGCATTTTCACTACTTTAAGTAAAAGAAAATACCTTAATTTTTATTTTAAAGGACTAACCAATCGGATCCATGAAAAAATTTGGGGACTTGAAAGTGCTTTTATCAGTAATCCAGCTTCAATAGAATTAAAAAACCAATTATTAGCTAATTATTATAAAGAATATTTATTAGCCGAAAAAAATAAAAACGCAAAAGAGATTAAATTAAAAATATCATCAACAACATTTCTTTCTATAATTAAAAGATTTTTGGATTATTCTTTTAATGATAGATTAACAGAAATTGAAAAAGATGAATTGAATGAATTTTTAAAAGATAAAGATGAAATTATTATAACTGGAAATCAACAAATTATAATTGACAAAATAAATAAATATGAATAGTTTGTGTTTAAATTCTAAATTTGTTTATTATCTGGTTATAAAAAATTCTAGTTTTAAACATTCTCTAACTTAAAAATTAATTTGATTTAATTTTTAGTAGAGATTTTTAAAGATTTTATTAATAATTGAGTGTCTAATAAAGGAAATTTTTTGGTTAAAATTTTAAATTATAAATTCACTAACCCAAACTTTTGAATATTCAAGATTTCTTAATTAAATAAATTTAGTATAAAAAAGGCAACAATACGTTTTGGATTAAACAATGATATACTTTGTCATATTATTCACTTATTTGAACAGTTAAAATTTGAAATTACAATTATAAAAAGAATGGGAGAAAAAGTTATTAAGAATATGTTTATTTGTGAAAGAGGAGAAAATATTGTTAATAAAAATGAATATTTAAGAGAAATAATTACTGAAGGAAATTTTAATGAATTTTATTTTTCTGTCATGAAAAATGAAAATTTTTTAGAATTTCTTAGGTTTGGGGAAAATTAATTTTATTTATTTAATTTAAAAAAAATATTTTAGAACAGAAAATAGAGATGAAATTAAATTATTAAAAATTAAAAAAAGATTAGAAAAAATGTTTGGATTGGCTAGAGTTGCTATACTTTCTGAAAGATTTCCTGAAATTTTTGGAAATACAAGTAAAAAATATTTTAATTTTTTTAAATTAGAATTAGCTCTAAATAAACCTTAATAAGTTGAAATTTTCCCTCAAAAGTCTTAATATCTAATTAATTTTAAAATATTTATAGTTGAACTCGAAAAAATAATTATTAAACTTTTCAAAATATATTTTACACCAATACATTTTCTTGAAAATAAAATAGGAAATGCTTATAAATCTGAATGGAAAACTTTAATTGTTTTGGATTATTTTATTTATATGGAATGGGAAAGAAAAAGACATGAAGAAATGTTAAAAGAAATTGAAGGAAGTGAAGGTATTTTTTTAGTAAAAAATTTTTTTGTTTATTTTTTTTAGATGAAAAGTTGAAAATTGAAATTATTCAAAATATAAAAGAATTTTGGAAATTAATCCAAATTAATTTTTGGGGAGGAGATAATATGCTTAATGATATTGTTATAAAAGGTTATAAATGGATAGAAGAAGACTTTAATATAGAAATTGAGGTTAAAATTAATTAGTATTTATTTGTTCATCAAATTTTAAAATAATTCTTTAATTAAAAATCACAAGCAAAAAACAAAAAAATCGAATCAAGCCGGTTCACAGTAGATATTAGCCAGACTTGGAGAGTGCCTCTAGGAAAATTTTTGAGGACGTAGCGACATGGAAGGGGAGGGGGTGTCCCGTCGCCTCTGTTTAGGGACAGGAACAGGGGATAGATTGTATAAACTTTTATAAAGTGAATTTGGATTTTCAGATGGCGAGGAAGTAACTAAATTTAATACTAAAAATATAGTACTACCTTAATTATTGTAGCAGAAAATTCTTTTTTAAAATTGTTACATTAAAAAAATATTAAATTGTTTCTTAAAGTTAAAAATAATTTAAATATTTTTTAGAATTTATTTTTAAATCAAAATTCAATGTATTCAATGAATGAAAGTAAATTTTTATTTCTTCAAACGGCAAAAGAATGTACAGAACAAATTTTCGATAAAATAAAAAATATTTCAAAAAAATTGGCAAAAAATAAAATTCTTAGAAGTAAAGGAAAAATTGCGGAAAAAATCATTGATAATAAAGAAAAGGCAATTAAAGAATTAAAAGAATGTATTGGAGATAATTTAAAAGATAAAAATAAACAAAAAAATAATGAAGAAAAACAAAAAATAATGTATAAAAATAAATTAATTGAATTATTGTTAAATGATTCAAATGATGAATTTAAACAATATTTGCAATGTGAAGCAAATTGTAAATTTAAAAATTAAGACTAATAGTGCAAGAAATTTTAAAACCATTTCATTTTATTTCAGTTTTTCAAGATTCCGATTGTCCAATTAATCTGAAATTTTTATAGGAAATTTATAGCCTGTCCGTCCCGATAATTTGTTTAAATTTCACTAAATAATATATTAACACAAAATATTAAAAATTTTTATAAAAATTAAATTCAAAAATAGGTATATCAAAACGATTTATTTGACCGTTTTGAGACCCTTTATCTCGTGTCGGCTCGAGACCCATTACTTTGACCACTACTTTGAATGTTATTTGCATTTTCGAATTTTTCACCCCAAAAATCAGCTACACCCTCCAATGGGTTTCCGATTCTGCGGGGCTAAATTTGGTGTCATTCGACTCAGCCCGTCAAGCTCTTCGAAAGAAATATTGGTTGTCCAAATTGAAGTATGGGAGATATAACGGAATTTTTCCGCAATTTTTTGTTAATATTTAGCAAATACTCTTTTATTTTGGGAGCGTTTTCTTATCAAGCAGGAATGTAGGAATAATCTCAGAAAATCCGATACTTAAATGAAATAAAAATTAAATTAAAATATTTCTAGCATTTATCGTTAAAAAAACATGTGGTTTCAATTTAAATCAATTAATTAAAAATGCTGAAGATAAAAAGAAAAATAAAGAAATAAAAGATAATTTTGAGGTATTTTTTTACACAATAATTAATTATATAATTATTTTAAGGAAGTAAAAAATGCTGAAGAAATTTATGAAATTTCGGAAATAACCCCCCATAAAGAGGAAAACCTTCAAAAAGAAATGAAAAATAAGGGAAAGAATGAATTAAGTGAGAGTAGTCCAAATACAGGTACATTTACAGGTTTTACTTAAAAATAAAAATAATTTTTGAAGAAATAAATATGTATAAAATATGTATTTAGGTATAGATAATAAGTAGAGATAAAACTGGGGTTTTCCGACATCCCTCCTCATCAAACGAAGTTTTAGGGAAACGTTATTTTATTTGGTACTTTGTTTTTATAAATATTTATTCCTTGATCGGTTATATAACTTTATCCAATCCGAATTTTTTTTATTAATTTAAGGAAATAAAAGTAAGAAAGTTTTGCAAATTTCACCTAAAAAGAAAGAGAAATATATTTCCTCAGTAGATAAAAAGAATAAAAACGAAGAAGGAAAGCAATTACAAATTGAGATAAAAAAAGAAACAAAAAAATTTGAAAAAAATAAACAAAAAACACCCACCACCATTACTACAATAACAAATATAGAGGAGGATAAAATAATTAGTGAAAATGAAAAAAATTTGATAAATAAAAATTATGATATTTTACTTGAAAGAATTATAACAATCTTGAAAGAAGGTAAGTGGTTCTTTTTAAATTTTTCTTAAAATAATATTTTAAAGCAATTTATCATAAACCAATAGAAAATTTAATTAAAATATATAAAGAATATTTAAATTTTAAATCTAAAAATAACAAAAATGTTGAGAATATTATAAAAATAAATATTTTAATTGTTGCAATAAATGAAAAATTAAATTCAAAAGAAATTTTAATTAAAGAAAATTTAAAAGAAAAATTTAAAAATATAAAAATAATTTGGAAAGAATTAAGAGAAAAAATTATTAAAAAATTAATTAAAGAAAAAATAGAAGGAGAAGGAGGAGAAAATAATTTTAAAATAATTTTTAATTTTTTATTTAAAATATTTAAAGAAATAAAAAATTTGGAATTATTAAATGAAATTTTTGAAGAATTTGAAGAAGATTTTCTAAAAAATGAAAAAATATATAAGTATTTAAATAATTAATTTTAAATTAAAAATAAATATTTTTTTAGAAAAAATAAAACGTTGGAAGAAGAGATAAATGAAAATAAAATAAAATTATTTTCAGAATTACATTTACATTTAATTTCGTTTTTATTTGCTAAAAATTTGATTGAAAATAAAGAAGAAATAAATTTTAATTTAAAATTAGAAAAAATGAATAAAGACCAAAAATGGAAATTAAATAATTTTGTTAATCAAAAATTGGAGAAAAATATTTTTTTGGAGAAATTGAAAATAAATATAGAAGAAATGAAGTTTATGTTAAAACAAAAAATATTAGGTAAATAATAATTTTTATCAAATTAACATAAATCCCGAATCGAGCAAAGGTTACATTTTTGTGTAAGTGGAAAGAATTATGTAGACAAATATGTAGAATAAATTAAAGGATTGAAACGAGAGAAAAATCTGTTTTAGTCATTTTTGTCTCGAAGCATAGAATCTTGGTTAACAACCCAGAATTCAGACGTTTTAAAGTTGCAGCAGAAATTTTAGGATTATTGGATGGTCATTTTAGAGAAATTAATTGAAAGTGAAAAAATCTGAAACTGTATATTCAATCCGCAGTTGCGGATAGTCTGCTCGTGTTTATAAACTTATCTAAAAAGCTTTTATAATTAATTTTAATTAACAAAAATTTTAGATGAAGATTGGATTGAACGAATAATGAAGGAAAATACTTTTGAAAACAAAATAAAACCTCCAAAATTCCTTTATCCAATATATTATGAATATTCTCAATTTGATATTTTTGTTGAAAATACAAATGAAGATAAGGCTAGATAGTTTATTTTGCTTAAATTTACACTAATCCACAAATGTATAGACCACCATTATTTTTACCGACTTTAATATAACAACCATTCATTTTATTTTTAAAATGTTTTAAGTTATTTCAGAGGTGTTATTAGAAGCTTGACTTAATTATGAGCCTGGTTTTTGCTATTTTTATAATATTATAATTTTGTTAAAACCCTCGAGGAAATTAACTTCAACAAACTAAAATTTTTATAAACTTATTTTTATCGCGATATCTATTATTACAAAAAAGTTTAAAAGTAAAATGAATGGGTATAATATTAAAGTCAAGAAAAATAGGGGTTAGTGAATAAGTGTATGTAGGGGAGGAAATTTATCTTAAAGTTTCAAAAAATATTTTTACAGAAATTTAAAACTTTATTCTTTTCAGTTAAAACAAATAATTGATAAAGAATATATAATTCAAGAAAATAAAAATAAAAATTTTGTCTTAAATTTTTTAGAAAACGAAATTATGGAATGGATAAAAAAAGTAAAACAAATGAAAGGAATAAATGAATTTAATGATGAAAATAAAGGTAAATTTTAAAAAATATTTTTTTTGGATTATAATTTTTATTTAAAGAAGATTTTCAATTAAAAATTGGAGGTTCTCAAATATTAGAAACAAATACTTCTTTGTCAGATATGGATATTTTGTGTATTTTACCGAAATATATAAATATTTATGATTTTAATGGAGAAGATGAAATTCATGGTTTATATGGACGTTTATTATTAAATAAGGTTTTTCTTTAATTGAGACTTTGTTAGATAGTACTATAAACTTTAATCCTATTAAATTCTTTAAAAATAATTTGAGGTTTAATTTCTAAAAATCTCAACCATTTAATAAATATTTAAATATAGTATATTAATTAAATGTGAAAATAACAATTATAAAAATATGCCCGATAAAAATAATTTTTTAACCTGAAACTAGAATTTTTTGGATTTAAATTTTCGAGAGTTTTTTCTTTCGATATTCGAATAAGTAAAGGGATTTTAATTTTGGGCTCTTCATGAGAGAAGAAGGAGTCAGCTTTTTCGAAAGCAAGCCAACGTACTTCATACTTTTCGGTTCGATCAGCTCGTCAAGTTGAATCGAATACAATAGTCTATTATTTTCAAAGAAATATGTAAGTAACCTGGCAACGAGGCAACTTGGGCGAAATAATTGTACCCAGCTTTTTCTTCCTTAATTAAAATAATCCAAAAATTTCTAAAAAAAATACTTAAAAATAATTGAAAATTTAAAAAGAAAATCAACGTAAATATAGTCCAAACAAGCAGAATTTTGATGATTGAATTAAAAATTTATGGAATTGATGTAGATTTAATTTATGCACAAATTCCTTTTAAAAATGTAACAAATAATTTTGATATAATGAATAATGAAATAATTGAAGAAAATAAAAATAAACAAAGTATTTTAGCATTAGCAGGTTTAAATTAATTAAAAAAGAAAATAAAAAATTTTTGTTTAAAAAAAGGTTTTCGTTCAACAATAAAAATAAAAGAAATGAATTTAAATCAAAAATTGTTTATTTCATTAATGCGTTTTTTAAAGATTTGGGCAAAAAGTATTTTTTCTTAAATATTTTTAAATTTAAAATTTAAATATAGATCGTTTAATTTATTCAAACATTGCTGGTTATTTAAGTGGTTCTTCTTTAGCTATTATGTCTGCAAAAATATGTATAATATATCCAAATGCTAGTTTACCAATTGCTATTAAACAATTTTTTATTTTTTATAAATTATGGTTAATTTTATATTTCAATTTTTTGGAAAAATATTGTAAAGCTATTTAATTCCTAAGGCTATGCAGTAGGCGGCGTGGTGTAATGGCTAACACATCAGTCCGAACTACATAAGATGCTGGTTCGCTCCCAGCCGCCGAATAACCTTTTGCACTAGCTAAAGGAGAGAAATAGCTATAGCCCAACTCTGCTTTACTATATTTCTTTCTTTTTTTTAGGGGTTGGCCACAACCAATATTATTAAATGAATTGGAAAATGGATTTAAAAAAGCTAAAGAAATTGTTGAACCTTGGAAATGGATTAATAAAGAAGATAATTCTGAATTTGAGACTGAGTTTAGAATTTTTTGAAAATTAATTATAAATCAGCTAGTGAATAAATGAAAATGAGGGGGGTGAGGAGAATGATCAAATAGGCTTTAAGATTTAGGAAAATATGTAGTGGAAAAGGAGTTAGTTAGTTGGAATACAGTCGGTTGATCAAGGGCGTAGCTAGGGGGTGGGGGAGGTGGCTGGAAAAGTGGTGACCCTTTTTCCCGATCTTTCTTAACTGGTTCAAATCACGCCTTAAAATAATTAAATGTTTAAAGTTCTGAAACTGATTCAAATGATGAATTAGAACAAGAAGAAAAAGAAGGAAATGATGGGACACAAATGTCTATAATTACATCTGGATTTCCTGAACAAAATACAACATTTAATGTAAATAAATTTACATTCAGAAGAATTATTAAAGAAATTGAAAGAGGTAAATTTAAATTTAATTTTTGAAAGTATTTTAATTAAATTTTGGTTATTTTCCGTAATTATTATCCGGAACATTTATTTTTGTCAAAAAAATTTCTAAATTATTTGTGCAGAGTAATATATTTAGATCTCTATTATCCTTTTTTAAATATTTATTGTTCATTAAAATTTCAATAATATTTCAGAAGCTTATTTTAGAAATATAAATAATATAATAATTTCCCCATTTTTAAAATTTTATTTTACTGACCGATCGTTCTTTGACAAATGTCCGTGAGTCCGGGGTATATTATTACTATGTATAGTAAAATTGGACTTATAAAAAATAAAAATTATTTTTTTAAGCAAATATCATACTTGACAAAATATTTTTTGATGAAGAAAACCAGAAATTAGTAGAGGAAAATATTTGGGAAGAATTAATTGAAGAATTAAATTGGCAAAATAATTATGAATATTTTATTTTAATTTTATGTAAAGTAAATGAAGATGTGGTAAAAATAAATATTTAAATTTAAAAAAATAATAATTAATTTTTTCTTAAGAATTGTAATAAACAAAAAATTTTATTACGTACATATTTATATAATTGGGAAAAAGAAAATGAACAAAATAATTTAATTGAAGAAAGTCAATTAATAACAAATTATGAAAAAAATGTTAAATGTTTTGATAAAAATAGTAAAAGGTTTTTTTATTTAATTTAAATAAAATAAAAAAAATTTAAAGAGAATCATCATTAACTTTTTGTAAATTATGGATTATTGGAGTTAATTTAAATTCCTCTAAAGAATTAAATGATAATCAAATTGAACAACTTTTAACATTTGATAATATATTTAAAAATTATTTAACAAAATCTGGATCTGTATATTCTTTATTTACAAACAACAAAATTGATTTAAATAAAGAAATATATTAAATAATGTTTTTTGAACATGATTTGGAAACAATTGTATTTTTACTAACAATTATTATATATTTTTTTTTATATTTTTTTAAACAATTATATTTACAAATATATTTTTTATGTACGTTTATCCTCTCTAATTTAGCAGTGAATACCAAATTTTATATAATATTAAATATAGAAACATAAACAATTATGTACCGAATTATGATTTACTAAACTAGGTATATAAAAATATTACTTTGTGAAGAATCATAGATAATGTTTCTATATAATATAGAATTTGGTATACTACCGTTAAATAAGAGTAAATGTGTACAATAAGTACCAAAGATTTTT